ACTGTCCTCACCACCATAAGTACCCAGGAGGTTACATGTACTGTCCTCACCCTGTCTCTTATACACATCTAGATGTGTATAAGAGACAGTCTTACAGCCTTAACAGCAAGTTTTCTTACAGCCTTAACAGCAAGTTTTCTTACAGCCTTAACAGCAAGTTTTCTTACAGCCTTAACAGCAAGTTTTCTTACAGCCTTAACAGCAAGTTTTCTTACAGCCTTAACAGCAAGTTTTCTCACAGCCTTAACAGCAAGTTTTCTTACAGCCTTAACAGCAAGTTTTCTTACAGCCTTAACAGCAAGTTTTCTCACAGCCTTAACAGCAATTTTCTTACAGCCTTAACACCAAGTTTTCTTACAGCCTTAACACCAAGTTTTCTTACAGCCTTAACACCAAGTTTTCTTACAGCCTCAACACCAAGTTTTCTCACAGCCTTAACACCAAGTTTTCTTACAGCCTTAACAGCAAGTTTTCTTACAGCCTTAACAGCAAGTTTTCTTAGAGCCTTCAGCAGGTTCTCTTACAGCCTCAACGGCAAGTTTTCTTACAGCCTTATCGCCGTTAATGGATATTTTATCGTAATTGGTTACAGCGGTCGATGGTCTAGTGATGGTCAAGGCGGCCTGGCCTTTGTCCAGCCCACCTCGAAATGATCACGGCATTGGAGTCTTGAAAAGACCACAGGCAATAAATCTCACGCCGCATCGGCCGGGCGGCCCGTGATCTGCTTATTTTGACTGAAATTGATTGAGCTTCTTTGATGTGAAAATATCCTGGAAGGCAATTAACGATAGCTAAGCTAGCTTGCTTCGGCTATGTAGAAATCTATAAGAAACTGAGAGCAATAATTTTTAAAATGGATAACTGTTTACGATGGTTTTGTATTTATCAATTAATTTAACTTCATGTTTCGAACACTAATTTTTAGCGTGAAAAAGTAACTAGATTTAGAAATGACGATGCCAGCATCTGCTCTTGCTCCTCGGCAATCAGTCAGACTCTAGGGCGAGAACGCACTACCTGTGGAGCACGCAGATCGCCGTCGAGCAGGAGGAGGTCGAGACCACGCGGGGCATCAACAAAGTTCTGCTCGAGAACATCCTTCCTGCTCACCTTGCCCATAAGTTCTTGGTCGCGTCCACCGAACAACAGGTGAGTGTTCGAAAACCATTACCATATTAATGAGCATTTATATTATTAATACATAACGCGCCTTTGAAACTGAAACCCTGATCAATTATGACTTTGTTTGTGATTACTGGTAAATTATCTTGCATAGGTAATGAAGTGCAGTCTCTATTAAATTGATTATCGAAAACGCTTACGCCAAACCACGAAGATTGGCAAAAACAATCTCTGTATTGCCTGCGCGTTCCTTCACTAAAATTAGAGCCTAATTTGATGCGGACCCTGGAAAATTTTGAGCCATCTTCACACTGGGTGTACGGAGTGCACTTAGAGGTTACATTACATGTACTGTCCTCTCCACCATAAGTGCCCTGGAGTTTACATGTACTGTCCTCGCCACCATAAGTGCCCTGGAGGTTACATGGACTGTCCTCTCCACCATAAGTGCCCTGGAGTTCACATGTACTGTCCTCTCCACCATAAGTGCCCTGGAGGTTACATGTACTATGTTCACCGGCATAAGTGCCCTGGAGTTTACATGTATTGTCCTCACCACCATAACTGCCAGGCATTATACCTGCCGCCTGATCCGTCGTCCATTTGACGGCGTCGGGCATTGATCCGGGTCGTGGCCGCGCATGTAATGCGCACCTGTTTGCTATCCCAGAAACACACGGCCTAGTATGACCCGAATCCTTGCCTCATATTTCGCTCTAACGTTGCAACTGGATTATGTGCGGCCAATAAACGTCTCATGGCTGGCCAACCATGATAGGTCTGTAATTTTCACTGGAGGAAAGCTTCTAGCAGCAAAAGACTCTTGACGTTCCAGATTTTCAGTAGGGAAAGATCACAGGCGTCGGGAAAGCTTTGACATCAATTTAATGTGGCGAGATCTTAAATTTTCTTGCTGCTCGTGAATATTATTAAATATTTATCGAAAGCGGGACCTCATGATGATCGTGAATTAAGTTTTACAGTTGAATTAAATGTGTCAAATTTTTTCTATTGAAACACTGCAGTGATCTAATCCTGAAATGCCGATAAAATCAATCATTAATTAGTCAGTTACTCCGACTACTGCAAATAAAACATTGAGGTCTCGGTAGGAAATTACAATTATTATAGTTAGTTAATAGTTATATAATTAAAATTATACAATTATTATTATACAATTACAATTATACAATTAATATTATTATACAATTACAATTATTCGCACATTAATTTTCGAAAGGCGCCAAAATGATTGTAATTTATTGTGAAATTAAATGATTTTAACATTATTCTGTACTTGGTAACACCCTGAGTCTAATGCGTCTATAATACTTTCTTAAACGCCACGCTCTTCGTACACTTGATTGCAGGGCCTGTACCACGAGAAGTACACAAGTGTGGGGGTAATGTTCGTCAGTATTCCAAATTACATTGAGTTTTACGACGAAACCGACGTAAACAAACAAGGCCTCGAGTGCTTACGACTCCTCAACGAGATCATCTGCGATTACGACAAGGTTAGTGCTTGTTAATTAATGATATTGTTAATAACTTACGATGTTTTGTGCAGTAATCCTAATGACGAACGTAAAACTAAGTATTTACTTCACTCACTGTCTGTAGCTTATGCTCGTGCCGTTACCTTGACTTATTAAGCGAGATGGGAAGAGAAAGAGTGGAGCAATTTGAAAGCAAATCAAGTCACTGCCAAACTTGGCAAAAGAACTTTGTCGTTTTGGAGTTTACGCTTTAAATGGAGTTCTCCGGATTGCTCAAAGAATACAAATTTCTCAGAACTTTTTAGAGTTCCACCGACTTCGTGAAAATACTTACTAACTGATGGACTGGAAAACATAATTTTTCATTTAAATTTCATCGCAAGCTGATTTCACCGTCTACAGTTAAATTTACTATCTTACTTCAAAGAATTGTCCAGCTTCGATTAATCAGTTGATATGGTTAATTGTTTACGTTGGTTATTAGTATTTCTGAATTGTGTGTGGTAATCAGCTTGTCATTGGCAGTCTTATTTTCATTAACTAAACTTTCTGACAATATATTTGAAGGGTACCTATTGTTCTCTGCAATCAATAATTACCCGCTACTCTGCTTAAATTCTAACCTTGTTCTAACAATTTCAAACTCTCGGGATGTTATTGTTAATAAAGGATGAAACATGAAACACTGAAAATACAGCATTCATAATATATTCTTATTTTCAGCAATAGTATGGCAGGATTTCTAATTGTTACGCTCAGTTCGTTGAGGCTGGCTTTTTTATATATCGAATGAGGCTGAAACATCGCTACTTGATCTTAATTCTAATAAGTTAGCAAAAAATGCCATTTTTCATTTTGCAAAACTTTGTTTTCAATTAATATCAATACGAAAAAATTTCATTGTTGTTTCAAATTGTGAGAAAAAAGATCATCACGGGTTTCCAGTAACCGTGATCGCACGTAATCGCGCTCAGTTCACGTTTCTTGCGAGGTTAACCTCCTCGTTAGTCCAGCTTCTCAGTTACGAACGTGGGAAAATTCCGGTCCTGTTTTGAACGAGCAGAGGAGAGTCTTCAATGAATATAAAGAGCTTAATTATGGGCTAATTTGACGCTAGTTGCCCGTGAAGAAGCCACTTTTTCATTCATCAAAGAACACTTTTACGCAAACCTTTTAAGCGTTCCTCGGTCTTAACGCCTGAAATTAGGAAGGCTGCTCATTGGGAATGTTTGTGTTCGGTCCCATGTCTTACCTGGCTGGTGTCTTGGTCTTTATAATTGCACTGAGAAAATGTTGTTGTCATCTGAGTCACTTTCGCAATCGAGTGATTTCTAGACTGCGAGTTTACAAAATCTGACGGAAAAAAGTTTTAAACGCTCGTAAACTCTACACTATTTCTCGCTTATCAACTGACCGTTTCTCTCCTGGAGATTAGAAAATTTGTTAGAATTTTATTTTATAAGCATAGCTATCCTCAATCTTCATTCCTCACATAATTGATGAAAAATTTTCATGATCCTAAATTTGATTAATTCAATCAACAATAAAGTTCACCAGTATTTATATCGTTAGTTTGCTTGAACGTCAATTAAACAAAAAAGTAAAAATAAATTTACGTGGCATTTTCTTTGCTTTTACATCCTTGGTTGAAATTCAACTGTTATTCAAATCTTTGTATTTCATTTTCACCAATCTTTTCAACCTTTAGACTGCTTGTTCATAAAAATCTCGTTAAAATGTAATGATTTATTAGCACAAGTTCCGTTCAAGATACCAGCACATATGATTAACGGTATAGTGAGATGGTGTGTTTGAACCATTCGTACAAGCAAGTAGATCGTAGAAATCTACCGCGTACATTCGTAATAGATCTCAAGGTTCCTCCGTACCGTAATATATCCGTAGGATCCGTAATAGTCTCAAAGTTCCTCCGTAAGGGCAGAAAGAAAGCTTACAGGGCGAGGCTCGTATATACCCCTCAGTATATGGCACTTGTTCCCTACTATTTTTGTTCTTCTTTGTCTCGTCGTTGTCGAATATATCGTCCCTTGCCTTGTTTCCTCGATCTGATGATCGTTTTGGTCGCTCAACGTCCGTCGTATATAAAACATTTGGGCCGATATTGGAAGGTCGCTTTTGTCGCGACTATAAAAAATGATCGACACCGCGTCCAAGTCTGCCACATTATGGGGAAATGTGAGTCTCTGTGCTTCTGTAGATATTTTAGAAATGCATTGATTCAGGTGTCGTATTTCCGTTTTACGTGTTTCACAGAGATAGATTCTTATTCATCACAAGGCTCTTGATAACTGGGCATTAAATTGTATTTATAAACCCAAATTCCGCGTGACATTGATTGACTAGAAAACACTAAATAAACTGTTTTACGTTCAGATATTAAAATTTATTATTTTAAACTAAAAATATTGCATTCAAATTTTCTTTTTGTATGTTAAATTATTTCAATCTAAAGTAAAATATCCTATTTTTTCGGAAGTAGTTCATGGAAGAGTTAAGGTTGTGGTGATGTGTGCAGTTGCTGCTGAAGCCGAAGTTCAGCGTCGTCGAGAAGATCAAGACGATCGGTAGCACATACATGGTGGCGGCAGGACTACAGCCCGGCAAAGAGGAGGTATATTGAATATTTTTGAATAATCTTTAAAGCTTCCTATTTCGAATAAATTTAAATGGCATAATACCTTGCATAAAAGGAAGCTAATTTAAGAGTAATGAACGAAAACCGAGAATATTTCTTGATATACTTTTATTAATACACGAATTTTCGAAATTCGCATGTAATTGCAGTGTCATTGCAGAATATCGATAATATTCAGTGCTTTAATTATTAATATTTTGTGTACTAACTTGGCTTAGCTAACACATTTTTTCTATACTACTAGCAAAATCTTATATGAGTGGCTGGAATCACTTCGTTTTTAAACTCGTTACTGAAGATTTATAACTTGATAAATAACAATTCATGAAGGAGTTTCGAAAGTGATTTCCTAGAAATGCAAAACATTTACTGTTGTTCTTTTTCATGGTTACAGAATTCAAATCTTTTCTGCTTTAATTATTACAATATTTAAAAAAATAACCAAACATAATTAACATATCAATCGGTTTTAACCAAATTGCTAATCAAAATCATTAATACTTTTCTCCTAAGAAGAAATGATAGTACTGGTAAATTCGATTGTAAATAATATTCTCAATTTCGGTCTATTGCTGTCAAAATTTCCAGGCGCCGACAGAATATAATTGTTGTGCGATCCTGTGAGTTCACGCTAGACCGAGCCTCGCACAATTCTTCCATCTATTGACAAACGCTTCCCCCAAATTGCAATTCTACAACTCCGCTTCAGAATTGTTGCCCACATTTAGACTGCGTAGCCTGATATCTGAGCGGCTAACAGTACAGATTGGTTAACAGCTGCATCCCGATTTGCTAGGGTTTGAGCCTAGACAAATTTCGAGAGCAATATTGTATGCAGGCTCAATATTTTTCGTTTTATCTGGCCAGTGCTTAGGATAGACCTTGAATTGAGAATTGTATAATAGATAATACGCCTTTATTTTCTGAATTTGTCTGAATTTGTCTGAAAATTAGTTTTTTATAAATTATTTTACAAATTGATTTATAAAAAAAAAACATCTTAGTGTCATGGGCGGGCGAAAACCACGTCTGCTTTATTGTTACTGCCAACGAACATGAATGTCATCAACTTGGTTGGATTCAATAAAGAATCAGTCTTTAAATTAATTTATAAAAAACTTAGCAAACAAGCATAAATTTTCAGTATTGTTTATTCATCTGTAAAAATAGGTATGAAAAGAATAGATTTTGTAAAATAATTCAGTTTTCTTTTGAATTTAGCCCAGCGCTCAGCTGCTTAGTTAATTAAATCTTTCAAGCTTAATGTGCAAAGCTGTATATATATATATATATATTTGAAAATAATCCATGAGGTTGCATTTTCAATAATAATTTCCTCCCATTCATGCTTCTCGACAAATGAAAAGGATGCCGGTGCAGTAAGTATAAATAATTACTTCTGTTGTCATTTTAATTAGAATAATTGACTAATAATCTATATCAAGTGCCAGATATTATTTAAAATTCATATCCTTTGGTCTTTTGATTACCATAATGAATAAACCATTGCTAATAATAATTAAGCTAAATCATTGTTAAGCAAAATTAATAATGTTGAAAAATAATCATTTTCGTTCACGATTTTGCGCTGAATTCTTTTTAACAAAGGAACAAACTTTTCTGGTTAACATCTCGTTGCTTGTGCCTTAAAACATATTAACTTTCTGAAAGAAATTTAATTTATTTGATAACCCATTGCCCTGAATTTTAACTCACTTTTTCTTGTTCTGGGTTTCCTTTGGCCCTCTGCATTTCACGCTTTACCCTGAACCTATCATTCCTCTGTCCAATATTCGCCCCACTGCACTTGACGCCTACCTTGACCCTGTTATTCCTCTGTCCAATATTCGCCCCACTGCACTTGACGCCTACTCTGACCCTGTCATTCCTCTGTCCAATATTCGCCCCACTGCACTTGACGCCTACCCTGACCCTGTCATTCATCTGTCCAATATTCGCCCCAATGCACTTGACGCCTACCCTGACCCTGTTATTCATTGCCCAATATTCGCCCCACTGCACTTCACGCTTTAACTTTTCCTCTGCTGCACATGGCAGAAGTGTTGAGCTCAAAACTTTGTCCACGCTGCTTAACTTGAACTTTGCAAGTGTTAACTCCATGACTTGGTAGTATTTATTAGAAAATGTCATTTGATTTTCCAGAATATTTTCTACATCTCGTGCATAAGAACCGACACCCTTATTGTCTTTTAACCATCTTCCAGTTAAACAAAAAAATGAAACTGTATATTTCGTTCACCGGAAAACAATCAGATCTTTCAATTTGTTGCTTTACATTTTTTTAAGGTACGGGACCGCACTGAGCAGAACGTTGTGACGCTAGTAGAGTTTGCCCTGGCTCTCGCTTCCGTCCTGGACTCCATCAACAAAGAAAGCTTCCAGAACTTCCGCCTCCGAGTTGGTTAGTGAAATTGTGCGGCATCTCGCTGACATGTCTGGCCGTGACATTCTCCACTCAAACTTCCCTGAAATTTTCCAGTGATTGCGTTAGGTAAGTCTCAAACTTGATTCGAGTTATTGAGTCTAAAAGCTCAACGAAAGTGGGAGCCGAAAGAGCTTTTCAGCAAGTGAGGGTTTTGAGAACGGCGATTTGCTACTTAGTTGCATGACGATGCTTTATGGAACACTTGCGAGGAGTGGCTCTTCGTCCATTGTGCGCATAGCAAACCTTTATTTCCTAACAATATCACACATTAATTTCTTTACGAAACAGCATTAATATGTTCCTAAGACCTCTTCCCACGCAGGCATTGCTCACGGACCTGTGATCGCGGGCGTGGTGGGCGCTCAGAAGCCCCAGTACGACATTTGGGGCAACACCGTCAACGTCGCCAGCAGGATGGACTCTTCTGGCCTCCTCGGCAGGATACAGGTTACTTGATAAATTAATTAATAGAATAGAAGAATCGACACTGAATAAATAGGCCCATGGCCTGTTGCCGATTCTTGAATTTTTCGTGACTTGATTCACAAGGCCTTGACTTGATTCAACCCGATCTTTCCATAACTGACGACTGATTGAGATAGCTGCTGGACTTATTGCCTGGTGTTAGCTTCATAACTTATCTTTAGATTCAGTCTAGTAAGCTGATGCCTCAATGCTTATTATTGTACAAAACCTGTGAAAAAGGTTGTGGGAATACCATGAACTAAAAATTGAAATATGCTACAATGTTTTCTAAAACCATCCAACAAATCGCTACCACGTCGAAAACTAAACTGCAAATTCAACAAGAATGAGAAGACAAACACGAGTTACTATGTTGCATAATTACTAAAAATAAGACACTCTCATCTGCTTTAGTCTTAATTTTATTTGTCGCTTGTTTTCATTCCATTATCATAGAAAGAATTTTCACTTGAGCTTCATGTTGCCTATGCGAGGCTCATCTTACTCATACATTTAAAGAAGACTCAACGCGGATTCAATTTAACTTCTGAAAACGAGTCTAGCTCTTAAGAAAATAATCAAACAAAGTGGAAAACTTCAAAGGGTATAAATGGGTTCTTTTTAAGGAATTCTTCTCACTCACTCCGGCATACATAATTAAATTTCGAGTCCGTCTGTCAACATGGATAACAAAAAAATCGACAAAGATCAAAATTAGGGCTAATGAATATTTTCTTGTACATTACGTCAATTTATACGACTTTTATTTAATATTTATGTACACCAACTTTAGGGATAATTGTTGAAATTCAATTTTTTAGCCTATCTCACACACTCGAAAATGACTCGAAGCGCGGCGTTGTTCAAAGATTTGGCCAAGCTGATAAAGTTTCTGAGCAATTAAAGCAATTGACACTATTTGTTCCAATTATTTTATTAACGCTTTGTTCTTCACATGAATGTTTTATTTTTTCTATGTAGTTGATGAGTCGTGTGGTGATCTCCACAAATGACACCGACGCTTGTTAATCGTTTTCTAGGAAACCATTACTGAATGCAGTGAAATGATCCTTTGACGGTGAAATACGCAACGAAATAATGATATATCAAATAAAATCCGTTTAAAATATAATATAATGTTTTGGGTACTTCCAAATTCCTTTCTAATATTTTGCTTTTTTCACAGTCTCAGAAGTTTCCTTTAATAAAATCGTTCTGAAATAACTAATATACTCTTACAAATCGCTCTCCAGGAGACCAAGCACACAGAGAATTTTACTGTAAAAAAAACGCAATCATCACGGCGAAATGCAATGCCTAACATCAAACATCTTAAATGATACTACCATCATTAGCTCTCTGGAACTCACCTCCAGGGTTAGATAACTGAAAAGATAAAAATGAATAGAGATCACTTCATGGGAGCTCGAAAATTTAAAGCGACTAAATCGAGAACACAAAACATCATGCATGCAATTACACAAACTACATATAAATTAGGTGGGTTTATTCTGTGAAAGGGTTTAGGGTTTCATTAACGCCATATAAATAAACAACAACTCGGGTCAACTAAACCTAATTAACTTGTATATTCCAGGCGACTGAAGAAACAGCGCAGGTCTTGCTGAGCGCAGGCGTAGAATGTGCGTGCCGGGGACCAATTGCCGTCAAGGGTAAAGGTACCCTCACCACATACTTCGTGATCGCACCTCAAGACTCCAGTAGTTTGGTTGAATCAGGAGGCTTGAAGCGAATGGCTTCCTTCTATTCCTTTAAACCGGAGGACCATGGAGCGCTGATCAGAGGCACCGCTGATATCCCCAATATTGTGAATGACAAGTCTGTGTCATCTGCCAAAACGCTCATGGTTCCTTCCATACAAGAATCCGGAGATAATTTGAAGTCAGACTCATCCAAGTCTACTGGTAGGATTCCTGTTGCCAAATCCAGTATAACAAGTGCAACAATTGAGATGACTGATAATAAAGCTGATGGCAATGGATTGCAAAGTCTTCTCGGCGATACGTCAAATTTTGACGGAGTAGTTGCTGAACTTGAAACCCCAGCTGAGGAGGTCAACCATAGCATAACACATCTTCCGCTGGTGTCAGAGACAAGCGGAGAAACAAAAACTCAAGCTGAATTTACAGAAATAGAATTAATTGTTACAGAATCTGATTCTACATCAGCTTGCGGCATAATTGGCGGAAGAGAAAATCATGGGAGTGGCTTATTAAATATCGAATCACAACCAATTGAATTGACACAGGAGATAATACAGAATTCTGAACCAATAGAAAAACTTGTGTCAAGTATTGAAAATGATGAGGATTTCCGAACAGGAGTAACAGATACTTTAAATCCTGATGATGACATGAAAGAAAAAATACCCATGAATTGCAGGCACACCCACATAAATATTGAGGCTGACAATGAATCGATTCTGCTTCCAATTGGATCTAACTTGGATGTACGCTTACCCATGTTTCCGGAAAAATCCAACCCTCTGTCTCCAAATGCCAATCAGCATTCAATTGTGATTTTGAACAACATGTATTCGTGTCCTATCACATCCATCAACGTTGTGCCATCGAGTGCTGCTCCAAGTATTTCGATCATCAACATACATCCTATGTTGCCGGCTTCGACCAATAACACGGAAAAAATTACCCAACCACTTAAACATTCCGTCGTTTCGTTTATACCGAATAATACTCCACTGCACTCCGCTGAAAAAGAGAAAAAGTTGACAGGGAGCTCAGGCACCGAGTGTATTGCCGAATGTCTTCCTCCATCCCAGGAAATATCTACTAGAAGTAATAATTTACAAACCATGCTTCCAGATTGGACATCCCCCATATGTAATTGGAATTCAAAGACAAATTATCAAAGTGAAATCCCTTTGTTAGAAGATTCCTTAGTTGAATCCGATGTCAAGACTCCAGGACAACTCTCAACTAACCTGAGCGGTATGCCTTACAATGGTGTACCAGATAATTTTTTAAACTCTAATAACATTTCGTCGGTACCTGTGGCGCCAATCGAAGTGAATTTCAGTGGGGGCGTACGCAGCTCTAGCTTGCAACAAAACAAAGAAGACCGTTTGAAAGTCTGCAATAATAATCTTGAAGAAGATGTAAATGACAAGAGCGCACGTCTTACCCAAGGTACTCAAACTCACGATAGAAGACCCCAGCCGGAGTTTTTATCCTCCATTGCACGGCCAAAGAGATACCTTACGAAACAGGAGTCTCTTATTGTGAACAAAGTTGGAGCGTTAGATGATCATGTCGATTTTAAACTATTGCGTCACGCTTCCCTTGTGCCGTTTGGCTCTGAAGTGATAACGCAAATATTTGGGCATGGAAAATCTAATGAATATGATAACCCGTTCACAGAATCATGTCAAAACTTCAGTAATCTATCTATGATAAAAACCGATACGAACGTGCGATTGTCAAACGAGAAAGACGTTCTCGACGCAAGCCAAACTTCACTGCAGTCGGTAAACCAAAAACTAACCAACTCAACGAATGGCTTGGAATTGGCTTTTCGAAATCCGGTGCTTCCTTTCCATCTTCCATCCCCGCCAGCTGAATGTTCTACGTTCATAGCTTTGAATTCACCTGAATTTACTTTATCAACATTGCCATCACCTATTTTACCTCCAACTCCTACGCACAAACCTTTTGGTCCAGGAACCACGTGCTCGACTCCTTCGGATTCCCAGGAGCTCCCTGGCATGCCACCACTCATCGATTTGAATTGTTTCGATATTTCCGCACGTTACCCAGCAGAAATGGAAAGACTCCCTTTTGTTGGAATGGTGAATAAATATAAGCCGAAAAGATCAATGTCTGTTCGAGATGATAGACCATTCCCCTACCTTCAGCACTTCAGAGAAGAGAGACGGAAACCCAGATTAGAGCTTGGCTACCAGTTTAAAAGTAAAATCCGATCTCCTGAAGCTGTCGACAATGTCAAAAGACGAGGTCGCTCCATGAGTGTCCAAGAAGACTCGTTTGCGAGGCTGAAACTGCAACATCACCCCTTGTACCTCCAAAGTCAGGGAATTTCAATGAAGTTCGATGAGCATACCGGTAATAAAATGGCACTTTTTCCGCAGAGCGGTTCAACCGAAGAGGGTTCAGATGAATTTTTTTCGTCTGATTCGACTTTTGGAGCCCCAAGTGTAAACGACACTGTCCTGGAAAAACTGAATTTTGATTCGCAATTTTCACGTATGGTTACTCCCGCTGTCTACAACTCTTTCCATGAAAATTCAGCAGTTGCATGTCCACCGTTTTCTAACGAAGGTAAAGAAGAACACGATATTTTCAGCCCTCACCCACCGGGACTTCCTATACCGTGCCCGAGCCCTACGTTTTACCCAAAATTTAAGTGCGTTGAGAGTAAATCAACTGAGAGCTTGTATTCTGTTATAGGTTCGCTTACCAATGACGAAAATCAAATCTTAGATAGAAAGTTTTTAGTTTTGTCTTCGAAATCTCCTCAACGAAAACGTAACCAAGTATTTGTTTAAAATTGTTTTGGAAATCATCTCTGGAATCTGGACTAAATCGTTTTGCTTAAGGTTTCAGTTTATTATCAACAGTTTAGGAATTCCAAAATTTTCCATCGAGAATGTTGAATATTGGAATACATGATAATTGCAAAGTTCTGCTTGCAGGTGATGGTTATTTTCGCGTATTTGCAAATTTGACTTCTACCAGAAGCTTGCAAATACCAATGTTAATCAGGTGCTAACCTTTAAGTATCAAAACAATAGTATTACGTTATCTTGTAAATACTGTAGAGGGTTAGATCGTGTATCCGAATTTTCTATCTTTCTTGAGATGTATTTTTCTAAATGTTTCTCGTCTTCTCAGTCCATTCGCCAGTCGAGTTTCCGTAGCGAAATGGCACAAAACTTATAATGGCTTCAGGTTCGTAAAATCACGAATCTGATCTTACGCTTCTTCAGTTTTCTTCTTACTTTTAATAAGGAAGAGAACAGCTTTGTGCGCGAAGAGCAATTTTCTAATAGATAATACGTTAGTGATTGAAATTAAACATAAAAAAAAATCCCTTCATCGAGCAGTTGTGGGCTTACATATTCTACATAACTTCTACCTCTTTAAGTAGCTCTTCCATTTGCATAAGCGTCTATTTCTTCATATGAAAAACCTGGTTAAACCTCCCACTAGTTAGTCTGCTTCTCTGATAGAAGCATCACACGCATTCGAAACACATTAATTTAAAAGTTTGGGGCCAAATACTCCATAATGATTGCTACGCGCGAATCGATACGCCATCATCATTTAGGTTAAAATTTAAACTATTTAGTATCAGGCCCATGCATAAGTTCGTGGCCGTGCGTTCGCTATAGGCGTTAAACTTTTTTTTTCTGCTCGTAAAATAAATGTTTTTTAGCTGAAATCTAAATTAAATATGTAGCTACTGTTTTCATTTTCCGACCAAAGAAATCTTAATTTGTACTCAACTAATGCCTAAAATATTTGAGAAAATGCTTTCGCTTGAGTCATTATAAAATCACTCGTCTAGTCTTCCTTCTGGCCTCTTCATTTTTACAACATAAACTGCACTCGAGACATGCTTTTGTTGTATGGTTACGTACGATTATTGGCGTTGTAAATTGTTGTCAATTCTATTTTTATAGTTGTTTAACGAGGAGCATAGTATGGAAGATATCGATATAATGGAAAACCAATCGATTTACTGTCCTATATAAGGGTTTCTAATAATTTTAGGCACACAACATCACTATACAATGTGTTGCTCAAATGGGATGTATTGCTGATAGCTGATATCAATTATTTCATCATTTTATGTGCTGAAAACTGTGCAAAAAATAATTCCCAACACGGTGTGAAGATAATGTCAAATACTCATCGTAGCCATAACGTTCGTGTATTAATCTGAGACCTTCGTCATTATAGCTCAATCATAGCATAAGTATTTTAACTCACTGGAGTGTCATAGAAACGATTTTAGATGTCTTGATTTTGCCCACCTCTGTAAATGACGGCACACTTACAGTTTGTTTGTTCCTATAATTAAATGTGGAAGGAACATATAATGAATTATGTGTTGAATATTAATCATTAGTAACATGAAAAAGAAATATTAGCATATTCCAAGGCCAATTGAGACTGAATGCGTAGATTTTTTCAAATGACAAAGAACTGATCATCCAGCCGAATACTCCGAAGTACCAGGGCTCCTGAAATTATAGTTCATGCAAAATTGTTTTCATCTACAATAAAGACAGGACAAAATCAGTTGCTCTACAATCTGGGCTACTTATGCCAGATCATCACGAGTAGCTTACCTTTGGACTCGTCAGCCACATGGAAACATTCGATAACCGTCTGTTGATTAGTCAACTAAACTCGTGATTTTCCTATAGGTTTCGTAGGTAATTTGAGATCTTGGCCTCAGCACATCTCTTTGTTCATTCGGTGGTGAAATTCCTTATTTTTTTAATAAATTGACTGACTAATACTCCCGTTGGACTGTGGAAGCGCGCAACGGGATTTCATTGATATTTATTAAGATATTTGTGCTTGAGACAAGAAACGACATGTATTCTGAAGTTGTATTATGCAAAATAGTTATAGTTTTCTATTCATGTCTTGATGTCTGAATATATCAGAACTTGGTGTGTGTCTTTTGACATGTTGATGTTAGCGGACAATCGTGTTGGCTATAAGCTTGTCTTAAACACGAAGATCGCACAATAACACAATTTTATTACGAAAGTTAGTCCATAGTTTATCGTTTATTGGAATTGAATGTTGAAAGTTTAGAATGTCATGATGAGCACAACTATGTCGCAGATCAAGCTTTGCAATTTAAATTGGCTGGTTTCGAACTTGGAGGGTGACCGTCTTATAAATTTGCGATATTGAAAATAATTTTAACGATTTGTTAGCTTCCTTGCCTTAAATTGAACACATTACCTTCAATCACGTGTAGGATTGGTCGTGACTAGGTATCGTATTTATTCAAATTGTTGTTTCGTTTGCGGACAACTGTGTAGTGTTATGACCTGTATATCGACCAATATACAACTAAAGAGGGGACACCCCTCTTTAGTTGTATTAAGCAATCAAACAGGGGTGTCCCCTGTACAGGGTGTCCAAAAAAAAACGATACTCAACTTTGAATGGCTGTAACTCAAAAAGTAATAGAGTTAAAAATTTTTGAAAGGTCAGGATTTGTTCCCTATGTTTTTCTCCATCTCTCCACCAAAAATCAGACAGATTGATGTAGCCATAAGCGTTTGATAGAACTTTCAGTGACATGTGCTGAAATCGTGCTTGCGCAAAGTTTTAGTAAGATCATTTTGCATAATCATTACGTTGGCTTGATATGTTTTCTTTTCGCTGTTTTATTTTTTGTATCTTTGGTGAGACTAAAACATGGCAATCTTTGGTGAGAGGCAATTATGACAATCTTTGGTGAGACACAATCATGACAACCTTTGGTGAGAGACAATCATGACAATCTTTGGTGAGAGACAATTATGACAATCTTTTGTGAGACTCAATCATGGCAATCTTTGGTGAAAGGCAATCTTTGGTGATAGGCAATCTCTGGTTTTGAAATTCCCTCTCAACAAAGATTGCCATGATTGTCTCTCACCAAAGATTGTCATGTTTTTGTCTCACCAAAGATTGTCATGATTGTCTCTAACCAAAGATTGTCATGATTGCCCCTCACCGAAGATTGCCATGTTTTAGTCTCACCAAAGATACAAAAAATAAAACAGCGAAAAGAAAACATGTCAAGACAACGTAATGATTATGCAAAATGATCTTACTAAAACTTTGCGCAAGCACGATTTTAGCACTTCGAGATCCAGTGTCCGCTTACGGCGGTAAAGTCTGTTTCCTCACCAGAAATAAATCGCATTAATATATAGGTTTAATTTGAATGTCTGCTGGGTTTAGATGCATCAAAATAACCTTTAACGAAACCGAACCCTGTTTTTGAAAGGCAACAAACCGTACGCAGTTGCGGCTATCACCGGAGTTGAGATCCTCAGCGCAATTTTTGTACGTCTGTGTTTCTTTAGTGTGTATGAACTATGCTCGGTGTTGTGCGCTTTGAGATTTCCAATCAATGTTGTACTTTGGTGTCACGTGTCAATTTATTAATTTATGTGGTGTATTGACCATTTCTGCGTGTTAATATAGTAGGTAATTAGCCGGAACTTTATTACATGAAAGATAATTACAAGACTTACGTCTGTACTGATCTGATGATCATATCTATAGCGATCTCCACTCACAGCAGCTAAGTGAGCTAACTAAATTCTTTGTTACTGCACGAGAGCGTATGAGAAGCTACAGCTAGGTGAAATTATTTCAGTGCACTCAACGGCAATTTTTAATTTAGGCTAAATTTGAAATTCAAAAGGGTATATGAACGTATTAAACTTAAAATAAACATAATTTAATGGCGATCGACTAAATTCATCGAAAACCCTAATAATGTAAATTAATTAGTTACTGTAAATGAAGTATTGATGATGGATGGAAGTTTTATCATCAAGCGCTTGCATATATGTTTTTTGTTCCTAATTTGTACCGAAATTAAACTCTCTTAGTTACAAATCAAGCTACTCTACCACCACCGTCGTCAAGTCTGGTGGAAGTGTTAACGACTCGACTCAAGTCTTCGATGACGTTCAACTCCAATAAGGAAGTCTACAAGGTCATTTGCTGATAAGAAAGTTAAATTAAGCTTGACTCTCTATGTACGCAAGTCTAGTTCTTCACGAGCGTAATTTTCTGACCAGCGTCAGACCGTCAGTTGCGCGGTGACTCTTATCAGAGGTGGTTGTGTGTGCCGTGCTTCCGTCCCTGACAGCAAACCGCTCATCGTAACTTCGAGTTCTGAATAAAGCATCATCGAGTGAGTAATCTGAATTATTGCCTGTTATTAAGTCTTCAAATCTGGGTTATGCGCCAGCGCTACAAAATGTCGAGAAATTTAAGGTAACATCGTTGCCGGCTGGCGTAACAGTTAACGCCGTAGTACATAGTTTCGAACAATTTATTCATTAACGACTAGTGTGCATTCATAAGGAAGACAATTTAATGCTTAATAATTGATCCGCCAGGCGCCAGTTGCACTTTTTCAGTTTTCTAAACATTGCTCCCTTGTCTAAATTTATATAATCATTACTCCCGTATCAATAATAGCACTTAGCATTTTAGATGTTTTTATAAATATAATTTTAGATATCGGGAATTTCTTATACGTTATAACTTATAGTTCCCTCGTTCGACAAGTTTCAGTTTCCGCAAAATCAAAATTAAACAATTACTGAATTTTGCTACTTTAACTTGTCTCTAATAGGGATGAACCGCTGCTACCGAGGATTATAGATACGTACTAATATTTAATATATAGTAGCAATTGGTTAATATTCATTTGGACATTGTCCACGCACGATGTTCTCAATTTATGTGCTTAATTTGCTGGACTACTTATCTGGTATGATAATCGGAGACAATAGTTTGTAAACATGTGCTAAATGCAACTAAGAGAATTAGTGAGAAAAGCAGTTATTTCCGCACCGTGAACGGGAGTTCTTTTGATCGTTCTTTTTTTAATGTAATGAATCCTTTTCAATCGAAGCGGCATATGTCATGTAATGTATTTGTAATAACATGTTTACTTTACTAGGTTAAACATATCACATAGGGTATAGAATAGTTTTTTAAAAATGTTTTATTTCAACTGCCGCAAATTCTCTTCGTGAACTACTTTTTTTACGCCAAAATGTTTGCCTCCATATTCTCTACAACAGTTAGTTGCATGTTGTAGACCGCTGGCATGGACGGTCGATTTTTGTAACCGGATCGAATTGTGTTCCGTTTTGCTTTAAAATTCTTGTTATTTCTTACAGACACTCGGAGGAGTACAATGATTTACTTGCAAAAGAGAACCTGCTCAAGCTTTCACTGAAGCCCTCTACCAAAAACAATATGGCGAAAACCAAAGAGTCTCGGAGTTTACCACAGCCACCGCCGAAACCAATCAGTAGAAGGAACTCCAATGTGGAAGACAGCCAAGGCCGAAATAATATCGAAAATGGCCTTTACGTGCACTCTTCTCCCCCTAAAGGTGAACAAATTAAGTCAATAAGTTATTCAATATTTTTTTTCTATAATTGTTGTGAGAGTATCAAATTTTTAAATAATGAATTAATTTTCTTGGCTTATATTCTTCAGCATATCATCCAGCCAGAAAATTTTAACTACGCAGTATAGTGTCATGAAAATCGCATTGTCAAAAACAACCTTCAATGAAGGTATTTTTTTTATTTTAAGAAATAAGTCAAAGCTTTTACAGGCCCAGAGGTACACAGTTTCTACGGTCACCTGTCTTGCTAAAAATATAACTTATCGCGAGAACCTCTCTTCTAGACTAAAATCTGCATCACTGTTGGGATTTGGTTTCACAAGTAAAGGGGGTTTTACCATTATAGGATCTAAATTTTATATATATCAAGGCATTTAGGTCAGCGTAAAAGCACTAACGCTCATTGCCCCCCAAAATGTCTTGCATTGCTGAACCCAGAAGAATGACTCGTTCAAGAATCCAGATCCTGCAGCGAGCTGAATGAACTCGCGGAGTATAAGGTCGATGTCCATTGAAACGCTTCCGGGGTACTTCTATTGCCTCAGCTTCTTCCTAGATGGCCTTTGATAAATTACCTTGCGGGTTACAAAAGCTCCTCAGATAATGGGGATAAGATTTTATCAGATCTTCATACGCATCGGAGAATAAAATTCGTCGTTCTTTCGTGGCCAAGAAGTTTTAGATGTGTTGGCAACGTTTCTTTTTTTAATGTATAAAATTTTCAATTATAATAATGTTATTTACGTGCATATAATTTTTACATGACCAATTAATTGATTTTCGTGATTTTCGGCTCCTATCTGCTTGAATTACCATTATAGGATCTAAATTTTATATATATCAAGGCATTTAGGTCAGCGTAAAAGCACTAACGTTCATTGCCCCCCAAAATGTCTTGCATTGCTAAACCCAGCAGAGTGACTCGTTCAAGAATCCAGATCCTGCAGCGAGCTGAATGAACTCGCGGAGTATAAGGTCGATGTCCATTGAAACGCTTCCGGGGTACTTCTATTGCCTCAGCTTCCTCCTAGATGGCCTTTGATAAATTACCTTGCGGGTTACAAAAGCTCCTCAGATAATGGGAAAAGATTTTATCGGATCTTCATACGCATCGGAGAATAAAATTCGTCGTTCTTTCGTGGCCAAGAAGTTTTAGATGTGTTGGCAACGTTTCTTTTTTTAATGTATAAAATTTTCAATTATAATAATGTTAGTTACTTGCATATAATTTTTACATGACCAATAATTAATTTTCATGATTGTCGGCTCCTATCTGCTTGAAAATATGACCTGATTAACATGGCAAGATTTTTTGTGCAAATCTAATAATTTTCGGCAATAATTATAATGAGATCGCGACCACTACTGTGGTAGTTACGCTACGAGCGCTCCCCCATACATGATTATATTCTCACTTCGGTCATCAGTCTATCGCCCATAATAAATAGCATTCAGTTAAGGAAGCCACCAGCTTTTTAAAAGAAACTTCCATGCAGAACTCTCATAAGAAAAGCCTTTTCTTCGATCGCTAAATATGATGATTTACCTGACGTATTGGTGCTTATTGTTCATGATGGACTCAATAAAAGGAGAGAGTAAGTTATCTGAAAAAATAACACTATTTTCTACGCTAAATATGTGATTTTTAATCCGCGTGAGTAGATGAGAGATTAGGTTCAAGGTTGAGTCTGTTGGTTCACGGATCCATAGGTACAAGAGGTATTGACCAGAGCCTCGAGTGTTCTACTTGTCCCCAAGCAACCGACCAAACAATCAGGCTCGGCACTTCCTCTTACCAGGAACTCTGGCCATGAAAATTATAAAGCTTCTTAAATTTTTTTATTTATCACCGCCACCGTAATTTTTAAACGTCTTGGGAATCGTGATGTTGCCGCATGTTTTGTCATTCCCTCTTCGCCTTGATTACCTAGAAGACTTTTGATGACCTAAACCCAATACTCTTAGTCATTCAACTTTACTCATCTTTAGTAATAGCAAACTCGCGTTGACGGTAGATGTTGGATCTCAATTCAGAAATGCTGTTGGATTATTAATTAACATATCTACCTAAAAACAAATACACTCCCAAGGACTACCACATCGATCGCCATCAAACTAACGGAGCTAGGGTCTTTCTTTACCAAGTATCCATGATTTCATGCAAGGACTCTTCTGCAGTAGCTGTACTCGCTAAGATAGGCTTCTTACATGCGCAACTTGTTTTTTGTTTCATGAGTTTTGTCAGAAGGGGATGCATTTATTAGCATTCCGCGATAATAGTCTCTGTTTTCAACTCCTTTGAATATTTCACAAGTTATATCCGTTTTAAATTAGAGTATTGTGCATAATATTTATAAAACCCTCTGTCTGAGGGCACAAACCGTTATGTTAATCAACAGTTAAGCGAAACTATATCAGTGGGACCTTTGGGCATAGCAAGTACGCGTGCATCGATCAGCGGTGTGTCTGTCCCGACGGTAGCCATGCGAACAGCTTTGTTTTTTTACCATTTCTTCGACTTGGTTTACTCTCTTCGCCGATTTCTGAGAATAAAGAGACAATTTCAGTGAGTGGATGTCGATGAGCCTGAATTGCAGTCATATTCACAGTCCATTTAATGGATTTGCAAGTTGCCTGCTTTCGCAATTTTATATTATTCACATTAGCTTTTTTCTGGTGTATACATCTAATTTCATTTAATACGATTAACTGTGATTTCCCACTTCTGGTTTCGTTCCAAATTTAAATTGAAAAATATCTATTTTATTAATATAATTTATGAATGGAAGCGGGAAATCCTACTTTATTCGCGAAGTAAGACTGTAAGATACAAAATTATCCGGTATGCATTCTCTCCGAGAATAACAGGTATGAGATCATGAATGAATTTTGATCTTAGTTTTCCATTGCAGTTGTGTCGAACGACTCGGGCAGTTCTGGCTCAGCCAATATCAGGGAATACCTACGAGGTGGCAACATCTCAGGTCTGGAGGAGGTCGTCCTTGATGGCAACGGGAACAAGCTACTCAGCCAGTCGTCTACCGACCCCAAAGTGCGAGCCTTCCTTAAAACATTACCAGCTTACATGGTGAGTAAATACCTTAATTAGTCATCAGCGATATTGTAAATGAATTTGAACGTAAGCCTTAGGTAGCGCTGCAATTTACTTTCATCTTGGGCTTTCCTTTGAAGCATTTGCATGTTTTTCACCAGGCGATTTGTCCAGAGGTTCAAAAGGCAGGTCATCTGCCGCACAATTTTTTTGCCCTTTTGATGACGGGATAATCAAGCCATGCATCAAGCCGCGACGGTCCTATTGTCAATCGACCATATTTTTCGTAGCACTAAGGACGCTAGCAGCTATAAGTACTTGCGAAGATCAATGAATATAAAATTAAATGTAAATTTTATACGAATATTATTATGCAACTAAAAAGCATTATTTTATCGCTCAATTACAAATCTATAAAAATTTAGAAGCGAATGGTAACTAATTATAAAACAGATTTCTTTACGGAAACATAACTGGAATACCCCTTCATTAAAGAAATTTATTTGAAATTTTATTTGACTTTAAGCAACTTTCTAGCTGTCTTCACTTTCTTTAGCGAGACATGCAAAATGCTTTCGTATTCGAACGTGAATGCAAATGTTTAAAATTTTCCTTTCACGAGCTCTTCCCATATATACATTCATTGCATGGCATTCATCGATCAGATACAAGCATGAGGGACTGTGATCATTCCTTTCATGATTAGGATTGTCTCGCAAATATTTGCATTCTTCTGAAATGACGTTTTTATGATCGGGATGAATCGACAAACACGTTTTACCAAGACTAGAGCAAACAGAAAAACTTAGACAATTGCGTTAGCCTACCCGCAATCGACCAGCTACTTGTAAAAAATCCACTCTGCGTTGTTTTTTTTAAGTTTTATGTGAATAAAAACTTATATCCGTAGCATAGAAATTTACGAATGGTCGGGGACGTTCAGCATCTCATGGAGCTGAGAGTTTTCGAAACGAATTCGATTCGTTACTTGCCATTTATGGGTAATAAGGAAAATATGTGAAGTAAATTTGGTTGAGGCGTTCTTTAGTACAGAGTTAGAAGTCAAGCTCTCAATGAATGATTTGAATATTGAAAGGTTTACAGAATTTTAGGAATGTTTCTATAAAATTTATACCCCAAACATGGAAGATTCTATGATCCTTTTAGTATATCTTTCGATTTCAATCTCGTGCCTGTAGTTTGGCAGAGTCCAATTCTGTCCTTTTTGCAGCCTAATCGGAATCCTATAATATCCTTAAGGCTTCCAGATTGCACTAAGAATGAGGTCACTCGAATCAATCAGTAGGCCTTGAAGGCTTCGTACCCAAGTGCTCTGGATTTTCTGACGGTACCAAATCAACTCATGAAGGGATTACTGAAATAGGATTGGTTTACCAATCAATTGTTAGGGCATTTCCTTCGTTATTTTTTCGTTGCGAAATCTGTAATTCTAAGATCTATGCAGGGAATCTAATTTCAATGAAGCTTTTTGTTTTAACCGCCACTTTTTGCTATGCATTAGGCTGCGTTTCGGACAAGAGTAAGATTCACAAATTCCGTCACAATGATTCACAAATTCCGTCACAAATTCCAAGTCCACAAATTCCGTCACAAATGATTCACAAATTCCAAGATTCACAAATTCCGTCTTCTAAATTTTTATACTGAAAAATTTAGAAATTTCACTGAAATTTTTTATTGTGGTTAAATTGCCAGCTGTTCATAATACGAGCATTTGCAAAATCATCCTGAATTATGCATGTAAGTTGAGTTATTTGACTTACGTAAATCAATCGAAAGGCATTTGTACTTATATATTATATGTAGAATATATTATTTCGTCTCGACCATCTCGTTCATGCAGGGCTTATCAATCTTTTGGGCAGTCTCTGCACGGGCCTTTGTCACGTAAAGCCAAACTATATCTTCTTATATTTGTCGATAAAAGATTTTAGGCTCTCACTTCACACAAGTTTTGTTATTTATTCTGATCATAAAGGAAAATTCTTGGAGTGCACCGAAAAACATTTCTATGCATTTTTCATGGGTAAATATTGCATTATTAAACCAAATTTCCATTCATTTGCGATCTACTCAAATAAATGTTTTTGTTGCATCAGTCACATGTATTTCTTTGAAGGGTGCATTATTTTAATCGATCCGGTATATATTTTTATGTACTTTTGCCTATAACTGGTACCTAGGCTGCATTCGCAATCCAGATTTAAAAGATAGAGATGCACGGTCACCATAAATCATATTATAGTCATGAATTATAAGCATGACACTCAAATTACACATTAAAAAAAAACAGTTGCGCGTTAGCTATTCAGGGCGCTAGTGCTTGCTTCTCTTTAATCACAGGGATATGTTTGTCTAGCTGGTGCAAATTAAACCTATGTTCTGCGATTAATATCCTAATAAATGCCGGAATATTCGTTGCGCATTCTTCATGTTCAGCTCGGGTTTAAAATATTTTACCTCGGATCAAAAATTTTTTTCGTATAATATTACTAGGTCAGGTGACAAAGCTTTTCACCTCAATTCGTCTTTTATTTTAATAACTCATTTCTGAATTTTCTCCGGACTTCAACTGTTCTCCATGACTGCTCCAAATTTGACCCGCATCTCCTTGTTGACTATGACCTCGCCCTGGCCTGACCTCACTCTGTGCACCCGCCTCGCGATGACTTCATACGGGGCTCGTGATTGACTCCTTGAGGGCCGTTCTTTACTCAGGTGCCCTTGTGGTAACGAGCTCTGCTTGACAGCGCTACATGTTGAGCGTCATCCTGAACTTATATCGACCGCACAAGAAATATCAATCTTCAAATCTTATGTCTCATGCGAAAATAAAATTCCGTGATATTTTATGATATGATGATATAAGTTATATACAAATGACAAAAATTCATATTGTCTTAATAATAATTATTATTTGTTTGCACAAGTTTTGTAATCTCAATTTTTAATACATTTATTATTTTTTTTTTTTTGCTATCGATTGAAATGTAAACCATTAAAATGTCAAGCGCAGTAAAGACAGTTTCCTTTGACTTGCAACAACGTGTTCTTCATGTTGATGCTGAAGTTAATATCACGCTAAGACTTCATTCCTCGATCCCTACCGTATCCTTTGGTCTAATTTTTGGTGCGCGCGCAATGATGTACCAAAGGTAAGCCAGGGAAATGAGTTTCTTTGTATTGTCAGGCCCACGAGGATCAGTTACTCGACGCCTTGTAATCACAGCCACCAGATCCTTTGACCTTGTTTGTTTAGCGTCACGCGCGAATTACGCCGCCTTGTGTCACCCTTATGGGCTCGTGTCACGAGCGAGATGGACTCAAGGGTGAAGGTTGTATGGCCACACGCTTCCTTGTCGTGCATTGATACTTTTTATTGGAGCTCTCACTCGTCATTTAAAGACTCAAAATATCTCTGCCAAATAATATTTGAGAATAAATTGGAATACTTCAATTTCGAAAGTATTCGAATACTTCAATTGGACATAAAACCGCTCTATAATCTACGGAGAGTAATCCTGACATTTTAGTTACTTGTTGAATAAATAATTTCTTGAAATTGACAAACGCTTCTTCAATTAACTTAGGCAATGAAAACTTCAATTTTTCGTCTTTTTCTCATCTTTCTTTGAAAAGTTGTATGCTCAACGTTTTAAACGGTAATATTGTTAATTTTCTTGACATTTTCTTTGCTGCTCTTGATATGCACAATTCAAGTATTTTACAGTCTTTCATTTTTCTTCTCCTTCAAACTTTCCTAACCAAAGCTGTTCATCAATCAAAAATCAAACATCTTCACTTCATTTTCCTTCTTAACCCAAAGTGCTTCATTATTTTGTGTTCATATGAAGGTACTTTAAAGCTGTTTTCCTTTGTAATGTGTGCAGTCTAAAATAGACTTGGTGCACGACGCTGCTGAGCGAGGGAATCTCCGAGATCTGAAGACTTTACTCGACAGGAGGAAGATTGCGCGATCTAAGGACAGTCAGGTAAAATAAAATTAATATTGTTTTAATTATAATTAAGTGAAATAGAATCAAGATTTTCTTACAGCTATATAAAAAATATTGACTTGGAATTGTGCAATATTAAAGACAATTAATGTGTAATCTTCTCCTAACTAATTTTATAACTTTAAAAATGTGACTGTATTTACCACTCAGGGTGTGGGGCTGATGCACAAAGCTGTGCTGTCAGGTAACGCTGAGCTCGTCGAGTATCTCCTCGAGAACTACCCTGAGACTGCCGCCATTACCGACCCTGTGAGTACACTTATTGTTATATTATTATGACTGTTGTGTAATTCATTGCTCTTATATTAACGTATGTAGTCCAATTCACGGCTTTTATATAAACGTCTGTAGTGAAAACCTCTGAGACTGCCACCATCACCGACTCATTGCCCAATGGATAGTGTCTATAGCAAAATTACTTTTATTTAGTTTCTAAAGTCGGTTTTGTCTAAATAGGCTACTAAAGCTTATTGCTCAAATTATTACCCAAGATTGATGCTTTTATTTTATATTTTAATTATTTATTTTCATTTTTATATCTAGATATATTACGAATTAAGTCATAATATTGCTCATATTGCCGAGAATAAATTCATGGATGAGCTACTTTTATTGCTTTGATGAATGAAAGGGCTACCAAAACTAGCTTAACTAGACGCCTTCTCCTATTTCTGGCCTGATATACATTTCAGTTTTCACACATTTTCCACCCAGTAAAATAAATTCTATTCGTGCTCATTCCCTGAAGTTTACTTTCAAACTCGAGCAAAAGATACACAATTCGGCAACTAATAGATACTGTAAGTTTGACTCCGGTACTATTTGGAAACTAATGCTTTCATCCGCTGGTAGAGCGAGGAAATATGAAAAACACTGTTAATGAAGAAGCTATGAGAAAACATTTTTTAAACAGAGCGAGCCATCAGTCAACTTTGAATAATAAGGATGCACATTCTGGTACCACACAATACTTCCCAAACGCAACTAAAATATTTGACAATTACTTGTATTTAATTTCTCGTTTAAATATGAATAATTTCTAGCACTTTTCGTAACCGCCAACTTGCATATCAGAGTGGGACACTTGACCGCTTTATGCCGCTGTGCGTGCGTCAATCATCGATTTTCAATGTTCCATCTGTCCCGCCCATCGTATGCAAGATACCTTGCTCTACTTCTGATGGAACAGCCTAGAATTAAATAAAAATTATTCTGTAGCAATGACAATAACGAGCTTCTCGATTGCTTTTACATCCGTTGTTTCATGGAATGTAATATTTTAATTTTAATAAACATTTTGTGCTCATTGCCTTTTTTCACGCGCATTTACTAGATTCTGTGAGCATAAGTTGCGCACCAACTCTGGGATATGAGCCGACGAAATTAGGGCAAGATAGAGGCCATATGCTCGTAAATCAAGACGGAATCTTTAATCCCATTCACCAATCAACTGTTGGGTCTAAAATTAGACTGCCAATGGTTTATTGCATCAGTTACGTGCATCATGGAATCGCTGTCACGGCGGAAATCGTTGATAATCGGGCCAAAGATGTGCCGCTGTAATATCATAGATATGATGATTATTGACTTGTAAAGTTAGGCATGACGAGGCTGTTCGTTGAGCGATTTTATTTATTTGAGCTACCATATGTGACCGATTTTTTATTTGCTCTTTTAAGTATTTCTTCAATTTCAAAGTTCGCTGGGTAATTTTATGGAGAGCTATTTTGTTATAACTATAAAAAGTTTCTTATGATATTCGTCTCTCTGTGTCAACAATTCCAGTTCCTGAATTCATACTTGATGTGAGCATTTTTTTACCAGACATGCATTGTACTTCAGTTTCACCTGTGCATTTTTATCCTGCTATTGTATAATCTTTTTCATAAAAGTGTAATTTATATCGTCTTCAGGTAAAGTTGGTAGAGTTTTCTAGACAACATTCAAAGCTGTCATATTTGCTTGCAATATCTTCATCGGTTAACAATTTCCGTGCCTTTCAATCGTCAATTCAAGTTTTTTTTCCTTATTTTCGTCACATTTTTGGGCCTGATCCTGCACAATTACCTCGAGTTGTAACATCTAGCTTAACACCCCGGCCGAACTCAATAAGAATCATAACGGACAAATATTGATCTTTTTGCTGCCTAAATCAAGTACAACCCTGAGTTATAGTTCTAGTTAGTGCCTGACTGCATCGATTGTCAAGCCAACAGTTGGACCTGGAGCTACCGCACCATGCGCCGTATCACCATGGCGCTGCCGCAAACAACCTCGAACCATTGATTTGCTATCGAATGAGCACTGTGTGACTATGAATACTCTATACCCGCCTTATGATCACTCGTTCTTTGATACTTATAATAATTATAGCACCCGAGAATTTGGCAATGGAGAGAGAGGTATTGAACCTAATTGCGATGTTTTGCATCATTTCCGTAACATTGGTGATAAATCCACATGCTGCTGTGGAATCGATCAAAAATATGCAAAAGAATATTATTTCATAGGAAGCAAAATTATATATACTTTATCTTTTAGCATACCCAATTCATGTAGTAAACTGAAGATTGATACCTATTATTTTTTGTTGTGATAATCGTGCCCATTTATGCTCTATCAACAAGTTAATTCATTGTATTTTCCACTCGGAAAACTGTTGGCATTATCTTGCCGGAGCGAAATGTTGAAATGGTTTGTTTTGATCTCGGCTGCCGTCACGATTTAAAGAATTGTAATATAGAGATTTCATTTCAATAAAAAACATTGATTTAATCCAAAATTTTTGACGTATCCTAGTAAACCTTGTATATAATAGCGGTAATGTACATATGTCTGCCCAGCGAGAAGCTGCGCGTTAGGCATGACACTAAAGCCAAGATTACAAATAAGCCAAAGACCGTGCAGCTGTACGATACTGTGTAAACTAAAAATGAGGTTGTGCAAAATTAAATTCTATTAAAGCCCCTGTCTTGTATTAACTCATCAAGAAAAAAAACTAAGCATGTGACGTTGACAAAGATGTTGGACGGAAAAGTGCTGATGTGCCGCCTCTTCCGCCCGCAGGAGAAGACCGGAGTCGCGGGCGGAGAGAACTGGCGTAGTCAATCGAGTCTCGCTGAGGGAGCTTCTGCACACAATTACTACGACAGTCCTGAACCTGGGAGTGAACAAGATCGGCTTGAAGCTGTGCGAGCATTCGGTGACATTGACGAGCATGCCGACGCTGATAATTATGCCGTGGACGAAGTGTCTGAGCCGTCCATTTATAATGCAATAGATTTAAATAATCAAGCTGATGCAACAGTGTTGCCAGGATTTCATTTCACACCTATTAATGGCACTGTGAACGGATATCGTACTGATAGAGAAAACGATAAGCCCCTCGGTTTACAGCTAAAAGAGTTCAATGAAAAGCTTAGGAGTGAAATGGCCGTAATGGTGGACGATGATTTTTCAAATACGAATAAATTCCACAGGGAGCAAACCTCGATTAATACATGGGAGGATTTCACTGCTACGGACTGGGACGATGAAGAGCACTCTTACTTTCTGTACGGACTCAGTGAATTATTCGATGAGAATAACATAATCGAAGAAGAAGATATAGACGATCTTTCCGATGGAGAGAATGATACAGAGACAAACCCAGGGGTTGTCAAATCACAGGGCCTCGGAGCAGTCGATGGTGCGAAGGTCGAACGTCAGAGCGTCGCTAACGCTAATTGGGAAAAAATAGACTTGTCGTCATCGGTTTTCTCGAAGAAGATGCCTCTTCCTCCCACGGCTTCAGGAACGCGACCCACAAATTCTACATACGATATTGAAAAAATGTTTTCAAGTCATTTGCAGAGGCGGAAGCTTAGCCCAGTTCATAACCCCAGGAGAGCGAGTTTAGGGGAGCCAGCTTTTGACGTCGCGAGTCCGACCACAGTCAACAAGCTGGAACCTATTAACGCAAGGAGCTCTTTTGACCATAACGCTTCCACAGGGGCTATTCGCAAGAAGTCGAGTTTCAAAAAGCCCGGATTAAAAAGTGACCGTCTAGTTTCTCTTGAAATTGATAATTCACCCGAAACTTCCCGAAACCCTTTCACGAAACCTTCTCCTCGTCATGTTCCTCAGATGTCTTATCAGATAGTTCCAAATTCTGCCAACATCCGGGAACTCGTCCTGAGGAGAAATAAGATTGTGAATGATCTCATGCTTCGTGAAGAACGCCGGGAGAGCCTGGTTGAGGAACTAGAAGAGGAAGAGGAAGTCGGGGAAAATAAACCTTCAAGTGGGACTGTGAAGTTACCAGCGATAGTTAACGAAGCGAGATCATCGCCAGAACTCGTCTCGCGTCCACGGACGCCTACAGTCATGCCTCGAAGTGCAACTGAAAGGTTACCGATGTCGAAATTGATCATTGATGGACACCCTGTAGCGGCTATGAAATTTAAACCCGGAGCATTCAAGGTGCGAAAGAGACTTCCCATCAAAAAGCCAACGGTATCGGGCAGTCGGACTCGAAGTCAGCCAATGGTGACCAGTACTCGAACTCAGCCGATGTTGACCAGCACTCGAAGTCAGCCAATGGTGACCAGTACTCGAACTCGACCGATGTTGACCAGTACTCGAAGTCAGCCGATGGTGACCAGTACTCGAAATCAGCCGATGGTGACCAGTACTCGAAATCAGCCGATGGTGACCAGTACTCGAAGTCAGTCGATGGTGACAAGCACTCGAAACCAACCTACAAGACTAATTGTGAAAAAAGCTAAACCATCGATATCTTCTAATCCGACTGAGCTTCAAACATGCCTTGGGAATTTTGTGTTTGATAACACTAAAAAAAAGTATCCATTAGATAAAAATGCTGGCTTACAGTTGAAGAGTTCTAAAGTTAAAATTAAATCCCGCAAAAATTCAGTCCGTAAAGATTCATTAGTTGCCAAGCAAACTCTGAACTCTACATGCATCATCGCAGATACCATCAAAACCCCCGATACCGTCAAAACAGCCAACACGAGCTTTCCAGACGATCTGCCACCTGTTGTGCAGAGATTCTGCCGCCGTTTGTTGTGGTCCACTTTGGCTGCAGCTCAAGCCGACCTGGGCAAAGTCTTCAAACGCGCAATACATAACCAACTCGCGGCTGAAGAGACCCTGCAGGTTGTGTATGAACACGACGTCAATTACTGGGCAAAGCAAATTTCCGAAAGAATATATAACAACGTTCTGGCAAGTGCTTCGTCGACGCCTACTTCACAAACAAAGATATTTCCGCGCAAGAAATTACCACAACTTGACTCGGGAATCCATTCCGGTAACCCTAGTGCCTCAACCCAAACGTCTAACGTGTCTTCGCCTCGAAAGGTGAACGTTAGAGATGCTCAGATGTCAGATATTGTCGCTAAATTGGAAGAACTAAACGTGAAACTGGAGTCCGGGAAACCTAGATATCGATATCTCGTTGAGCAGGAAAAAGACGAGCAGTCCAAGCTGAAAGTCCACCAAGAACGATGGGTGACCATGAATTCGTTGGCCCAACAAAAATAAATATGTATAATAATAATAATAAATATTCCTTTGTTAATTGTTAGAGCCTAACAAAATGATAGCGAAATTTCATATTGCAGAATTATTTGTATATAGTTCACAATTTGCCATATCTGATTTAATGCCAAATGGCGGAACAAAACACAAGTATTTTTGCAGAGCAGCATAGGTACTTTTAGCTTCATTCGAAACAAGAAGAAACACATAAGTATTAATGAGATGCTCAAGATACTGGCTGATATGTTAAGGTCTGTGATAAAAAAAAGTGTCTCGCTGCAACTCGTTTCGTATTTATAGAGATTTTATGGAGTAAACACTTTTAAAATGCAAAGCGTAATACTTTTGATATCTAAGTGTTTTTCTTGACCATCTGCTCGTTATTTATAATTTATACTTTGTATTTGGTGTCACCGTTTCTTACTTAATACCGCGTTGCTTGGAATAGATTATCCTAGATAATAGAATAGATTATTTAGTAGTTTGAGCTCTGTAAGCCAACTAGATAGTAAATAGTTCTTTAAGGTTTCCATTTTTCCTGAGTTTCATTGCTAAATTTTAAATTTAACCAGCTTTGGAACCCTTCACATTTATTCTGAAAGTCCAATCTAATTCCCGTTCCGAAACCTGAAAGAACTGCTCGCTTTTAAATTTGCATGCTGAATTTGAAAACTTAATTTATTATTTCAAACCCACTCCATCCTTTGATACTGCTTGATGATTCCACAACTAAAAAATGATGGCATATCGCAATAGCACAGTGGCAATAGCATCAATAGCATAATAACAAAAGCACAATAGGATATTGTATGTACTGGAGTGGATTCTTTGTCATGCATTCACTCACACTCTGAATAGCGACGGGCAACTTATATTTCATTTTAATTCTGAATTTTTCCTCACTATTATTCATGTGTACCTGCTAAATAATTTTTCCATCTATTTGCAAACTCATTTGCAATCTCAACTTGAAGTTGTTCCGTTTGCCGTGAGTATAAGTAATGAATATAATGAATATATAGAGTGAGTATAAGTAATGATAAGTAATGAAATCTTTGGCATAATTGATAATTGTAGTGAATGCTTGACTTTTATAGGCGTATCCGCTTTTTTAGGCTATTTTCGATAAAAATGTTAGTAATATTGTATCATATAATTCGGACTGAGTTTTAAAGTGAAACTATTGTGAGTTAACATGCAAGCTAACTGATAAAAGGTAACAATTTTACTTCTTTCTTTCACCCAATTTATCGCAAGTGTCGTCTAACAAAAATGATAATCAAGTATTTATTCAAATTTTGACGCGTTGGTTGATTGTTCTTGGACACTCTTATTAAACTTTATCTGTCCAGTATTCTTCTAATTTTGTGATCAAGTCTACAAATTATTCAAGAAATGTTTGTTTATATTCTACTTTGAACCTTGAGTGGGTATTGGTGTAATGTAATGTAATATTCCTATTTGGTGTAATTGCTTTTTTTCTTATTCTACAAAAAATTCTAAACTTTTCACTACACTATTTTTATAACGAAACCCACTTTCATTTATTCTGCTTTACATCCACCACATTATTATGTTCAAATGATGAATCTGCGTATGTTGAAAAATGCGGTCGAATCTTCGGTTTCTATAAATTGAAACCATATGCAACACACGTTTGTCCCAGCTGTATACGGCCACTGCTAACTTACTCAGAAAAGTGTGGGTCTCGGAAAATAATGGGTATAATACATTGGCCTAACACAAGGACCCGTACTATTCCTCCTGCCCCAGGTCATGTGAAGCTCGTGCTAAGCAGCAAGTAAGAAACGTAACATTGCATGTTATCGTTGAAAATATGCGGCTGCCGAACAATTGTCACGCCAATTTTCAAACAAAACATGCGGGATTAGTGAATACCACCCTGCCCATTGTGTCACGGACATATGATCTGTATTAACTGTGCTATTGGGTCAGGTTGGGTTGTCAGTGCCCCCCAAAAAATTCCATTTCTATTATAGAAACGAATTTTAAACTTTTTTCTTTCATATCAAATTTTTTCCGAACCAAATAGAATCGCATTTTGAATTTTAAATCACATATTATGAGTAACTGGTTTCTAAAAATATTTTGTGTACTCTAAAAAATCTAATATGACTACTTCACCATTAATTGATCGAATGGTTTTTCAAGCGTGCCACGTGTACTGCAATTTATTGGTTACGACCGAGACTTTGTTTCCGACGCTCAGACGTACACTCTGCGCATGATGTCACGATCTCCATAGTAACGAGAGCTGTTGTCATCAACAGCTTTGTGCCCCCTGATACCATGCGAGGTGCTCGCGTATTAAACATCCATAATGCGATTACTAGAAAAGGAAACTCTCATTTGTTTCGGATAATGACAACGTTTAGAATCCCCGTGTTTTTTTCAAGTTGATATACATATGGTGATAATAATTAATGAAGATTCAATTCGCTTATAAGAAATTTAGTTATTATGTATAAAAACGTTTTGGCCTCTTTATTTGTTGTACACTGCAACGACAACAATATTGGGACCATTGCATCTCTTAACAAATTGACCAAATTGACCATCGAGCGAGCTGAGGAGCAATATAGTGCTGTTACTACTCACCTTGCGTTGGAATAACATTGATGAGTCGATGATATCGTTGATAAATGCTTCAACGAAATCAACTCCATGGGGAGTGAGTAGGAAAGGCATGGAGTGAAATGCTCCATGCCTGGAGAGTGAGTAGTTTCATAAGGTGTTAGTGTGTTTGAGGAAGAACTGGCATGACTGAAAAAGCACTGCAACAAAGAGACGCTCTTGAATATTCTTTACTTGCACAGGACGAAAGAGTTCCTATTCAATATTCCAAACTAGATATCAACAAGTAGCTGCTCCTGAATAATGCGCACTCCTAGCGAAGAGAAGAGGGGCATTGATTTAAGCGGCGGTGGTGGGGGTAAGCTTGCTCAATGCTCTGCACTTCATAAGTAATGGCCGTAATTTGCGTCCCTCACCTTACCCTTGAGGATATTGAGCTGTAGTTTAACTTCGTCGGAGTCAAGGCTGAATATTAGTAGACGATACTTAAAGCTTTGAAAGACATCCAAATGATCTTTTTAAGTCTGACGTATTGGGGCAGCCCACTGTTCAAGGCTGTGCGAAGGAGCATTTGCAGGGGCTGCAATCGACTAGTAATAGCTCACCCAACTCCTCTTTATATTGCGCTGCCGATGGTTGTTCCAGACTTTCTTGAGTCGCTGTTAGACATAATAAGACTTGTTATGGCTCGTCAATAAATGCATATTCCGCTTCTTAGTAGCATTTAGAACGTTGGTTATAATTTAAAGATACTTCGCGCTCAAATCGTGTTCTGTTTTCGCGGCGAATCAAATCAATCACGGCGAATCGGTGCTCAATCGGCGAATCAAATCGTGTTCTCTGCCTGCCAAGCAACTTCCTAATAACTTCAATAATAATAACTATTAATTTATTTATTTCTATTACTTGTTAATAATAATAATAATAATTATTTTTCGTATTTTTTGTGGTTCTCTATGCAATCAATATTGGTTCTCGATTAATCAACATGAACGCTACCAGCACATAATTTCATACGTAGTTATATAAGTAGTGCATTTGAGTTAATGAAATCTGGGTGCATCTTCCCATAGACTTGCCGCACAATCAAATGTAATCCACTATATTCAGAAGTATCTCATTAATCTGCCCGTGTTGATAGATGTTTGACGTGCATACCTCACATGTTGGGCAGGAGGGTCGTACACCCCTGCACTACTGTGCGGCTAGTAAGGCTCCTGAGGCGGTCTACAGTGCAATGAACAACTCTCCCGACGTCGATAACCAGGTTAGTAAATATAAAATAATTGATACTTTAATTACCGCAATACTGTTTTAAGTTTAATTTTTGTGGAGTGGAGGTATAATTAGATTAAAAATAATTTTTTTTCATGATTGAAGTAGTTTCCAATTAATATATACTGAAACAGGTAAAGCCTTGCTGAATAAAGAAATTGTTTCCATAGCTCCTTATTTTTCTAAGTTTTTATGTCTTTCATTTAGTCAAGTTGTATGGGAAATAAATGGGTGACCTTCACTCACAGGGAGAAATTTTCTAGAAAAGCAGAGTTCAGTGAAAATTATTAATCCGCCTTTTTATAATGAGCATTTGAAGATTCAAATCAATTCACCCATATCGATGATACATCATGTGTATTGCACGTGTTCCGTATGTATGCTGTTCGCACCTTTTAAGCTCCTACTTCATCAATTCTATCCAGCTGAGCTTATTATATCAGTACTATCCTACGAACATCGTGGTTCTTACACACCTATAATTTGTATTTTCAAGGTGCCCACTTATTAAATAGAAAAGTAAAATTATTATTCATTATATTATTATTCATTTGTTATTATTCTGTAGAATTCAGTTAATTATTAAGTAAAATTATTATTAATTTTTTCGCACGCCAGGTTCGGGACAGCAAGGGGCGGACTGCGGCACAATACATGTCCCGACCCGCTGAACTCAAGATTGTCCACAAGCCCAAGAACAGTAGCGGCAACCGCAAGAAGTCAACGCCTAGTAAACGCCCCCTGAAGGTTGCCACGCCACCCAAAAGAGAAGGTAAAACTATAATACTTTTGAAATAATAATGAGTGAGAACACTGAAAATTGAAAAAAAATAATGAGAACATTTTTAACTTCTTTTGCTAAAAATTATTTTTCCGTTGAAATTTACTGTTCGACTTGAGTGTGCGATTGAATAACTACGGTAACTATTTGACCTACCAAATGTGTTCTGACAAAATAGTAAATTAATTCATTACTAATATGTATCTCATTAATCTGATCGTATTAAATTACGTAATATTTTATTCGCTTATCTTGTGCTTGCCAAAACTTCAATTCAATGTATAAGTCACTTTTATATCATATTTCTGACCGTGGTACCGGTATGTATTTATTACTAACTGACAGTTTATCTTTGCTGCATCGCACCAGGACTGAACATCAACGGAGCAAACATAAGGATCTGGATCCACGACCAGGACCTCCCGAAGCTGGAAAGGATCGTGTGGGAGGGACAAGGACAGAAGCTCATCAAGGAGACCAGCAACAACCCTAAAGTGCGGCAGTTCCTGAACCTCGTACCCAAGATGATGGTTAGTATCATGGTCATGGGTTGTTCCTTATAAGTTCAAGTTTGAATTTAGGTTTTTAATCAGTTGAGCATAAATTTATTTGCTCCCTTGAAGTTATTTTAGTACCCATTATGCATCTGCCGCTGAAATAACGTTGTTTATATGTTGTTTCAATGAAGCGAACCCTCGTAATTAACGCTGTTTCAACGTCATTTGAGCGGAGGATATTACTTTGAAAATCGCATTTTTAATAATGCTAGTACCGAGAAGTCAACTATAATGTTGTTAAAATGTATGAGAACTTATCGTATTTTATTATCAAAATAAGATACTATGAATTTTTGTGGAGTTTTCTTTGCTTTTAAGTTTTTAGTGAATTTGCGATTCAAGCAAACGAGTGACATTATTTATTATTGAAATAGATTAAGATCAAGGAGGTGCACCAGAGCGTCATCACTGGCGACATGGAGATGCTGGAGGCCAAGGCAGACCAGCCCGAGCTGCTCTCTGCCAAGGACCAAAACGGCCTCAACTCTCTTCACAAAGTGGGTCAAACAACTGCGTCATCAACCACTTGACATTCATTAACCATATGTAGCGTTCATCGTCCGCGTAGCATTCCCAAATGTAAAATTCACTATCCGCGTAGCATTCATCAACAATGAAGCCTTCGCTATCCACGTAGCGTTCATCAACTCTGTAAGGTTCTAAAACCACGAACAACCGTAGCATTCGAAGACAATGTAGCGTTCTTGATCACGTAACTGGCACTACAACTATGTCAATCACCACGTACAACTTCTGCATCACGTTTCATTCATACACCAGTTATCCTTGCGATCAATAACCATATATACATACATTCAGTAATCATGCAATGTATCCCCCTTATTTGTTTTGAAAAAACTATTAAATGGTTAATGATGAAGAGACTCAACTGCAGTCTTTCAAAATTCCAAGTTTGAAATTTGCAATTTTTTGGAGACGTTTTCACCGCAAGTTTTTCATGTAAAATATTTCTGTTATTAGTTATTAACCTGTGAAATGTTCTGATAGTGTGTGTTCTGATGTTAGTGATAGTTTCTAATTTATGGATGTAGGCCGCGGCTCTGGGCAACGTCGAGATGTGCGAGTGGATATTACAGAAGAATCAGTCCGCCGTGTTCTCGTCTGATAAAATGGGACGAACGCCCCTGCACTACTCCGTCATCCCGTCCGACGACAACGAAACTTACGACACTTTAATCCGTGGAGGTGCAGACAGGAAACACGTAGACAGGGTACGTGTCGTCTGATGTTACTGATATTGACGCCTGTTATTGGACGGTCAAACTTGATACGTTATATGTGGAACTCTCACAACTATAGTCTAATGCTTGTTTTCCGTATCATTAACAGATTTATCCAAATGCGGTTCGATTTAACGGATTTTTTCAAATTCAATTCGATTTAACATTATTTGCCTCGGAGGAAGGCCAGTGTCGTATTTTAACATTGGTCGGGATTTACCGGATTATTATCAACCGGAATTAGGGACAACTGTACCAAAACCCGGTGCGATTACTGCTCAGTAAAATGATGCAGTGCGACAGCATTTAAGTAACCGTGAATGTATGCCGCGCAGTTCAAGAAGACTGCTGACATGTACCGCAACAAGCCCGGTGACCTGGACCTGTCGGTGGTGTACGAGCCCATCGCCGCGCCCCGCAGCGGCAACGGCGCCCTCGACATGCCCTTCTCCAGAGCCCCTTCCATGGGCCCTTCCAGGTTTCCTTCCCGAGCGCCTTCTCGGGCAAGACCAAGGTAACCTTAATGCAAAATTTATATGATAGTTTATATGATATTTTATATTATATGCTGCTTTTTGCCTTTATATTGACGGCTTGTAAATTGGCATTGTGTATTTTAGAAACTGAATACACGAAGAGCTTATTTCGATTCTCATCTTATGGTGTTCACAATTCAACAACAAACTAATATTTATTTTAAGGGATCTCATACTATTAAATGATTCAAATTACAACTAAAGAAATGTTCAAAAATCCCTGTTAGTGTAGTGATTGCCTTATGCTTGACATTAAAGTCGGTTAGGTAACTGCTAAAGATCGGTTGGTTTTATTGCTTTCTGTTAATAGCTTTCACACAAACACATTTTGCTTTGAGTTTGCAAAATAACAGTTAGCAACAAAAAACATTTTAGGATTAAATAAAGAGAAATGCGTACATTACACTCTGCCAGTTTCTATGTTCACTTTGTCAGTCTTTAATGCTCAGCAAAGGCTTTGAGTGTCGACACCGTGTGGTGAGTGATCAGGCTGTGTGGTGTGTGAGGATGCTGTGTAGTGAGTGACGATGCTGTGTTGTGAGTGACGATATGAGTGACGATGCTGTGTTGTGAGTGACGATGCTGTGTTTGTGAGTGACGATATGAGTGACGATGCTGTGTTGTGAGTGACGATATGAGTGACGATGCTGTGTAGTGAGTGACGATGCTGTTTGTGTGCCCGTACAGTCGTTCGCTGAATCCCTCCCGCCGAAGCTCAGCCGTGGCGGTGACGCCGCGTCGCGCCAAAAGCACCGACCGCGCCAAGAAGCCCAAAGCAAAACCCGACCCCGAGGACGACTTCTACGAACCTAAGGTCTGTCTGCCACACTCGTTAATTTACTATTAAATACCGTATTCGCAGCTATTAATTTTTTTGTGGAGCATCCTTCGCCAATATATCGGGCATAATTATTTTCGGTGCTTGTGATCTATGCGTTCATAAAATTCTGCCCATTTATCAATATTCTGTTAATTACCATCTTTCCCAGCGATTAAATTGCCCCTTTGATCAATTAACTTTAGAATATCAATTTTCCTAGCCATTGAGTTACCATACATATCAATTTATTCACCCATTTTCACGTTAATTAATTTATTTTATGCAACATTTTTCACGAATAATTGGGTGTAATTAATTCGTTATTCTTCGATATGGTTGTCTTTTCGAGTTGACTGAAAATTGATCGATGTTTGTTTACATTCATCAGACGAATGATTAAAAAATTTAGTTCTGAAATGCAGTAGACACCGAGACCATTTCTCGTAAACATCCGGACCATAAAAAGTGTCGGTTTATTCGGGTCCTCGGTTAGAGCGATATCATAGATTTCAAACACTATTCATAGAATGTTACGTAATTTGGGCTTTGCTAGAGTTTTCCATGGAAAGCTTTGTACGTAGTTTTTCCTCTCTCAAGAACAGTTTTGAAAGTGAGTGAGCATCCTTAACTTGATAACTTTTTTCTCTACCAGGAAGAGGTAGCTAGTGCAGTCTCCGATCAAGCGCAAGAACAATACAGCGATCATTTCGAAGAAGAAGAGCAGGACGATGAAAACCAGACACAATTTTACATAAAATAATTTAAGATGTTTGTTACCTATCATTGGACCAGTTGGAATTGACCTGTTCGAAAGTTACCCATTCATACGCTACACGTTTTCAGTACTATATACATGTATTTTCTACCATGCTAGTTATCATACTTCTCTTGATTCTCTATGATCGTCAAATTTCATTTCAGTAGCAGCTTCTGTCATCTAATATCTCAAACCTCGAAATATCTGGATATGAGACTTTTTTTTTTTAATCGAAAAAATTTTCAGGAATAGGAAGTTTTTAATTCGTACATGATTTTGTCATACTTCAATTTCTTCTTCTTCAATTTTCCAATTAACCTTTTATACGTGTACTTCTGTATCACCGCTCGTTTTTCCTTAGACAAACTTGTTTTACCTTCACTCGCATTAATTTGAATCCTACTCCTGCATTTTATCTGGCATTTTGATGAAGTTAATGCTAATTAACTTCTCTGCAGGGATTATATGTAACGGCTGCAAATTATCTGGTAATTAAGTCGACAGCCAAAGCGAGACCATCTTTATTGTATGTAATCGATTAAATATGCCTCATGTACGTTTTACCCAATCAAACGCTATTCGAACAATCAGTATTCCAGTAAAATATTTTGTGCAACCTCAATAAATCTTGCTTAACCGTAGATGTTGTTCTGGTTGAAGTAATTTCCTTAACGAATTTAATAACTTGAAGTTATCTTCTATGTAGATGTGCGTTAGATCGTTCTAGGTTCAACGTCCTGAGAAGTAGTCCACTAGGTTTCTTATTTTCGAAGATGTTACAAAATACTAGGACTGGATTAAGTTATTTATTAAATTACAAAATTTGTTTCTTCCATTCAATCAGTAAATTTGAATCCGTGAATTTATGGATTTTTATGCTGACATTTTTGTCAATTCCTTGTCATCTTATTCATCGTTTACCAATCTTTGTACAAGATGCTAGAGATATTACAACAAACCAACGACGTAATTTCATATGCATTTTTACATTTATAATAAAAACTAGATGTGATATTCGTGCATAATTCATTTTAAGCATAAGCTACATAAACTTAATATTTGGATGCATTATACTCTCAGTTTGTAGCTCTCTGTTCTCAATACATTTAAGTCAAACATAATATTCAGTTATTATACGTTTTTTAACTGAGAAAACACTTAAATTCTACAATGAGTTACTTGTGGTTAAAATTTGAAAGTGAAATTTCAACGTTCAAATATTACCACAGATCACTACTTGCGGGCTTTATTACTGTAAAATAAATATAAATTGATGGCTTTTTCTTGAAAGAACTGTGAGTGCTTCTGACCGAGCATTACGGCAAAGTTTTTCGTATCCGACTTTGTGAATTCCCTGAATTTATTCCCTTGAAACTCCTTTCCTGAATTCATTCTCGTGCGAGAAATCAATGAATACTGTTTCTTGCTATTATTGAATTAGGTCCAAAAATAATGAGCCGTGTCGCATCACATCGACAGTCGTATGATCAAGATCAAGAATGATCACGGCCATCATTCTTGACACGCACCTTATAGTCGAGCATTTTTCATCATAAGGTTCATTCATCATCTAGATCGATCAACCTCTGTTATCCCACCGTATTCTGTTCACTTGTTCATCAATAAACACATGATTGTCATAATTTTGTTTGATTTCATTCCTTGAAGGGGCTGGAGTTCCATGACATGAGTGACGTGAGTTCTGCAGAGCTGGATAAGATGATCCTGGATGGCGACCTTGACAACCTAGAGCTCGTCGTGCTGTCTGGCAGGGGCGCAGACTTGCGGGGGAAATCTTCCTGGAATGAAGATGTTCGCAAGTTCTTGAAACGCGTTCCTGGTTACATGGTAAGCAAGTTATTAGTTACTATTATCACTAATTACTAAATACATGTGTAACATTTTTGCTTTGTTACATGATAAATNTTCACGAAGTCTAGCACATTATTTCGTTATGAGCTTTATATTAAAGTCGTGACAAAAATAGTAACTCTACGTGAACTGATTGATGCATATATAAGCATCAAAGCTTCTTAAAGACGATTTAAAGTTTACGAACTATCATTCATAGATCAATATTCCAATGGTTTCCAAGTAATTACATGACCCGTTGGTTTTCGTACATGAAGTATTCCTGATTCTTTTTGTTAAAAGCTTATACACAAATATAAATTGCACAGGCTGGACGATTACCTCTGCATTACGCGGCTCAGTCTCGCTCGCCCGGCGGACGAGAAACCTACGAATATCTCGATAGAGTTGGCGGTCAAGCAGACACTGAAGACTACGTAAGTTAAACACCTCAAATATAAGATTCTTCTTTTCTGAGATGAGTTTATTGCTGATGAAATATGTTTAAATTGATGTGCTTCTGATTCAAATTAAGGTATCATAAAACTATTGATTTACATTCGCCGTAAGCCTGTAATCCAACGTTATTATACGGTTTTAGCCTCCTCGAAAGTTCCCTACAAAATTTGTCGAGTTTTGCTGCCGCGCAGAACGGCGTTACCGCAGAGGAATACTTGAACGCGGCCGACGACGACGAAGAAGAAGAAGAACCGCCACCCGCACCCAAACCTGCGCCGCGTAAGTCATCAATAAACGCTCAAATGAATGGAAACCATACACTGCCGAGGAAAGGTTCCAAAGAACCAACTCCACTGAATTCCCGAAAGAATTCTTTGAGTGATCCCAAGGCGAATTCACGGGCTGGCTCCAAGAATAATTCACCCGCTAATTCAAAACCCAATTCGCGTGCGGCTTCGCCGGCAAATTCTCGTGCAAATTCCAGGAACAACTCCCGGGAACGGAAATCAACACCCACGCTGTCCAAAACTAATAAGCGGAAACCTACACACGCGGAAGCCGACGCTGAAGTTGAGGCGGATGTCCAGAAACAAATTAAACACGCAGAGTCCGGCGACTTTGAAGGCATAACGGACATGATACTCAGGGGCGATGGACACTTGCTCGTTGGCCGCGGCTCAAAAGATGAAGAAACACAGCAATTCTTGGACAGAATTCCGTCGTTGCTGGTGCGCTCGTGTGAACTACTCTTTGTACATTTGCTTGAAGTTTGCCACTTGAAATTAGGCTGAATTTAGTACCTGCACCACACGTATGTTTTTGAGTGCTGTGAAAAGTTTAGGCCGCTTTGCTGAAGGCTTTGCAAGTGTAACTACAGACGCTTTATCAGTTTTACCTTGAACATAATCGTTAATCATATACAGTAACTTCATCACCTTTCTTCTCTCTTTACTTGGCCCATGAAACGTGCATCTCTTCTATGATCCTTGCCCTAAAATTTGTTGAGCTCATTGAAATAACTTCCATCATCCGCACTCATTACCGATCATTAATTATGCTTGATTGGTCATGGGTACAGGAGAATCTATCACTCCTGTAACCTCTACTGATTAATCTCTCCCCAAACTATTATCGATCATTAATTAAGTTTGCTTGATCCTGGGTAGAGGAGAATCTATCACTCCTATAACCTCTACTGATTAATCTCACCCTAAACTATTATCGATCAATAATTATTTACGTTTGCTCCGGGGTACAGAAGAATCTATCACTCCTGTAAACTCTACTGAGTAATCTCACCCCAAACTATTAATCGATCATTAATTATTTGAGTTTGCTCCTGTGTACAGGAGAACGTATCACTCCTATAACCTCTGCTGATTAATCTCACCCCAAACTATTATCAATCATTAATTAGGTTTGCATGGTCCTGGGTAGAGGAGAACGTATCACTCCTGTAACATCTAGTGATTAATCTCACCCCAAAATATTATCAATCAATAATTATTTGCGTTTGCGTTTGGTACAGGAGAACGTGGAAGACATACACGCGGCAGCGGAGGCGGGCGAGACCCGTAGAGTGCAGACCCTTATCGACAGGAGGAAGAAGGCGTCCGTGCGCGACACCAACCACTGCAATATCCTGCACAAGGCCGTCCTGCACGGCCATTCCGGTGAGCATCACCTGACATAATATGAGATATTCGTGGTGTTCATCAATTAGGCAGGCAGTAGTTATGAAGTTATGTGTCAAATATACTGTCTCTCAGTCTGCATAAGCAATTAATACTATTAATGATTCAAATGAGGTGGTAAAGATCTGGTTTAACACTTTTTTCGTGACTAATTCCACTTTCTGCCTGTATTTATCAGTGATTGAAAATATGCAAAACTCGAAATATTTCCTCAACATTAAGAACCCTGTGCATAACAGGAATCTTGAACATTAACACAACATTAAAATTCTTGCTAGACCTGATGCGTTATTTGATACAGTGGAACCCAGAGCTTAACAGAAATTTCAAACATTAATGCAGCATTAATATCCTGCCTAACCGGATTCTTAAGCAATAACTCAACATTAATATTCCTGCCATACCTTGTGCGTTACCTAATACAATGGATCCCAGAGCTTAACAGAAATTTATAACATTAATAGAATATTAATAATGCCTTAACTGAATTTTAAACATTAACTCAACATTAACATTCTTGTCAGACCTGGTGCGACACTTGGTACAATCGAACCCTGAGCTAACAAAAATTTCAAATATTAATATCATGCCTAACCAGAATCTTAAACATTAACTCATCATTAACATTCTTGTCAGACCTGGTACGGCACCTGATAGGCTGATACATTGCAACCCTGAGCTAACAAGAATTTCAAACATAAATAATGCCTTACCTGAATTTTAAACAATAACTCAACATTAATATCCCTGTCAGACCTGGTACGACACCTGGTACAGTCATACCCAGAGCTAACAAAAATTTTAAACATAAATAATGCCTTACCTGAATCTTGAACATTAACTCCACATTAACATTTCTGTCAGACCTGGTGCGTCACTTGGTACAGTCATACCCAGAGCTGCTGGACCAGCAGGACAGAGCAGGCAGAACGCCCCTGCACTACGCTGCGGTGCTACGCGACGGCGGCCACACCTACAAGATCCTTGACAAGGCCGGCGCTGACGCCTCCTTAGAGGACAAGGTGGGGACTGCGACCGTTGGAATATGATGTAAAACGTGACCGCATCTTGTAAAATTTTAATAGCGATATACTGTAGTTATAATACCTCTGGGCTCTGTAAATTTTTAATACCGATATGATTATAATACCTCTGGGCTCTGTAGAATTTTAATACCGATATGATTATAATACCTCTCAGCTTTCTAAATTTTTAATACCGATATGATTATAATACCTCAGGGCTCTGTAATTTTTAATACCGATATGATAATAATCTGCGATGAAAGCATTTCCAGCTCACGTACGGAAAACACAAAGAAATTATAGACTTGATGGTGCGATTTGCGATAATAGCGATTCCAGTTTCACAGATAACGAAATTCTTTCCGTGAACCAAGTTTCTGAAAAGATAATAAATTCCAGTTTCACGACATGTTTCGCACAAACAATGAAGTGCTCATATAGATCCTCAGTCTTACGATGATAGTAAATTCTAGCTGACATTGGCTTCTGGAAAATTGAATTGAAAAATTAAATTGTGAAGCGAGTGTCCTGTAATCACAGCCAGCCAACCGCGGAATTGAGGGCGCTGTAGACAATTCTTCACAATTTTCTGACAATAATTTTCAAAATATGTGAGATTAGTTTCTTTTATCAATAATATTATTCATCAACGTGCATTTTTCTGCCGTTTAGTTTCAAGTGCTTATTCGCTAGCGGATTTCAGTTGCAATTATTCCGCAATTCAATAATCAACTAGTATCTGATTTTCAAAATTTTACATTTAAATTATATGACCTTATTATGAGTTCGGGACTTCCTGGTCCCCGGTAACGATGATGCGCAGCCATGTTCTAACCTCGGATATTTTCTCCTGGACAATTTTAGGACGGTTTGACGGCAGCGAAGTATGTGGAGAACCCAGACTCCATAACTGAGAAGGAACTAAGAGCTGAGCTGAAGGAAGGTATTCCTTTGACGGACGATGAGTCACCTCCTCGCAAACACCGCGACGCTTTCACCGACGCCCGCCATGACACCAAAGACACTGACGGTGAGCGAACTTCAACGTAATTTTGTTCTGGAAAATAGCTGTTTCAATTAGATTTTAAACGTATTTTCGTTCTTAAACTCTTGAAAATAGCTGTTTTAATTAGAAATTGCCACGTTTCCGTAGAAATTGATTGTGGAATTATTTTTGTTTGAGAATTCATAGGCTAAAATATGGTGCACTAAATATTCTCGGGGTTCTTGGTGTAACTGCTGAACAATTTTTCGATGATCGGTTGATTTTTTGGCTAATTTTTCAAAGCTCCATTTAAAACTGTCCACTTGCCAGATCATGTAATGGAATTACCTACGTCAGCTGATAATTTTGCTAAAATATATTCAAAAATTATTATTTTATATTAGCTAGCGTTTCATGCGGCTAAAAGTCTAAAACTAATGGAAGATTAGTATAAAGTTGAGTTAATTGAGGGGAAGGAGGGCAGGAGATCTTGTTTCTTTTCTCACGAGTGCTTCAATTAATGATGTTCTCATAAACTAATCACGCGGAGTTTAAATTACTTTCATAGTAACTTGAAAAAACTTCATGGAAAAACTATGTATATATATTATTTCATTCAAAAAATTTGATAGAAAGCCATCATACATTATTGCTTATTTTCGCAGCACATTTATTCGAACGTCGTCCAACTGTCCTGCTTTATTTAATTAAAAATTTGAATTCATCAATGCTATATTCTACATTTTTCTGACCGTACAATTGAAACCATAACATCAGTACACTAGTGTGTTTTATGTGTGCTGAGAAATATTGAGTTGTGTAAAGCGCACTGATTATAAATCTGAAAGCATCCGGAATTTCTTGAATATTTCAAACTCATCACAAGCGTGAACAGTTATTTTCGTTTGAACATAACGATTTCTGCGCTTTTCTTTTTTTTACCTTATTATTACATTTATTTCTCATGACTATTCGCTCATGTGCCATAATTTTTTATTAACGATAGGTGTCGTGAATGTTGGAAGATTGATCTTAATGACAATATCTTGATCCGAATCGACGGTAAGTTTCATTTTAACGAATTCTAACAATAAACATGAAAGCTCTTCGATAACATTGGAGTCGTGATACATGCTAATACATATAATAGTAGAGGGTCCTACAAATGTAGAAAATTTCCCGAAATTAAGAGATGCCCTTGAATACATGAATATGAACACCTTCAAAACCAGACTAGACGAAGCTATGCAGGAGCATATGTTCAGTCTTAAAATGCCTAGCAAATTACGGACCAGGCAATAAGTCCAGCAGCTATCTCAATCAATCGTCAGTTATGGAAAGATCGGGTTCCAATGGCCGGATCCCTTGTGAATCAAGTCACGAAAAATTCACGAATCGGCAACAGGCCATGGGCCTATTTCTTTAGGGCCGACACTTTTATTCTATTATATTCTTAAGATCACCTGTAGGAGACCTTATTTCAAATTAGAGCGTAATCCACTACCTGGAAGAGCTGGTCCTGACGAGTCTGACTTTCACGACGAGAGTACGGAACCAATAATGAACAAGTCTACCTATTAGGCTCGATATTCTGTACCGCTATTGCAGTGTTGTGCTTATCTCTGTTGTATCAATAGTCTAAGAGCTAATTCAGTGTGGCACGTGTGTTCAATTTCCCACCAATTCTATGTTGCCCGCTAAGTGTTCTAGCACGTTAAAGCCACTCGACACGTTTCGCATCACTGGCATGGGAAATGTGGAATTCTATATTATTTAGTTATAATATAATTATTATATTATATGGTTTTTACCGTTTCATTACCGTAACCATGCTGAACATCACGCTGAGGCCCTTCTTATTTTCCAAACCACGAAATCTTTGATAATCAATCGTTGGAAATGTTTGTTGTCAATCTGTTCGATGTATTTCTAGCTCCGCGCTACAATTTTATAATCCATATCCTACGTACGTAGCATGTTGTTGAGTACATGTATATATTGCACTCGTATGTTGGCTGGCATGATCTCTATATCTCACTGACTTACGTATTGGCTAATTTCTCCTGCCGCTCCGTTCTCACTTTCTCCTCAGGAAGACGCTCTATGATATATCTTTACTTTAGAAATAACCTTCCGGCATAGAATTTAACTTACGGAGCTCTTCAATTTGCTCGCCGCGTCTTAGATTACAGTTGAAAACGCTGAACTTTTTGACATCATGGAAAATCAACCCTCGACAGGATCGTATTAGGATATTTAAATACATAGAGTGTACACATATTTTATCAAGTGAGAGATGTCTAACTACGGAAATGTAGAAATTCTTTTTCATTGCAATTTTTCTTTATTTATCGAGATCATGTTTCCGAATAAGACCGCTTATCTGAACATTAAACATTTTCGATGGTTGTAATAATAACTTTTCTGATTTATTAATGGGCATCGTATATGAAGGAATATACACACGTAACAGCCTTTCATCTGGGTTTGAGTTCCATAGTCGAAACAATATATTCTCATTTAGTGTGTGATCATTACAAATCTCAAGAACGGCATAATTAATAGTTTTAAAAAATAGATTATGCATAATTAAGGTTAAATGAATGTGGGCTTATAGATGAGCACTTCACTTGATATGTTAAATTTTAAAAATTAGCAATACTAAAGTCCTACACAGCAACTGTGAATAAAAATCACTCGAACGAATCGATCAGAAGAGCCGTGTATTGTGGAAGTTACAAACTCTTTCAATCCGAAAAAGACCAAAACCCACCTCTTTCCATGCAGAAATTCATGGCGGAGGTCAAGGAGGAGGTCTTAAAACAGCCGACTCGAGAACGCAGAGTCTCATCGACAAGGCGTTCAAAGATCTCAGGAACCAGAAGTCCACGTCACTTCTGAGGAAACATCTCTCGCCTTCGTTGTTTGATAAAATCAAGCACCGTGTGACTCCCAACGGCGCAAGTCTTCTCGACATCATCAAATTGGGAGTGTCCAATCCTGAGGATAACATCGGCGTGACTGCCGCAGACGCCGAAAGTTACTCCGTATTTGACGAATTGTTCGACCCGATCATTCGCGACTATCACGATATCGGACACCGTAGGCTAGTTAACCCGCAAGTTAACTTTGGCAGTGCTGACATTGTTGGAGATTTCGACGATTTCGGGAACTATGTCGTTTCTACTCGCATTCGCTGCGCCAGAAATATAGAAGGCTATTGCTTTACTCCGCTTATGACAAAGGCGCAATTTTCCACACTCGAAAAAGAGATCGTACCGGTTTTAAACTCTTTGGACGGTCCTTTACAGGGGGAATATGAGCCTGTGGACCATCTGTCTGGAGAAAAAGCTAAAAAAATGCTCAAACAATTTTCTGAATCTGCCAACGAAGGTAGGTTTTGGCCTACAGGCCGCGGCATTTTCTACAATGAGGATTTGACGTTGGTAATCCTACTGAACGATAAAGACCATTTGAAGATAATATCCTTTCAAAATAACGGCAATCTTCAAGAGGTTTACGAACGTTTCATCGATGCTGTGAATAGCATTGACGAGAAATTCAACTATTGTTTTTCTACCAAATTTGGTTTCTTGACAGTGTGTCCCACGAACGTGGGATCAGCCATGAGGTCTTCGGTCCGTATTCGGTTACCGTGCTTGAGCAAACAGCATAATATGCTTGAAGAAACTGCTGAAAAACTCAATCTTCAGGTACAGCGCGTGAAAGATGATCCATCTGACGACAACAAGGGATTGTATGATTTATCTTACCGATGGACCTTAGGAAACACCGAAGAAGAATCAATTGTTGACATGTACTCAGGAATTTTGGAGATCATCTCCCTCGAGAAGCGCTTTGAAAATTCAAAGGGTCAAGTTCGAAATCGGGCACGATAAATTTTACCTCAACTGAATGACGAAATAAACTGTTACCAATGCAAGTGAAAAGTCCGATGTGCATTTTCTAAGAATTTCATAGTTTTTGCTGTGGAATTCTGTACGGCTAGAGTAATTTTGAAATGTTGAACTATGTGCGCACATGTCATGACACAGCTATACGGTGATTCAAAGAAACTTTCTGTTTTGTATTTCGCCAGATGTTGTAGGAAGCCGCCAGATGTTGTAGGAAAAAAGCGAGTAGTATTTCATATGGAAGGCAAGGCCATGCATGAAGTTCTGTGTCACGCCTAGTCAATTGCCACAATGCGATGACAAGTGAACAGCGTGCGTTTGCTTTCAAGGCGTACTTTTCTAATGGTCGTTCGGTTATCGCTACTCAACGAGCATCCCGTACTCGGTTACGTATTCGTCCTTCTGGGAGGGTTCTTGATCGGAAATCGATTGTTACGTGAGTGAACACATTTAGGACAAGTGGGACTGTGAATGCATGAGTGTGAGTGAAACGACTGTCACTGGCTGAAATGAATGTCAGGGATGTCTGGTTCCAACAGGATGGAGCCACGGCCCACACAACACTATGATCAATGGATCTGAGACAACATATTTTAGAGCGCCTCATCTCTTTGAGACGTGACCTTCTTTAGCCGGCCCAATCCCCCGATTATGCTCCGTGTGATATTTTGATTGGTTTATCTCAAATCTCTCGTTAGCAACGACTGTCCAAGGACCCTACCTCATTTGAAAAACAACATACGCCAAGCTATCGCCAACACACCCGTCAATTCGATGCAGCGAGTTGAACGGAACTTCAAAAATCGACTATCTGAATGCATTAACAATAGGGGCCGTCATTTGTCCCATGTCATCGTTAAAACTAAGCGATACAAAAATTCAGGTGATGTCTTTTTCAATAAAATTTATATTGTAATGATATCTTTACAAATTTTTTATAGGGCTTTCAAACAAGAAGTTTCTGTGAATAACCCTAAATTTAACGCATATTTTGATTTAGTCGCAAACTCGGTTTCAAAATGTTAATCTCTGTCGAAATACAGCATGTGAAATGACCTATAGTAGTTGATTTGAAATTCAACAGAGTGTTTCTTTTTTAAATCCGCTTCGTTTTACCCACATTCCGAATTTTTTCTTTATATCATAATACTTTATCCGTGCATGCCGAAGACCACGAAAAGTCTATTCAACATTATTTAGTAACCTTATGGAGAATCTGAAACGCTAAGTGAACGAGCAAAATTATTATCAATATTGTTTGAAAGAGAATCTCATTTCTCCGCCATCTTAGCGTTCAATAGAGTGATGAAATGGAAAGTACTTTCATCCACACGATGATTAGTTATTTTGAACGTGAATGCAACATTTCGTTACACGACTGGAGTTTGCATTCATTTGAATGCAAAGTCACACTCAGTGTTTATCACTCGCAACCACACCCGCACAATCGCACGTTTCATTACGGAGCGAATCATATTTCCAACCTCTCAACACAGATATAGTGCTAAGTAACCGACTACAGCATTTCTTTAATGATAACTAAGAATGTAGAAATGTGTCCACAAGTAAACTTCCGGACTAGTTTAAAATGAACTGAACTCTTGCTTTCTGCAGTCACATATTACGGCAGTGAAGAAGAAGGCATGGAGAAGGTCGATTCCCGAACCTTGGGCTTGATCGAGAAAGCTTATGCGAGTCTCAAAGCTGAAAATTCGCAGTCGTTGCTGAAGAAACATCTCACATTGGAAATATTTGAAAAGATCAAGCATCGCATCACCAACAATGGTGGAACTTTACTTGATGTCATCAAATCTGGAGTCACGAATCCTACTTCAAGTGTTGGAGTGTATGCCCCCGACGCAGAGAGCTATACTCTGTTTAAAGATCTGTTCGATCCGATCATTGAGGAATACCATGAAGTGCAAGGTCCCAAAATCCAACATCCGCCTCAGAATTTTGGCAGTGCTTACTCGCTGGGGAACTTCGACGATTTTGGGCAGTATGTAGTTTCGACAAGAGTTAGGTGTGCCAGAAACCTAGAAGGATATCCCTTTAACCCTCTGCTCACTCGAGACCAGTACGAGGAAATAGAACAAGATATTGTGAATGCTCTGGACTCGCTGGATGACGACTTGGCTGGCTATTATAAACCTTTAAACAGCTTCACGGATGAAGAAAACGCCAAACTTGTTGCAAGTCATCTTCTCTTCAAGTCAGGTGATCCATTTCTGGAGGCGGCAAATGCCTGCCGATTTTGGCCAAACGGTCGCGGAATCTTTCTGAACTCAGACGCGTCTTTAGTTGTGTGGGTGAACGAAGAAGACCAGATGAGGATTATTTCAATGCAAAGCGGAGGAGATCTCGCCGTGGTTTATGATCGTTTCGTCCGAGCTGTCACAGCGCTCGGAGATATATTACCGTTTTCACATTCCAGCAAGCTGGGATATTTAAGCTTCTGCCCCACAAATCTCGGTACCGCAGTGCGAGCTTCCGTTCACATCAAACTGCCAAACTTGATGAAGAATTCCAGCTTACTCGAAGAAACTGCTGATAAATTTAATTTACAGGTTCGAGGAAGTCAAGGAGAACACTCAGAGGTTGAAGGCGGTGTTTTTGACATCTCGAATAGGAGGCGATTAGGCTTGACCGAAATCGATGCAATGGTGGAAATGTATCATGGTGTGTCGGCTATCATTTCTATGGAGCAGCAGCTTGAAGAAGCTATCAAGCGCAAACGTGAGAAATCTTTACGTTGAATCGCTTAGACTGTATTTATTTGTTCGACTGTGGTCTATGGATTAAAAGACACCTAAGTGTAAGAAGGTCCTTCAACTTTTTTATAGCATTCAATATAAATGAAACAGTTCTAAAACTTGCATTTCATTGCACTCTGTTTGTTGTATTTCATCTATTTATATTGTGTTTCATGAAATTCTACGAATAGCTTATAGACCAGCTTATAGCTTATAGGCCACCATCAGAGGCGTTAAGGTCGGGGCCCTGATCATTGACATGAAACCATTCCCTGTTTTTAATTAATAAAATCAATTCCTTTTTTTTTTGTTGGAATGGTGAGTGTGGGAGGCATTTAAAAAAAAAATGCTTATAGTATGAATAATTATACTAAACTACTAAGGCTGATCTCAGGTCCGGTGTAACCTCACGATTATAAAATGTCAAATTATTTGGCAATATTGCCCTAACACAACGATCGCTGCAGAAACCGTTTAAATCATTCTATGTCTTTCAAAAAAAGCTAATAAAATAAATAAAAAAGGTGCTCTCTCATTTAAAATTCGAATTGATGTTTCACGCCATCCAAATGTTAATAATATTACTTTCCAGATTTAGATGAATATTGTCAAAGGGGTGACCAGTAGTGTTTCCATTTCTCTTCATTCTATCATGCCTGCCGTTGCTACATTTGATTTATGCAGCATTTGATATATGCAGTAACGACAATTTCATTCTCCGTTACTGCAAATGTGAAATATGACTTTAGTTGTTATCGGTGTGCATTTTAGTTTTATCTCATGGTGCCCTCTCATTAAATTTGTCAAATGTACGGTATTGTGCACTGGCATCTAGTTAAAAAAAACTGTTAAACCTGTAATTTCTAGACTAAGTATTGTACATGTAGTGCAGTAGAGCGGGGATTGAGCTCCAATTTCTACAGATGTAACTGCTTTCCAATGAGGTTCAGTATTTAGGTTTTTTTTTGTGGAGACAGCCATGACAGTTTTGTGTCTTAAGCTGTAAATTTAATCGGAAATAGCATCTATAAAAAGCATTTATTGTAAATGTTCTAGAAGTTAACTATAAATGCGTATAACTAATCGAATGAGGTCGCATTTAAAATATTATAGAAGATTATAGATTTAGAAAAATTATGGTCGAATAATAACAATGTCAGGTCATAAGTTATACACCTTACCATCATCCTATATACTTGATAAAAGTAAAGCTGCGCCATAAAAATGCGTATCTTCTAAGTATGTTTACTTAGTGTACTCGTATATCTATTACGGCATCTTTAGCTGTATAGGGTGAGACATTTGAGCATATATACTGTGCAACTGTGCCGTCTTTCTCTTCCTCCATAACAAAGTCGAATGTTTTGCGACCTTTTAATGATCATCTAAGAAACATTCGCGTTGATTTTCAACCTTGTCTGTTTGAAAATATCGAAATTTTTGTTGAGATGTTCTATGTAGAAGCGACAATTTATAATCTTTATTAGATTTATATGAAAAATTAATATTCACGTTCATTACGTCTATATATCAATTCAGCGCATACGCAATGCAGATAATGTGTCTGAATTCTGTATGCTTACACTTGGCTCAGATTCGAGAAAATCTGTACTCAAACGTTAACGATGTTGCTGAGATAAACGCGATGAGATGATAATTATATTTAATGTAATGTGGCTAACAATTTTGCTCAAAACGGATGAAAAACTCAAAAATATAACCTGAGATGATGACTTTGGAGCGTCAATTTCAGCAGGAGTTACACCCGGTGAGTGTTTTCTTTTTTTTTTAGAATGATGCATCGAGTGCCTTTAAACCAGCACCTTTTATAATCAGACTTCAACCCATAATGGAACTTATCTGTCTGTGAGCTCCAAGAATTATTATTAGTGCCTGCCTTAGTCGAGGATTAGAAACAAGCAAAAACTCTTGCCCGAAGCGTTTAGTTTCATTGCTTAGTCAAATTTTCCTTGTATAAAAGTCTTAGATACTCAATTGCATGAAGGATCATATAATTTAGATAGACTCGAATAGTTAATTGCCGAGTTCAAATAAGTTATGATTACGATGCAGCCTGTGTCGATCAATTATCCTTAACGAGCCTTGTGACTGATACCAATTAATGATCCATAAATTTTTAAGCCACTTCCATGACAAACGATTTAATAAATACTTGTCTAAGTAGTGTCAGACTGCCACTATCAGTTGTCTCTTGTTATGTTTTATTATGAAGATCACCGCAGCCCAGCCTGTACGTCGCAATACGATCACTGAATCCTTAAAAACACTCAATGTCTAAACTGACTTATTCGATACAAAAATTTTATCGTATATCTTCCATGACTTATTTTGTTCCAGATCCTTTTGAATGAAATTATAGAAAAAGTTAGAATTGTCAAATTACAATGAGCCTGTCCCGTTGAATAACGATAACTGAACAAACTTATACCACTGACGTTACGGTAAAATTTCAGTAGAATTCTCATTAGAAGCCAAAATTTTATTATTGTCTGATGTCATCTTGAGTTGGGTTTTTTTTTATGCAATGACGGATTAGGTTGGCTCAAATTTAAAAGCATGTGAATTCTTAGCAGCTTTGCATGCTGTAGAAATAGCCAAATCACCATACTTTTTCAGTCCTATTTTGTTCGAGCAAATTAATTTCTACTTCTTTGTTCTGATTGAACTTCTGCATGCTCTGTCATTGATAATTAATGTACAATTAATATTGGTTATAATCAATAGTGCCTAAATTGTTTAACAAGAAATCTAACATACACTTTCTTTCTAAAATTGCTCAACTGAGATGCTTCTTGGAATGTTCCTTCAATCGTTTTAAAACTGTTGTAAAATTCAGTAAGACTTAATGAAAAAAATCATATTTCGTACAGAATGTGAATTTTAAGTCTCGTGTCTTTCAAATAATCGAGTATAAACTAAGAAATCAGATTGACAAGCCTCAGAAGCCATGCGACAAACGAAGGAACATCCTATGTTGTCTAGAACTACGAGTATTTGCTGAATCTCAGACGATATTTAGGTTGTTAATGCAATGTAATTCATTGTTAAAAAGGAGTTGAATACAAATATTAAATATAATTGACTATGTATTGAGTGGCAATGGATGTAACTTTTACTGGTAATCAGAAAACTCACGCATGCACACTAATTTTCTTCTCAATAACCTTTGCTCATTAATCGGTTAACCTGTGATTTATGGGAGCTACTGTCAACTGCTCCAATTTTTTAATTTGCTGCATGTTTAGTCTAGATTTAATATCCTTATTTTATTTGATTAATCTTTTACGCTTCTTGATCAAGTTCCATGGTAAATAGAATCAATCCTCTGGAATCATTTTCAGTTATCTAATTTTAATTTGGTTAATACCATTTTAATTTGGTTAATACCAATTTTAATTTGGTCAATACCATTTTAATTTGGTTAATGCCACGATGATCTGATGAAGATTAAGTGTAACACTCGCAGTTAAGCGATGCTTAAATCTTTTTATTTAATTTTCTTGGTATCCCATTGTTCACCTCTGAATTAGATGCTCATCTTAGAACTAAATTGACCGTTTACAACCGAAAACTCAGATGTTATAAATAACTTACAACATATACCAACATCAAATACAGAAAACGAAGAGGGAGAAACACAGAATCAAGATGGTGAAGATGGAGACCAGCAGCGAGATGAAGAAGGTGAAGACGAGTACGCAGAAGAAGATGTAAACGCAGGAAAAGAAGATGTAAACGCAGGAGAAGAAGATGTACACGCAGGAGAAGAAGATGTACATACAGAAGATGTAAACGCAGGAGAAGAAGACGAGTTATCGCGAGAGAACGGAGACACGGAATTCATCGCCGACGACGCCAAATACTCCAACGTTGGGACCAGTGACGGCGAATATCTCTCAAGTGGTCAGTAATTTCACCCCCATGTTGTAGAACACGTTAAAAATATTAAAATTTCAGTGGGAATAATATAGTGGTTTAGGATAGATCACCTTCATGTTGCCTGCTAAGAATTTTTGCTTTTATCAGTGATATTGCTTGAAATGTATGTATTCCACCTATATTCACATTGATAAATGGAAGATTTTTTTTCTATTCATGAGAAAAAAATCTCATGTACAACAAAATACCGTCCTAACCCGCAGAATTAACCGCCTAACGCGCTTTTTAATTTTATTATCATATTATTACCATTATTATTGAGGATAATTTTATTATCGGTAGCACTCGGCGACACGTTGACCAAAAGCCTAGCGGAGGTGAACGCCGTCCGACCGTAAATATATTAATTAAAATAGTGACGGACAATTTGCTTGCGTATCGCGAAATGAAGTTAATTAATGAGGCTAGCGCGAAATTACTCTCAGGGAATACAAGGACATTAAAAGCGAGATTTGACACGTTTTATATGCAAAGTTTAGTCATTGTCGGAAGTTATTTCACGCCTCTCATGTAATACAAAAAAGAGCAATTCACATCCGATTCCTCGTTTAAATTGATTTTCTGTACATTCATTACCAGTATTTTATGCCAATAACCGCTTTTAAGTTAATGAATTTGAAAATATAATATTTGTAATTAACGGGAATTTTCATTGATCATTACGTATGTAAGTTGTCGATTTTTAACTTTTTTTCATTTTCATAGCATATGTCCTCCTAAAAATACGAATACTGATTTGTTTTATCATTTCTGAAATGAATATTGAAATCGTATTTCTTATCATTAGAACATTTTATTCTTTTTTTGAACTTGTTTTTCGTTGCAGAAACTGGCAGCATCGCGACCTAATTCAGGCTCAGGAAGCTCTACGAGGTCCTCCATAGCCAAGCAGACCGCCTTCAACGACAGCAACAGCAGCGCTAGTCTTCGCAAGAGACATGTTCGGGTGTGTATACCGGTATTTTCGTAGAGAACATCTGACCGGATATGTATAGTATAATTGTTGCACAATACTTGTCCGGGTGTGTAAAATTTAATTTTCGAAAAACTTGATCTAGTTGGTACAGTATTATTTTCGGAAAATGTATGTCCGGGAGTGTACAATATTATTTTCGAATGAGAAATATGTAAGTGTGAACCCTATAATTTTTGCAAAAGAAATCTACTGGAGGGTCACCCCATATTTTCCACAGTGAGCTGACAACAAGTTTTTTTCTTGTTCGTGGCATTTTTACGTTTATTCCACATCATACTTTTAGTATTGCAAGTGATAGTAATTGCAGAAAATCTGACTTGAAAACGGGACTCGCGCTCCACATGGTTTTTTGCATTAGGCAGCAGCTCTGCCCCCGACCTACGACAGTTTGGATTTGGTAAATCTTACATAAATGTTAACGCTCACACTCGTGATCAAATATTTTTCGCCGATGGGTTCAAGATAATTGGGGAGCTGAAAGAATGTAGGCAGAACTTGTCCTCCTTTGAAGCATATTTGTACCCTGATTGTGCCACCGAGTCGCACTTTCCGGTAACTTAAAAATGTAGGAATTTTTATAATTAATAATTTTAGTTGCTGCAATTAAAATAATATCAGGTTGATAATTTGCAAATGACTCTGCTTCCTAATGAATTTTCAATATTCAATTACGTTTTTTCCCATGCAAAGTATACACAGATGATGATGTATATTCCCATGATGGATACACAGAAGTTTTAAATAGTCTGCTTTTAATTTGTTCAACACGTTTTGAAGTAGAAGAATGTTACTTCAGATTCCCTCTGCGACTATTATAGATCCTTTTACTGACGGAACTCGAGTCGTAACACTAAATGTTACTAACATTTTGAGTTTCTCTTCATGTAATATTGTCCTGAAATGTTGCACCGTTCCAGTATAAAGCTAAGTTCATCTTTTTAGCGTCTTTTCTCATTTAGGAAAAAATGCCCTATTGTGCTCGTCATGTCCGTCCGTCCGTCTGCCTTTGACTTCGCGTTTTCGTCCACGAGAAAATGCGCTCTCTGTCACTCACTGCAATGAGTACTGAGTTATATTTTTTCTTCCGTAGGACCGGATGGGCAGAAACGCCCTACACTTGGCAGCTGAGAAGCCGCACGATCCTGGCGTCTTCGAGCAACTCGTGCGCGCCGCGGGCCCCAAGATGCTTGCCGAGCGCGACGCCTCCTACAGGACGCCTAGGGACATCGCCCGCTCGCTTCAACACCACGACAACGTCAAGGAAATAGACTTCTACGTCTGCAGTCTCGCTGCAGAAGGTGTGAATAATAAAGGTTTTTTTCAATCTGGATGATTTATTCATTTAGAAGAAATATAGATATACTTTTCCTGTTCAGCCACATACGAAGTTTGAATGATAAATGAGCTAGTCAATCTGGAGTTCCATGCAAAATTTTACAGTTATTCCTTTCTTTTCTTGTGCCTATTCCTCAAAATACAAAGTTTGAATGGTGAAAGAGCTTCTTAATATGGGAGGTCATCCCTTTTTTGTAAATTAATCATTACTGATCAAAACATTGTAACCATTATTTCTCAAGTGCATCAGCTTGACCTTAATTCAAAGAACACATATTTTGTTATTATTTTCTATAGACAAAGTTGATGAGCTGCGATACCTGGTGCTGCAAGGCTACACAGATCTCTTCGATGCCGAAGATGCAGACGGCGACGACATCTTTGCGGTGGCTGACAAAAACCAGCGCAAGAAAGCAGCTGTCATGTTGCAAGAAGCATCCGTTTACGAGGTATGCCTACGTTACAACTGCATCCAGCCTTCAACTTCTGAAACTTCTCTCACGTATTCAAGGTTTCCCTCTTCTTTTGTTTTCAAGCTAAAAAATAAGTATTTGAGGTTTCCTGATTTTATTTCAGACCTCATGATTGAAAAATAAGAATATATATCACTTGCGGCAAGATTTTTTGGCCCCGTCTGTAGTATTTCCGCGCGTGACAGGAACGGAGAGAGTGGATGAACCGCGCGATCACCGTGGGGTCGCTGCCGCACGTGCAATACATCGCAGACGCCCCTGACGTGATCATAGGACGTGACACGAAGGGACGGCTTCCCATACACCTTGCCACGCTCCTAGAGAGGAAGGACATCATGAACTTCCTTGCTAACAAGGCCCCCGTCACCCTCTCCGTCGGCGACAACGTAAGAATCGCGCTTACTAATCGTGACGAATTGACTAGCTTGAACTTTAAGGTAACGTATTATGGCTCTTAATTCCATTTCAAATTCGCGCTAAGAATTTTCAGCTTAATTTTATTTTATTCATCAATTCAGATGAAACTTGATGCTTATATATTTTAGTTTAAATTTATTTTCTTAAATTTTATTTCTTATTTTCTTACATTTTATTTACTTTATTTGTTTTCTTTTTATACATTTTAGTTTAAATTTATTTTCTTAACGTAAAAGGTGTAACTTATCACCAATTTTGATGGATATGCAGCTCGGCCGCACGCCTCTCCACTATGCCATGGCAGTCGAGGGGGTCGAAGAGGTTGCCAAAATCCTCATACAAGCTGGAGCAAAGCGCACCATCAAGGACCTGGTGAGTGTTCAGTCCAGATGCCATCTAATCTCTTATCAAAACCTGATGAATCGAAGCAAACGTGCAGAATGAAAACAACTCAATTGATTTATATTTGAAATTAACTATCTTCCCTGCTGACGACAGCTAGTGTTACTTTTTATGCATGCTAATTACACTACACTGACTTCTGTGTCCCTGTATCGGGTAATTTTAAAAATTCTACTCTCTAATAACTAAAGCATATTTTTCGATTTTCCAAAATCTTTGCCTTTAAAGTTTTTTAATCCAATAAAAAGAAACAGGCATTTGAGTGTAACAGGCCTTTCGTGTATACGAACTATTATGACGAACTGCAAAATAAAGCGGACTTTTCTGAAGCCCTGTAATTAATTTTTCTATAGAAGTAAAATAATTGAAGCACCAAAGATATATGATCCATTATAAGCACAAATGCCACTTTGAGTGCTTATATAAACTTAAACTGAAAAGTTTTGGAATATTCCTTGCAACGGTTCTGTTAAAAGTGAAAAAATAATTCCCAAGGAAATAAAGTCCGCAAAACTGCTTTTTACCATAAAATTCATTCAAGATCGTTGCTTACAAACTATAATTCGCATGATAATTCTGACAGGAACTTCAAAAAATCTCAATGTTTTGACGCATATCTGGATGCTCAAACATTTTCTCGACTGGATGAAAGAGACTCGGCGATTAAATTTTTGTATATTATATACGTATATCCACAAAATAAAATTAGATCATAATTTCATGACATTGATTATAAATGTCCTCCATTGTTTTAGTAAGTTTCTTCCGTCTTCGTTCATTTCATTCTCAATTAATTTGCTACACATCGCTCATTTATCTTTTGATGAAAATTATCAAAGAGTTACTTAAATTACAGCAATGTTTTTATTGTGTGTTGTACAGAGAGGCAAGATGCCGAGCTTCTACTTCATGAAACGTGACGAGATCATCCAGATGATGAACGAGTTATATGAGCAAGAGAAAAAACAATAATGTTAATAATAATAACATAATAATAGTTATTTGTCTTAAATGGGTGACTATCTTATTGTGCTTGTCATTGTTGTTATCGGTTGTTTATTTCATGTGGTATTATACGGTTAAATGTGTATTTAACGTAATCTACATGCTCTATGCAGTAACCTGTACTTATGTAACATTGCTTAGTAATGGTGAATTGATAAATTCAGCTGTCTTTTGTGATTGTTTGTCTTGTTTTTGCCTGGATATCGTACATGTCAGGAATCCGGTGTTAAGCATGAAGGGTATGGAGGTAAAGACCCTAGAAATTAGACCAGTTCATCTATTGTGCGACTCCCGAATGTACTGTACTTATGACCAAGTAAAATTCTGACTAAGTTTCGTCGGAATATTTTAGTTTCTGATATCTGTTATGTTTTTTCTATCACCTACAACAATGGGTGGATTGATTAGCATCAACTGCGGTAGGATTATTAATCAATCAGTTACAATTTACTGCGGTAGATTGATTAGTATTAACTGATTCATTAGTATTAACTCGTGTTTTACAATCAATTTGGCACTGCACCTGTATTGCAATCTTCGACCAATTTATTTTAGATCATCCCTTGATAAAATTTAGCCCAAAATTAAGATTTTTTTTTTTTTTCTTCGTCGTTTACTCTAGATGATTAATTATTATCGTCTAGGTCTTGAAGGAAAATTTTTTTTTATGTAAAAGCATTTAAATATTACACTTGTGTGCTACGAATATTCTTAATGTTGGTGTTTTGCTGAGCGACATAATATATCATGAGACGCAACCCATCCGATGTCCATGCGGTAGATATGCCGCGTATCAACTCGAGAGAATATATGATTATAACATATTTAATAAGATAAATTAGTTTGGTAGTGTTTGGCCTGAGGTTGAACTCATAAGAATTGTTGTTCGTTTGTTGTTGATGAGATTTAGTCAACAGCAAAAGTGAATCGAGTCCCCACTTATTAACATTTTTTTTCTGTTGCGATTTTATTTATATACTCTCTCAATGAAAATGACAAGTTCTCCAAGTAAAATTCACTGCTATTTCCCTTATTTTAATCGCAGGCATCGAATTACATTCAGGCTAAATTACTGGAAATAGATAACCTAATTTTTACCGATGTTGTTAATGACTTAATGTTAAGCGTTTATGAAATCTAATACTGTTTTTACGGAATCTTCAAGACCAGCCTAGTTTTATTGATGAATTAAGCACGTGCCAATGAGTCAGTATTGACAAGAACTTAACATTAATTCGGCTTTTTTTTTGAGAGACTATAAATTATCCGAGTACATAAGAAAGGCAAGAAATAATTATTATTCTATCCAAATATGCTAGCGACAAGCTTACGACTATTTGACAATATATTTTCGTGGCCATTTAAAGCCACGACTCTTGTGGTGATGAGCATGGAAGCTGTGGTTTAAATTGTTGCGCGAGGGTAAAATAGTTTACAACACAATTGTTGATTGTGCAGGTGATTTTGGAAGTGGTCTGTGATAAAATAGTTCTATGAGCATGGAATTCTAAGATACACTAACTCGAGTATTTTTTATGGATAATACGAATTAATATACTGTAATGCCATGTAAATGATCTTTATTTGCAGAGGCGTTTGAAGTCATTTGCATCGTCTAAACGTTGCCAGAAACATTGAGCTACTGCCAGGGCAAGACAAATCCGTTAGCATTTCGTGCGAGAGAATCGATGAAAGAACATTATAGTCTCAAATCGAACTAATTCCTTGTTGCAAAATAATTGTGAATATACAAATTACGTTGCATTTAACAGTGGCAATTATTAGGATTACATTCGAAAAAATTACGTACAAAAATCAAAAAACCTACTACTGGACTATTTGTGGGATTTTTGACCTTCGATTGACCTATTTGTGGGATTTTTGACCTTCCTGTTGTCTGAATCGTCGAAAGTAGATCTAAAATGTAAGTAGTAGTAATTGTAGAAATTGCAAGCGAGCTATGCGAAATCTTTCATTCAAGAATGTTCACTGGAATTATGTTGCTTTTACCCTGTTACTTAAAAGCCTATAATAAATAGTATATTTTGAATTTCTTTATTATCCTTGACGTGCACCGGTGCCGGCGTATGTTTAAACTTGGAGACTCTTCGCCATGAAAAGTTATGTAATTTTTCTTTCAAAAAACACAATTCTTACTTATGTGGCGCACCGACTATAACAATCTTTAATGTGAAGTTGTGTCGTCAAATTACGCCTTTTTCCACAATCGAAAGCTTTCCATTTTTACAACACTTCTCTTTAACTTCGCTTCTTGTTTGTCGGTTTGTCTGTCTGTCTGTCTGCTACAAATCTTGTAATCGATTTTTAACACACTTCTACCTCTCCAATCGATCTGAAATTTTGCACACTTACGTAAAGTTAGAGACAATGCATGAATCAATTTACAGAATAAATAATTTTAAAATCAAAAAATAATTTTTTTCATTATTAAAAGAAATTAAAAAATAATTTCGTCTGCTACAAATCTTATAATCCATATATGACACAATTTGAAATGTCCAATTGATCTGAAATTTTGCACAATTGCAAAGTCAGAGACAATGCATGAATCAATTGACAGAATAAATAATTTTGAAAATTTACAAAATTCTGATATCTTGAAAAAATTTTGAAAAATAATTTTTCTTTTAAATATTTGAAAATAAAATTAGAAATTCATTGTACATGTGTAACATCCAAGACACTCGATTGTTCAGAAGTGTTGTCTTTAAAAAGTAATTTTTAAACGCATATTATTATTCCATAGAAGAGTAGGTACTGGAAAAAGAGTGCATCTAAGAAAGGTTGGAAGGAGAAAAATAGAGTTTTACGTTGCTCTGTATTGTCTATTTGAACTTTCGACGACCACAAAACTGACATATAAGTAGAAATTCTTGAGGGAAACTTCAGCAAAATGATCCTGTCCGATAAATTCAAATGTAATAAATAATTAACTGAAAATTTTTGCAGGAAATTTTGAATTTATGATAAAATTCATATGTAACATTTTTTCAAAACTGACTGTATATATATAATTCCAGTTCGTTTTGAAAATGGGAACCATGAGAAATTCAAGATTTTTTTTAATGATGACAAGTTTAAAATTTAATTGCAAAATTTTCAACAAATTCGATAAAGTATTGGTTGAATCAGACTTATAAATGAGCGTAATATGTAACTATTATCAAATTTAAGATCAATAACATATCCTAACGTTTTCATGACTGTCGACAAGGTGGCTCATCGGATTCTCCAAATTCGAAACCTTCTGAATCTTGTGCTGTTCCCCCTGGAGTATTGCGTCCTCCCCATCTCTGTTCCCTATCACCTGAAACTCTCTGGCCCTCGTATGGCATAAGATTTACTTNACCAGCCTAGTTTTATTGATGAATTAAGCACGTGCCAATGAGTCAGTATTGACAAGAACTTAACATTAATTCGGCTTTTTTTCGAGAGACTGTATAAATTATCCGAGTACATAAGAAAGGCAAGAAATAATTATTATTCTATCCAAATATGCTAGCGACAAGCTTACGACTATTTGACAATATATTTTCGTGGCCATTTAAAGCCACGACTCTTGTGGTGATGAGCATGGAAGCTGTGGGTTCAACTGTTGCACGAGGTTAGAATAGTTTACAACACAGTTGTTGATTGTGCAGGTGATTTTGGAAGTGGTCTGTGATAAAATAGTTCTATGAGCATGGAATTCTAAGATACACTAACTCGAGTATTTTTTATGGATAATACGAATTAATATACTGTAATGCCATGTAAATGATCTTTATTTGCAGAGGCGTTTGAAGTCATTTGCATCGTCTAAACGTTGCCAGAAACATTGAGCTACTGCCAGGGCAAGACAAATCCGTTAGCATTTCGTGCGAGAGAATCGATGAAAGAACATTATAGTCTCAAATCGAACTAATTCCTTGTTGCAAAATAATTGTGAATATACAAATTACGTTGCATTTAACAGTGGCAATTATTAGGATTACATTCGAAAAAATTACGTACAAAAATCAAAAAACCTACTACTGGACTATTTGTGGGATTTTTGACCTTCGATTGACCTATTTGTGGGATTTTTGACCTTCCTGTTGTCTGAATCGTCGAAAGTAGATCTAAAATGTAAGTAGTAGTAATTGTAGAAATTGCAAGCGAGCTATGCGAAATCTTTCATTCAAGAATGTTCACTGGAATTATGTTGCTTTTACCCTGTTACTTAAAAGCCTATAATAAATAGTATATTTTGAATTTCTTTATTATCCTTGACGTGCACCGGTGCCGGCGTGTGTTTAAACTTGGAGACTCTTCGCCATGAAAAAGTCATGTATTTTTCTTTCAAAAAACACAATTCTTACTTATGTGGCGCACCGACTATAACAATCTTTAATGTGAAGTTGTGTCGTCAAATTGCGCCTTTTTCCACAATCGAAAGCTTTCCATTTTTATTCCATAGAAGAGTACTGGAAAAAGAGCGCATCAAAGAAAGGTTGGAAGAAGAAAAGCAGCGTTTTACGTTGCTCTGTATTGTCTATTTGAAATTTCGACGACCACAAAACTGTGACATATAAGTAGAAATTCTTGAATGAAACTTCAGTAAAATGATCCTGTCCGATAAATTCAAATGTAATAAATAATTAACTGAAAATTTTCGTATGAAATTTTTAATTTATGATAAAATTCATATGCAACATTTTTAGTCAAAACGGACCGTAAATATATAATTCCAGTGCGTGTTTAAAATACGAACCATGAGAAATTCAAGATTTTTTAATGATGACTAGTTTAAAATTTGATTGCGAAATTTTCAACAAATTCGATAAAGTATTGGTTGAATCAGACTTATAAATGAGCGTAATATGTAACAATTATCAAATTTAAGATCAATAAGATATCCTAACGTTTCATGACTGTCGACAAGGCGGCTCGTCGGATTCTCCAAATTCGAAACCTTCTGAATCTTGTGCTGTTCCCCCTGGAGTATTGCGTCCTCCCCATCTCTGTTCCCTATCACCTGAAACTCTCTGGCCCTCGTATGGCATAAGATTTACTTCTTCTTCGTCACCTTTGAGAACAATTTCCATTCTCTCACCAAGAATCTCTTCTAACTTTGGACACAGACTCGGATCAATGCGCTCTGGAATGTCCACCTGCGAGAACAAAACGCTATGATTAATCTATAGTTTCGAATCTTGACTAGCATTTTAATTGATGATATTGATGCGTGTCACCCACTGTTTATCACATTTTTCGACTCATCTCTACTTTTCAACTCATTCTTGCAAGAAACCTGCAATAAATTACCTTCCCTAGGTGCACAATCTCTAATTTTTTGTAGAAAATTCATGCGAAAGCATAGAGTGACATAAGTAATCAACCTTCCCGAACTTCAAAATTAGTTTATCATAATACAAGTTTACATTTTGTCTTTTACTATGCTTGCCTTGAAAATCAGATATAGATGTCCACGTTCATACGGATTTCTTTGCTTCGGGAACCCTTCGAATTCAATTAACTTCTCCGCATTTGGCCCAACGACGATACCAGAAGGCTGGTGGAGGACGAGCGTTCTGCCATCGAGGTGTTTCAGGGCCTTCCTGAAGCCTCCTAAAGCTTCCAGTAAAGTAATCTGAAATTGACATTATGCTGTTGCCACATAGTTGTGCTCTAGATTTTTTTTGTTTTTTTGTTTTTTTTTATTTGGGGTTTCACATTCCATTCTTCCGTGACTTGTTGAATCGGCTATTGTTGAAGAATCTGCAAAATTTCTCACCTAATAGCTCATAAAAACATTGCTTTGCCTGTTAAAGAGTTATAATTAGCAAGTTTAACGCCTCATATTTTCCATCATAAGCAACCTTAGCATTTGTTTCATAATATAATATACCTCTTTAATCCTGAGTATTTTCCATTCACAGTTTATTTATGGCAACATCGCTACTAACCTTGACGTCAGTTTCCAAGTCTAATCCTGTTCTCCTGAAAACTTTGTGCTCCTTCTCCTTCAGGACGATGTGAACATCCCCAGCAGCGTCTTTGTTGGGCAGCTGATCTCCCTCCCCCACCAGGATGATTTTACTGCCCTCTCCTGCGCCTGCTTCGATTTCCACCTGTGGGTAAAAACTCTTTCTTTTATTTCCTCAAAAATTAATCCTAAATCATACCCTATTTCTCGGGTACATGTACAAAAGTAGAAGGGCTTGTGAGCTTCATTCCCACCCTATATTCGATAATTTGTCTTGCATTAGATCCCTAATTGTCGATTTCTACCTGTGGTTCTACGTCATGGCTTTATTTATCACTCTACCTATTTCACACAATAGTAACATGTTTACTATTCGTAACCACCCCGCAGCGGATACGAATATTTATTTGTCCACTGAGTCAAAAAATTAAAGAATTTGAATTCCTCACCTCGACTATTTTTGACTCGACTGCCACTCTCTGCCCTTCACAGACGGAGCATCGGTCGGCAGCTGCCAGCACACAGCCAGCGCCCTGACAGTCCTGACACGTGCCGTGCATCTCCACCAACCCCATCCCCAGCTGCTGGTACATCTTCTGCAACGTCGGAAAAATCGTTTCTCGTAAGTTAATATTTACTCAAATATTTGATAATTACTAATTTCATATGCCTACCTATTTGTTGGATATGTCGGTTTGTAAGATATTTTTTCCCGCAGTTAATATTCACTTTAACATACACCAGACATTTGCTATTTTTATTAGCCTACGTGTCAATCGTTTGACGTGCGGAGAGTTGTAGGTCAATGAAATAATTTTTTCCATACTATTCATTTCCTCATCCGTTCAAGCAACACTAAAAATGCATTTACTTCGAACGAGTTGTTAGATCACAGGTTAAATAGATATTACATGCAAGATTTTTCCTTCTTCACGGGTTTAACTACCAACATCCCCCTGTTTATTTTATTCTAAAAATTACCTTAACCCCCGACCCCTGACACGATGAGCATTTCTCGGTAGCGCCGCCCTCCCGACCGCCTCGTCCCCTACAGCTGTGGCAAGTTCGCTTGCGACTGATGTGCAGCTTACGGCGCCCTCCGATGAAGAGCTCTTCTAGGAGCACAGCCAGAGAGTGCTCCGAGGGAGGAGGCTTGCTGGGTGATCCGGATCACATGTCAGTATTCAAGTACTTATATTATCAGTCTGCTTATATCATATATGGCAATTTCACAAGGAATTTAAAAGCAAAGAAAACGCCAAGTAAATTCACCATATCGATATTGAAAACGTTTCGGAGTCCAGCTCCATAATCAGTTCGACAATCTAAAAATGAATAAAATCATTTTATAAGTCAAAATTCCAAAACAGACATAAAACCTAAACAAGACCTAACATTATATCGAAAAACAGGACTCGATCGGAACAACTTAGTCCTAGAGGTCACGAAAAGAATAAAACTTGAGAAAAAAACACAAAAACATAAAAGCCTAGCGATTCACTATTTCAAGAGGATATGAACTAAACGCATTATTGAGACACGGTTTTCGTTTGAAGATATGTAGAGACTCCAAAATCATCAAATCTGAGCATCCAGAAGTGGAAGCCAGGAATCTTCGGATTTGAGGCCAAATACGAGCAGCCAGAAGTGATTTCAGGATACTCGGTTCCACTTCTGGCTGCTCGGATTTGTGAGGATTTTAGAGACTCTCTATGCAGGAGCATATGTTCAGTCATGAAATGCCTAGCACCTTACGAGCCTTGCAATAAGTCCAGCAGCTATCTCAATCAATCGTCAGTTATAGAAAGATCGGGTACAGAAGGCCGGATCCCTTGTGGAATCAAGTCACGAAAAGTACAAGAATCGGCAACAGACATTGGGACTATTTGTTCAGTGTCGACATTTCTATTCTATTCTATTCTTTTGCTAAATCACAGTGCTTTACTGAGTTCAGATTTAGCCTCGTTAAAAAGTCTAATTGTTTAGTCGGCATTTTTTTCGCGAAGCAGCTTCCAAAATCTCGCTTTTATCTATAACTTAATGTAACTGAGTTGTGATTGTTCACCACGACTAGTTAATGGACATTACTTGGACATTTTGTTCCTCTTGTAACCTGCTAGGGTTCTTTTCGTGAAACAGCTTCCAAAATCTCGCTTTTATCTATAACTTAATGTAACTGAGTTGTGATGGTTCACCACGACCAGTTAATGGACATTACTTGGACATTTTGTTCCTCTTGTAACCTGCTAGGGTTCTTTTCGGGAAACAGCTTCCAAAATCTCGCTTTTATCTATAACTTAATGTAACTGAGTTGTGATGGTTCACCACGACCAGTTAATGGACATTACTTGGACATTTTGTTCCTCTTGTAACCTGCTAGGGTTCTTTTCGGGAAACAGCTTCCAAAATCTCGCTTTTATCTATAACTTAATGTAACTGAGTTGTGATGGTTCACCACGACNTCAATCAATTTAAAATTCTTTGTAACGCTAGCAGCCAAACCGATTTACCAATTTTAGAGTCTCTTTATATCCATAAACTTAAACCTAAATTGAATAACCAATCCAGCTCTTTTCCTCTTTCGATTCTAGGTCAATAGTGTTTGTTTTCCTTTCTTTCCTTATCATTTTCTAAATTTATTTACTAAAATTGATTTCCATGTACTTCCAGATGTATTTTACTAGCTGATGATGGGCATAGCCCGAAACGTTCTGTTTTGTTTATCTACGACTTCTATTCAGTAAAAATGTTTTATGCAACTTTTTTAGTTTTAGCCTTTATTCTTAAACTTAGAAGAACTCCTCGAGATATTGTGAACTATTTTCATTGTATGTTATTCATGCGCAGGATTATCCTGATACATCTGTGAAATTTTTTAAACTTCAATTTGTTGGCAAGTAGCAACATTGATTTTTCGAATTATTACTTTATAATAAAATAATAAGTTTCACCAACAATATACATGACTCAGGTAAATTATTTCTATTACCGATTTATAAACTCACAATTCATATAAAAACATTAATTATTGAAAGAATAATTTGAATTATGATAAATGATATGTACAATAGTTAGAATTCTAAAAAAATATTCAATTTTGACTTTTTTAATCCTGTTTGTGTCCAGTATCGTCGTTTCCTCATTAACATTACAATGTTTTATCTATTTGACTACTAATCTACAGTAATATATGAATATTGAAACTAATAATTTACGTATTGTCTCGCACTCACCTTGATTGCCTCCTCTCCTCCTTCATCGTATATTGCCCTCTTTCTCGGGTCAGAGAGAACCTCGTACGCCTGAAGGAATAAAAATTGCATCGAGTCATATGCTGCGGTTAGTTCATAAAAATGCATTATACAAATAGTTTATTTCACAATTTATTTTTTTCATTTTCATGTATATTACAAAATATATGCTTTTCTGCAATTTTCAGACAAGACTAGATAATGATTCTTGCTGTCCAAAGATGTTGTGAGACGTGATTTTTTAGGTGCCAGAATTTCAATAGTAAATCTTAAGGAAACTGATCTACTTTCGGATAGTGATACGTAATAGTTTCTGCGTTGCCTTTGCTACTGCCAGACTTTTCCGCGGGAAAACATGGTGTGTGGGTAAAGGTTTTTATTTGAAGTCATTTAAAAAAACTATATCAATTAATCACTATTATTGATATAGAATAGAAGTGTCGGCACTGAAGAAATAGGTCCATGACCTGTTGCCGATTCTTGTACTTTTCGTGACTTGATTCACAAGGGGTCCGGCCTTTGGAACCCAATCTTTCCATAACTGACGATTGATTATAATCATCTGTCGCTTCTGGAAAATGCTTTCGGGAAATCATTTCCTACCTGTGTGACTAGCTTGAATTCCTCGGCACACCCGGAGGTTTTGTCGGGATGAAGTTTCATGGCGAGTTTTCTGTATGCCTTTTTAATCTCTTCAGGTGATGCATCGGGAGACACGTGCAAGCGCTCGTAAAATTCTTGTTCTTTCACCATCGTTTACAGATTTTAAAATGTTCCGCCAACTGCACAATCAACTCCAGTAAAATCGAGCTATAAGAAACACGAAATGATTGTTTATTTTAAACTTCCTAAGGCACTGATACGGATTGTGTCTTATACCTGATAGACTTTTAAATTTTAGTCGTTACTTGATTTCATCATCGGGTCAACGCACCAGACCGAAGTTTAATCTGAAAACTAAATCGTGAAATGCTCATTGATACATTATAATCAACACACATGAGCGTTTGTGCGATATTGAATTTTAACTTGGATTTCCTTCCGATTGTCAGTTATGGAAAATTACCATTGCAATATATAATCATAATGTGGAGCGTTAGCTGCTTGCTTGTCGGCAGACTCGCTTCGAAAGACTGACATAGTTTTAAGGCCTCATCCACCACGTACCTGAGACCAGTGTTAACGTCCACTGAGTTCTGACGGTTTAATTATAATCTCTGTTATTTGCCATGTTTACATATTCAATTTTTATTTGCATGCATTGTTCAAATAGCCTATAAAAACCTGATATTCTGGTCATCAGGATAGAATTTGAATGGGACTTGTAACAAAATGTAAGTATTTCTAGAAATATAACATGTTGCAATCACTTGCAATCGCACATAGTTCAATCCTGGCATGTAGCCAAGCCGCGACTAGCCGAGTTACCTCCGGAGCTACCACGAACATTCGAAGATGAATCATGCTTCATAGAGCTTCTATAAATTTATACTATTTTTCAAGAAAAATAAAGGAATTTTATTTCATTTATTACTATTGATAAATGATTTTTAGAAGATAGTACAGTGCATTGGTCTGTATTTTTTGCATATTGCGCAGTTTTTGATAGTATGAAAAATACAGAACATATGAAGGTAAAAAAGACCTAAATATATGAAATTAATTTATGATTAATTCATGTCACCTATACATATGTCAACTTTCAAGGCAAAACCGTATTATTTTTTTCTCGTAGCCAATTTTTGGACGCTCCTTATGGATCATGTGTTCATTATTCAAGTCCATATTCGTAGTTCTGAGGCGATACGTTTGTTTCATGTTTGAACTAGTGCGGTAGTTTAGATATGCGACGAAAAACATTAAAGCTCAAATTTCAAGCTTATAATTGTGTTCAAATTAAACTTGTCTGAATCCGGATATTGGAAAGAGAGGTAACTTGCAGCGCGGGAGTTTCCGAAATTGTTTGTCAGCTGACATGCACTTGTAGAGCAGTAAAGGGAGCTAGGGCTCAAAGTTTTCGACTGCAGAACTCGATAAGTATAAGATTTGCGTGCGCTTACTTGAACTCTCAAGCATTGCCAATGAATGAATTGATAACCTTATGGAATTTTATTCTTAAAGTTATTTCTTCGACCACTTCGGAGTTCGGCCCTTCCCAGCCCCAGGGCCAGGGGTCGAATAATACGATTCATCCTACCTACGGCTACAAGACTACGATGATTTTGCTTTAAAATTTGTTCCTGACTTGTGAGTTGGGACTTGGGACTCCTGCCGCTTAGCCCGTCAAGTTGTCAACCTGAAAGCTTCGGTCAGTTTGTCCAGGTTGACGGTCAGTTGCGGACTTGCGGTCAGCTGCTACAACATCATTTGCAACTTGCTCAGGTGTCAGGTCACGATCAGTTGGTCAGCTGCTTCAGTTAGTTGCGGTTTAGCTGCTACAACAATTCTAAGAAATGTTGGAGGACTGTCCCGATTTTCCCTACCCGTCCCTTATTACCCCGTTTGATGGTATTTTCAGTAATTTTGTGATAATATTTGATAACTGTGGGTAAAATTACTAAAATAGTGTTATTTTTCTTGATTTCCTGCAAGATACTATATTACTTGACTTTTCAAAAGCATTTGACAAGGTGTTAGGTGCCTCACCTGCAAGTCCAACTGCTATCAAAGGCTCAAAGCTGGACTTCTATGGCATTTGAGAGATGGTTATTCGGTTAAGAAGNGGACTTCTCAGGCATTTGAGAGATGGTTAAGAAGTGGATCAAGGGTTTCCTGTCTGGATAAATGCAGCAAGTGATTGAGATTAGAGGAAAGGGTAAAGTCCAGAATGGGCCCAAACCCCCAAATCCCCAGCCCATACTCTCCATTCTCCAATCTCCAACATCCCACAAGCCTAAGGCTTGTTGCTTTTACTGACCTTGTTTCTTCATCAATGACCTTGAAGAAGGAATCAAAGCCAGAATCAGTCTGTCAGGCATGCCCCTGTATTCTCACATAAATTGCATAATACGTTAATACCACACCCCAGGGCTTGACTTGCAGTGGCTAAAATAAAACCTAGAAAAGCTGGAAACAAAGGTGGGTGCCAGGGAGCAAAGGTGGCAACTGGCAAATAACTCAACTTATACAAATGCCACCTGCTCTTACCTGTTAGTCAGTAGTCACCAAGAAGAAGAATAGAGTGCCCCAGTACCAAGTACCTTGGAATTGAAATATCAGAGACTCTAAAGTAGAGAAAAAAATTAAGGCAACTGCAGCCAAAGCCAACCAGTTTGCCTGTCAAAATCTTAAGGGGTGCTCATTGCTCAACACAAGAGACTGAAGAGTGAGACAAGACCAAGTTCACTGCTATAAAGGCCTCATAGACTCATAGTCATAGGACTGATGCTGGAGTAGGCATCACCAGCCTGGGATCTGCATCAGCAGCACAGCCAGGCTGGCTGGGCTGCTGTTTAGGTGCTGGCCAGCACCTAAACTAAAGACCACTCATGAGATGGTACAATTGCTATAAAGGCCTCATAGACTCATAGTCATAGGACTGATGCTGGAGTAGGCATCACCAGCCTGGGATCTGCATCAGCAGCACAGCCAGGCTGGCCGGGCTGCTGTTTAGGTGCTGGCCAGCACCTAAACTAAAGACCACTCATGAGATGGTACAATGCAGATTGCAGAGTGGCTTGCAGATTCCTAGGTGACTTAGGCCCCACAAGGCCGCAGCCCACAACCAGTGCCACTGAGATGGTAGCCAGGCTCAAGTTGGACTGGCTCCAAATTCCAACTGAGGAGAATGGCAGATGAAGCATGCATGCTGTACAATATGCTGCATTGCCTAGTTTATGTTCAACCTCCTTCAGGAAAAATCAGGATTGTACTGATCAGTCACTTGTACAACAAGTGGCACCAATGGAAGCTACAGGTCCCACACAGCAGACTGCAGAACCAATGTGACCACCTACATGCCTTTCCTTCCGCCATCACCCATCAGAATATGAAACTCACTGAGTGCCTACTTTGTGACAGCAACATTGCCATCTACCTTCCAGTCAGACATCGAAGGCTGGCAGCCTGGCTGAGGGCAGACAATAACTAAAACCTTTTTGTTGCCTTTTTTTCTTTTTTTATATCAAGATGTTCTCCAATGCCCTCATGTGCATTCCCACCACTGTTGGTGAGGTTTTTCTTCAATTATCCACTGTATCCACTGTATTATTATGAATTAATGAATAAGTGAAGATTCCAGATGTATTGAAAATTTGTTACAAATTTTTTAAATGTTTTAAAAATATGGAGCCAAAAGATTTCAGTAATAAGTAGGAATATTCTAATCATGGTAATTGTGAATGCCTACAAATTTTGGTGCTAGGGCATTTTTTGTCTCATTCATTGGTCAAATCTGCCAAATTTTACTGTTTTGAATCTGGTCAAGAAGGCAGAGATTAAGTGAATATATGAACAAAATTCTGAAGATCATTGCAACATATAATATCAGTATTGTAATTAATGTTGTCAGAAGATTTTGCTAACTCTTTTGTCTCTCTTACCTCTCTTTGATAATATTGATAACTTATCTTCAGGGTTGGTGATTTTTTTAATTTTTTTAAAAAAATAAAAATAAAAAATCAATGATTTTTTTTTATTTTTTTCATGATTTTTTGATTTTTTTAATTCTTTCAGCTTTTTTGTCTTTTTGAAGTCTTATTTTTTTATGTTGCAATTAGCCTACTAACACTAACAGTATATGGATCATAATGGATGGCTAAAAAGGGCAATTATTGCCTTCAATAATGGCCAACAGGCCAAGGTGGTGTTTAGCACTAAGGGATTTTTGGGTAAACAATTATTGATTAGCCTATTAATTAGCTTTGTAAAGTTTGTATGGAGCAAGGAAATGAGCTAAATATTGACCATTTAACTGGCTTCAATATACAAAAACACTTCAGGAATGCTGATCTTCTAAACATTGAAGAGTCACATAACAGATAGGTAGCTGATAGCACAGTGCACATCACTATCAATAGATCTACTAGTTTTATGTCCTATAAATCTACCAGACTCTACCCTCTATACACACCAACTAGTAGTGACTGAGTGACTGACTGCACTGTTCCCATTTAATTCAGACCAATAAACCAATACTAAACAATTGAGTAAACATGAACTGAACGAAAACCAAATAAACCTCATATGACTTGAAACGAGACTTATGTTATGAGAAAAGCTAACACTGTTTGAAATAAACGTGTGGACAATTCAAATATTTCATATCCATTCACTGCATTTAATCATTTTGTATATAGTCTTATAATTGTAATTGTTTTGTTTCTAGTTTTAAATTCACATATTTAAAGATTGAAATTAAATATTTTAATTAGAATAGGTACTCATATTAGGGTGGAAAATCTTTCTAAGTGCCTAAAAGGTCAATACAATCTCAACCTCTCAATATACAGGGTGGAGAACCGATTGAGCAGTTTTGAGGTAAAATAAAAGAATAATGGAGGTACATAAAGAAGAAAGTTTATTTTCCTAGAGGTTAGCATAACATACCATTTAGAATACTTATGTTTTGAAAACAATATCTGGAAGATGGGGGCCGTTAGCTGCAACAAACTGTTGGAGTTGTTCTCAGAGGAGGGAGTAACCGTAACAGTGAATTCCGATCGCTATGCTGCAATGTTGCAAAATTTCTTGCAGCCCATGATGGAAAACATTGTTGAAACTGAAGCATTGGGAGATATGTGATTCCAGCATTGTGGGGCTACAGCTCACACAGCCCGAATGTCAATGTTTTGAAATGCATGTTCCCAGACTCTGAGGGGTGATTTACAGTGCAAGGTTGCCTGATTTGAGCATGCCTGCGAGGTCACCTGATTTGAGCACTTGTGATTTCATTCTTTGGGGACATCTAAAAGAAAGGGGTTCAGAAGTCGCCCTCACACCCTACTCCTACCTAAGGGAATGGATTTTTGCAGCAGAGGTTATGGCCATACCTAGCCATATGTGTAAACGTGCTGTAGAAAACTTCCGTGAATGACTCCAACAGTCTGATGCAGCTAACAAACCCATCTTCCTGATATTGTTTTCAAAACATAAGTATTTTAAATGGTATGTTATGCTAATCTTGAGGAAAATAAACTTTCTTCTTTATGTACCTCCATTACTCTTATTTAGCCTCAAAACTGTTCAATCAGTTCTGCCCCACCCTGTATAAGGTAGCTAACACCTTTAAATTGTATAGGTATCTCCACAGCTTTCTTTTTGTTTTTGAAGTTTCCTTATCATGCCTCAGTCAATCAATAACTATCTGCCCATCATTCCATCCATAGCATCAACACCTGCCATGCCCAAACATTAAAATATAAGCATTTAAATGAAAGCTTTGACTTGGAGATGAAATTGACGCTCTTTGTGCGTTTTTTAGAAGGCAGGGAAGTATTCAAGTATACTGTATTTAAGGTAACTTGATTGAATTGAACTGAATTAAATTTTTATGTTATTAATTTTTCCATCTGCATAAACTTTTTTATTATAAAGAAAATATTTCATATAGTGAGAACATTTAATAAATTCTTCAAGTTTGATTTCAACCTCCAAGATGGAAAATTTTGAAAAATACATATAAATAAATATTTTTATAATACTTCTTACTTTCTTCCTGAACTAGTTCCTGAAATTTAAATTTCTAAATATTTCAATGCTTTCCCGTTGAAGGGTTAATAATAAATATATCATTTCCTTTGTCATACTAATGCACTTTTTTATTGAAGTATCAGAGACTTGAACTAAATTTTTTTTTTTTTCATCAGACTTGGTTGAAGCTGCACATCCTCAGGAGCTTCATACTATCCAAGAACTAGTGAGAAGAGTGCTTGTAGTTGGTGAGAGCAACTCTGCACTTATTGTTGGACCAAGAGGAGTTGGTAAAAGCACTGTAAGTTGATAGGGACTTGCTGCAATCATATATTATTCATTTCACTCCCTTTGGCAGTGACTTATGAATAAGTATGACAGATATGAATACAAGAAAATTTAATGCCATACGTATCCATAAACAATTTAAGATGCTTTTGAAATGATATTTCATTTAACCAGATGTGAAGAGAATGTATCTTAATATCACATTCTGAGCGCATCTTTTGTTATTCTGTAGTTGGATTTTATTACTTAGGTATTTCTAGTAGAATGCATCTCTGTAGTTATTTTATATTCTAAACCTGATGAAGTTAGTAGATGTGATATGATCAACTTGAAGCCAGTAGATTTAATAACAGTTTGAGAGTTTCGGAAAAATTTATTTTCCTATAATAAGAGATTTTCATGCATCCTTAAATTTTGAGTAAATATAGTGTTCAGATAAATTTATTTCCAATCCACAGTTATTGCGAGTGGCTCTGTCCAAGTACTGCAAGACGCCTGACACTGATGGCAGCAGTCTATCTGCGGGCTCTGATGGTGGTGAAGGCATACTGGTTAGGCTGCATGGGCTCATGCACACCGATGACAGACTGGCTTTGAGAGAAATCACTCGACAGCTCAGGATGGAAGAAGCTGCTGCTACAAAACAGTTGGGCTCTTTTGCTGGTGAAATAATTTGGTGTTTTAAGCTTTTCTAGAGAGCTCTATTCTACATAATTATAACGTGGCTTCTATCATTTTTTTTAATGTTGGATTCATTTTTATTATTTTATGCATAATTAATTTGATATGAGATAACTGTTTGTTTCTCAGATCATTTTGTTCTCCAAAAATTGTACATGTAGTATCTTACTACCAGGTTGTTTTCTTTAACAATATATAATTTATCTTTTTATAAGTTACTAATTTATTTCAAAATTTAACTTTTAATTGATGTTTTTATAATTTCTAAATTCTCATTGTACACTATTTCTTATGGAAATACTTTTAGACAAAAGCAAATGAATTGAATACTTTATTTTTGTCTTGTCTGATTTACCTAATATCTTTTTGCAGAGAATTTATCATTCATGCTAGCTTCTCTGAAAGAGGGAGGTCGAGAGAACTCCAAAAGTGTTGTGTTCATCCTTGAAGAGTTTGATTTGTTTTGCCACCATCGCAACCAAACGCTGCTCTACAATCTATTTGATGTTGCTCAGTCTGCGCAGGTGATAATATTATTATTTATATACTCTTTTATTACTTATTATCTTTGTATGCTGCTTGTATTCTCGAGTTGTTCCCATCTTTTGTATAGCAAAGTAATGCTATAGAGGTTGCAAGGATGCCTTCTTGACCCATAGTTCAAAACCTTAATATGATAGCAATGTAAAGCCTCTTCTTTGAGTTCACAAGGCTGTTCTCTTGAGCCGTAGCTGAATATATATTTCAGATAAGTAAGTAATGTCTGTTTTAAGTCTATAAAAGATGTCGTCTCTGCTCATAGATCAAGATTTAATTTTGATAGCAAGGCAATGCTATAGAGGTCGCAAGGATGCCCTATTGACCCGTGATTCCATCACCAGAGTCCAGTATGCGTCATTGGGCTGACGTGCCGCCTTGACGTGGTGGAGCTCCTGGAAAAGCGTGTCAGGAGTCGCTTCTCTCATCGCCAGGTGCATCTAAAGCCACAGTCATTAGAGCAATACTGTGAAATAGCAAGGCAGCTCCTCACGTTATCTTCATGCCCTGAAATCAGCCAGGTAAATTAACTTCTATCGTTTATATCATGTTAAAAAAATTTTAAATCTTTCACTCGTGCTATTTACTCATTATTCTCAGAGACAGTCTGATTCATTCTTGTTATGCCTAGACTTGAGAAAATTAACTTTTACTACTGTTATGATTCCGCTATATCAACCTATGGTTTACAGATTCTGTCATCAAGTTGTGACCCAAGTAAATATGCTTGCTGATATCAAAAGTCAATTATTTCTTCTAATGTAACTTATTAATTTATTATATTAACTCCTTAATGTCTATATTAACTCTAGAAATCAGTGCGAGAGTGGAACAAAGGCGTGGAAGAAGTGCTTTCAGCAGACAATTCGCAAGAATCGTTGCACCAGATGTACGACTTGTCAGCTGATATGGCATCGCTCAAGCAGCTATTGGTTAGTTCATTATTGAACTCCTCAATTGTGAGAGTGAAAATTATGAAAGGGATTGAAGTTTTTGTTTGCTTGTTTTTAAGTATATTATTCAAAAAATATGATCAAAAAACATTCATACCATACTACTTGCTGAAGGTCCTGGCTCAAATATAATAATTTTACTATGTTGAAATTATAAAAAACTGATATCTTCCTGTGTATACACTTGTAAAATCTAACGTCGATTTTGCATATTTATGTTTGAAGTGAAGCCTCAAACCGTCAACTATTTCTTCAGATTGCTACTGAGTGAGGATTTTTGATCTGTGTTATTCATTGTTGCTAGTTTCAGTCAGAATACAGACTTGACATCTTATGTGTTTCATCGCAGGTACTCGCTCTGAGTTCTGCTTACGACCGCGATCTGCGTAGCAGTGACTTACAACACGCGGCCGCGACGCTGTTTGAGGATGCTTCATTCAAGATACTGCAAGGATTGTCTAACCTGCAGCTGGCTTTGGTAAACCCCCTTCATATTTTAGACTCTAATTATTACTTGTTTGAACGCGCAGTGGTTTCAGGAACTCCATTTAAATGTGTTCCATCTTCAAGCTTAAGCTGTCGATAATATGAGGCAATCGCAATTTCAGATGATAGCCATGATGCATCTGACGGTTACGTACGAGGGCGACAGCTTCACGTTCGAGCTCGTCTTCAGCGAGTACCTGAAATTCACACGCAGACGTTCCTCGATGCAGAGCTTTGAGCGTCCAGTTGTCTTTAAAGCCTTCGATCAGCTACGGGTAACACTTTCAATTGGAATCAATTTCTTTTTCTTTCAATAAATCTAGTATTTATATATACAGTATGTATATACGCTTTCGAAGCTTACTGATGTGAATTTCTTGGTCACGAACGTAAGAATTAGTCAGGTTTATATCCACAAAACCTATTGTGCTCTGATTTTTTAATTTTTTTTTCATGGAACCAAAAAGCATTCCAGAAATCGAAGTATCAGGGTTCAAATAAAAGCACTTATTAACAATACCTACGGTACATTAGTTTTGAAATTAAAAGCGGGACTTGTGATTTCTAGAATTTCAAATCACAGGGGTTAACTAACCCGGGCAACGTCGGGTGAAGCTGCGAGTGATCTAGCATCTCAATTAATTATTATTCTAATTTAATTCTATGTTGATGTTTCCAAATGTTTTTTCTGTTTTGGTTAAATTATTACTAATTCATGTGATTACAATTTGCTGGAATATCGATGTCAGATCAAATGCGCACTAATAATCATTGTGAAAAAAAAATACCATCAAATATATTTAACGCCCTCTTAACAATTAGCGTGTCTTTTAATTTTCTATTAGACATCAATAAATATTTTTCATTCAAGCATCTGTGCACCAAGCATGCTTTGATCAATTTTTTAGGACGCACAAGGAAAAAACAAAAGCATAACCTTACTTACAATTTCAGGCAATGGAGCTGATGACGCCGGTAGCAACGAGCGGTGGTAGCTGTGTACAGAAGGAATACCAAATGATGCGCCTACAGATGCCGCCAAAATTGCTGTGTGACAGCCTCCTCGCTATACCCAACCTGCCTACCGACCTACTCCAGTGGGCTACCAGTTCGCTTGCGTAACCTGTGAATCTCTTGATACAAATCGATGAATTATTTATGAACTAACTATGCTTTAGTGCTTCAAATGTGTAACTTCAATTTTGCATTTGAAAAATGTTCATTTTTTTGGTATAAGAAGAAACATGGAGACAAGAGCCAATTGTATCGAAGGTAATTGATTCATATATTTACATTTACATTATTTCTTTAATAAACTTGAACAAATCTGTCGCACAAATTTCTTTTAACATCCCTTTAGGGACCGGCGTACAAATTTGGCATTTTGTACAGTTCGTAAGCAGATACTTCGGTGTGGAGAGGGTCATTCTCGACGGCTATGTAATCGATCTCGAGCCTGAATGGAGCGTTGATTTTATCACCCACTGTAATGCCAAAGGCAGACACGCGGGACGGTAACAGAGTTGACTGCTTGTCCGAGACCGTCCCTTTGCTGTTGTAGAAAAATTTGGAAAAAGGCACCTGGGGGCAAAGCAAATTTACGTGTCACTAAGCATTTTTAGCAGTAAGCTGTAGTATGTTATTTTTTGCTGTAATCCATTAGCACTATACGTTCAATAATAATGAGACATATTGTCTAATAAGACTTGGTTTGGAGCCTGCCATTTATCTGAAGTGTAACAAGTGAAGTGACCTGAAAGATGCAGCTAATGAGTTAATGCAAAATTTATGCCAAAAGACTTAGATTCAAATCTTAACATTTTTACTTATTCTGGATTTTATATTAAGAACAAACTTTCGAAAAGTTTGACATGTGGTCTAAAATTTCGTCAGTATGTTAATCGAATCCTCGCACTACGATAATGACTTGTTCTACTAAAATAATTATTTTCAGCAATTAGCTAGCGAATACGCACAGTACTGGAGCGGACGTAGTACTACAACAACCCTCGTTCGTTTTAGGAGTCTGTCAGTGCCTCTGCACTGACGTAGCTGTACATGGAATACAGTACTCGCTAATACTGTACCGTAATTAAAATTTCAATTACAGTGCTGACACAGTCCTAATGCATCAACGATACTTACTTTATAAGTCTGCCAGTGGGGGCCGCCTCTGGTATAAAGGACGTAGGTGTACATGTCGTTCCAGGTAACGTCGAACGTTCCAGACGAAGCTATGTTAAGTGCGTAGCTGCGTCCATCGCCGCGACACTTGATCACCAGGTGCGAGTAGTCGAACCAGTCATAAAATGTCGTCCGTCCAAACGATTTCTAGAATTTGAAAAAGTGAAAAGAAAGTTCCACAAGTAGAAATAAAAATCTGAGAATTTAAGAAGATTGTAGTGACATCATTTATGGTAAAACAAAAATATTTGTGTTATATCTGAGTTTAGGCTTAACATAAACTGAGACATAATCTCCTCTGTCATCATAATTCAACATATTGTACGCATATCTTCACAACTATTTGTTCATTATATTTATTACTTCTCCCACCCCTATCGCCTTTGCATTTCCACCCTCCTTGTGAGCAGTTGAGAAAGATAGGTACTTTACAAACTACAGGTCTTCCAGAAAAAAAAATTATTTACTGTCTGTGCGCAACCATACCCAGAAATGCTACTTCAAGTTCCGTGAGCATGTGGCCTCACGATTATATCAATCTTAGCATCCTCACACATGGAAAAAATTCAATTGGAGTGGATGAGCTATATACTGCTATAAGCTAATATTGTAGGTCCTTAGAAAGCTGCGAGTAGATACCATTTGGAGTATGTCATGAAAAAGTTCAATCGCATTGTACGGTAACATTCATTTCATTTCACTGAATCTGATGCATGAGAATAGAAACATAAACATATCAATTTGAAATGATGAAAACTCCTAAGACCAAACCAAGAATTTACTGAGAATAATGCATGTGCCTTGAATTAGATAACAAATTCTAAATTTTGAATTAATACAAATAGAAGTAGGGAGCTTAGTGTCTGTTGGTTTTCACGCATAGAAAAACACTTCTATTGTTCACTAGATAAAAATTTTCAACATGAATCACAAGAGTTCCCCATTGAAGAGTTCTACTACAATGCACCACAACCTGGAGTTATTTTACCAAAAAAAAAAAATTGATTTTACCACCCGGTCAAAGAAACCCCAAGAGCTGGGATAACAAAGACCATCACTTTTTTTTAAATTACATCAAAACTATGAGAGGCAGGAGCCAGCAATTTGTGGTGAGAAAAGCTAGAGTATAGACCTGTATTTTGCATGTTTCAATTTAAGTTTAACTTATCTAGTAAAAAAAATGGCATCATTTTGAAAAAAAAGTGGTCAAAGTTACCCACCCCATTTTAACAATGCACCCTCAGAAATTTCAAGGATAATACTGAACAATCCATATTAGTAGCAATCATATTATTATTATTACATATCATTTTCAGCATTAAACATAAATAACATACCCTAGTACACAAGACTCCTGTGAAGACTCCATGGCCAGCAGGTGATGTTGTGAGCTTGGCAGTAGAGAAGCCCTCATTGTTATCAGCATCAGAGGTGACGACCCAGCCATCAAACTCACTGCATGACTCTTGCACGTCATGCATTGTGTTCTCTGATGTGACTGGGTTAATTCTGCTCACTTCTCCCGTCGGGTGACTGCGATAACCCCCACTTGTTGGACTCTTGCGATGTGAGTTGAATTCCCATACTATGTCTCTGTCTCCTTTTAAGTCAAAAAAAAAATTTACATGCTAAAATGTTATAAATACCTAGAATAAAGTGAGTTTTCAATTACACTGACTATAGAGTAAGTCAATTCAAAATTAATTTAAAATTAGTCAAGAGCATGCAAGTAAACAGTGGGAACTTCAGGGCAATGATAAATGTGCAGGTAACATCTAGAACACTTTAGTTGTTAGAATTTTGAATAGCTGCTATTTATTAATTTTATTATTCAGCAGTCCATATCTTTCATGAGAATAATTTTAAGAAATTTAAGATAAGTCATTCAGTGTCAATGGTAACAATTGGAACTATAAAATTTAATCAACATCATCATTAATTAAACTGAAATCTCGGCAACAATTAATTTTATATTACATAGGCTTCATATAATGATAATTTGAACAAATTTCATTAATATTTATTCAATAAGCACACTGAGTTACCTGGAAAAATAAACAAATGATCTTGTTCGATGACAGCTTTGACCTCCTGCTGCCATTTGTAAACTTCCAGACGCAACTGCTTCAGCCCTAGCCTCAACGTTTTAATTGGAGTTATTTCCTGAAAGTGCAAGTTAAATTATTACAAATTTTGTAACAACAAAATAGTTGGAATGACTGAAATTTTGTTTAGAGTGTATAGATTTTCATGAGTTTTAATTCAGTAATTATAAAAAATCTTAGCATGATATTCCATTTTTTACCAAAATATATAGGAGCAGATGCACACATCAAGATGCACTCTACCAAACAAAGCTCTTGATTAAATGGTCTTCAGTACTATAGGCCAAGAAAATTTAAATGATTAAATTTTATTCTTGAAGCTTTCTATAAATCCAATTGCTGTACATTAATTGAAACTCAGCCTTTTGGGACCCCAAATTCAGGGAAACTGAATGCGTTTCCTCCTTTATTCAAGAAATTTATTCATCATTTGAAAATGAAGATAATTAATTATTATTAATTATTAATCATTATTAATCATATTAATCATTATTAATTTCTAATGTTATGAATAAGTATAAAAAAAGTGATGTAGCTAAAATAATGAAGCAATAAACCTAGGTTGGCAACCTTCATCTTATACTGATAATAATGAATGGTACCATATGACGACAAACAATGCAGTAGTAATCCGCAGTAAAAATCAATCAAAATACTGTTCCTGGGATTTATGAGCAAATATTTTTAACCAGGAATAATAACTTATTTCAAACTACTGCATGGCAAACTGGCATAAGAAAACTCACCTTTCTACGATAGCCAGATTTTCTGTCAACTTCATTCAGGCCAAGGTACATCATAGTAGCTGAAGTTGAAATATGCCTTGTGCTCAGCTGATGAAAACAACATTTTCTCAACAAACTAGCCTCCCCGGTGGAAACTGAATGAGAACTTGGTTTAATAATAGATGTACTGAAGAGGTAATGAGCATTGAAACTTGATGTATGGAATTGACTCCAATTGAATTGATATATCTTATTTTGGACAGTTACATATTGTTTACAAGCAGCATAGCTACATATGCATTGTTTTAAGCGGCTTGATAGATTTATTGAGAACAACATATTCTAAGGAGCCAGTTGTTCATTAGAGAAGTGAAATTCAATCCTGAAAGAGAGACATGCTGAATATAAATAATTTTACCTACTTTTTGAGCCAATCAATTGTAAATTTCCACAGCTATGAGGTTCAAAATAAAACCAAAATATGCTTGTTTTGAGCTGTGAAATTTCATTGTTTCAAACTTTTGTTTCATTGTTTAAACTTTTGCCATTCCAACGACATTTCCATACAACACAATTTATCGAGCAGAAATCTTTAGGCTTTTGGCTGCTAAATAGGAGTAAAAGCTTGATTTCAGCTTTCAAAGTAGTCTAGATTTTATGGATCCATCAATGGCCTCTACAAAAAATATTGTAATAAAGAATCCAACAAAGCCCTAAAACAGATGAATAGCTATCAATGTTAAAATTATATAAAAATACAGAAAAATTTTGAATAATAAAAAGCTATAGACCACCTGGAATTATGCAGTATACCAGTCCTGGCTGTTCACATATTCCCTTCCCCTCATCCAGGAGCTTAATATGCAAAATATTACATGTGGCACAATGAAATTCAGGACTAATCTGCATGTGATACATGGATCATCATTTGACAAAATGCAGAGGTAGAGTAAACTATCTTAAACAAATGTTGTGGGTTTGTCTGACCAAGCATAGGCCATGCACTCAAGTGGAACTGTTTATGAAATTGTATTTCTGTTTTTTACAACACTTCTCTTTAACTTCACTTCTTGTTTGTTTGTTTGTTGGTCTGTCTGTCTGTCTGTCTGTCTGCTACAAATCTTGTAATCGAAATTTAACACACTTCTACTTATCTTATCGATCTGAAATTTTGCACACATGTGTAAAGTTGGAGACAATGCATGAATCAAATCTCAAAATAAATGATTTTATAAATTAAAAAAACAATTTTTTTCAATATTAAAAAAATTGAAAAAATAATTTTATCTTAAACAAATGTTGTGGGTTTGTCTGACCAAGCATAGGCCATGCACTCAAGTGGAACTGTTTATGAAATTGTATTTCTGTTTTTATGTTGAATTCAACCAGCAAAGGCATCAGTATCATTAGCATACCAGATTGTTGAAATTTTGCAACTAAAAATTCATGCCATGGAATTTGAACATTAAAGGTTTCTATCATTCTACATGAACCAACTTTGCGTTCCAGCAAAGTGGAATTTCATTAGAATAAATAGTAGTTTTCTTTATATGACAGAATGCATTGCCGTTTTCATTTCTTGCACTGAGATGCTCAACTTTAAATAGTAAAGGGTGGTCCATTTTCAGAGCAGAAAATGGATTGTGAATAAAATGCACAAGTATGAAATCTTCATTATTACTTTTGACATATTTATTATTGTTCATGGCAATTATGTGTGAAATACAATATTGGCTAAATGTTCACCACTGTGGTCTGCCTTCATTCAAAGCCACACCACTTTATCATTTTTGAAAAAGTACCATCAAACGTGGTAATAAGGGACGGTTTTGAGAGTTTTTCCTTACTTCTAACCATGAAACATTTCATAAATGAGTTTGTTCTCATTTTAAAGGTATTTATGAGGGCTATTATATGGAATCTATGAAAAAATTTCATATGCTATCTGTAAGGTGCCAGATGCAAAATAAAAGCCCCCTGAATTAACCTTGGGAACGGGGTAATAAGGGACACTTGAAATAAAACTCAATTTTAAAACATTTGAAGCATGCAGAGTGTGCTCATTCATTACTAACAGTACTCTTGAAGTCATCCTCTTCCTTTGTAGATGATGTAGATCAGGCATGGAATATGTCTACTTGGCGAGCCATGACTGAATTTTTTGAGCTGTGGTTTTATGGATTTGCTAGCCGTGATTCCATTACTTTGAGCTGTGATTTAATTTTTTTGAGCCACGAATTCCATACCTTGGCCATTAAAACCATTTACAAGCCAGCAGCCGCAAACTTTTTATCAAGTTCTGTGCAGGTGTTACCCCTAATCTCTAATTTTACCCTAAAAACAGTCAATACTAACATTTGTCTTCACTTAAGTGGTGACTGATCAAGTGAAAATGCAGTCTGACTGCCCTGACATGACCGCAACTACGCAATCTTTAAGGAAACATTTTTGATTGACTTGTTGTTATTATATTGTGCAGGATATTTTGGCTGGATTGTCAAAGTATTGCAAATTGCAGAAATTGCAAATTTTATGAAACAACATGTTTGCAGAGTGCAAATTGTAATTTTTTTCAATCAAACAAAAATACATCACATTAGAGCCGAAAGATTTAATACCTACTGAAATTATGATACTAGAGACAATATTTCAGAGAAAATACCGTCAACCGGGGCTACTCAGGACGGTTTTGAGCGTTTTTTGTTAATAACTTCTTACGATGAAACATTTCATAAACAAGTTTAGGCTCATTTTATAGCTCTTTGCGAGGGCTATCGACTGTCTCTTATACACATCTAGATGTGTATAAGAGACAGATGTTTCACTATGAATATTGTAGGTCTTGATGACAATATCATATTATTTGAACGACTAATTTGGTCGCTGTGCCTTGGTGAACTCTTCATATCATGTATACGGTACGATGAATCTCCTCGCTGCGCAGGGCCTGTTTCCCCCCGGCCAAGGAGCCACCATAGGAGTCGACTTCATGATCAAGACAGTCGAGATCGAAGGCGAAAAAATCAAGGTTTGTTGACCTTTGCTAAATAAGTTGGATCATTTTGCAAGAAGTATTATATGGAGTTTGTTTGAGTAATAATTTATTTGATATTTATAATATTTGAGGAAAGAACATTGAAATTTTCTGCGCGGGTTGAGAGTCCACAAGTGTTCCACAATGCGTAAGCACGCTAGAGTACTGAACGAATTAGTTTTCAGTTGGACAAGTTTTTGATGATCTTTTCAAAATATAAATTTATTGAGACAGTTAACTGTGTTCTTCAGATGCTGCCGCATGTCGGAGGCATATTTTACAAAGTTACCCGAATGATTGGGAGAATTTAGAACTCCCGACTTGCATATATAAATAAACATCCAAGGCATTATCAAGCAACACTCATTACGATTGTCGTGCATTTTTAGGCTGAAGATTTGGTAAAATATGAATGCATCTCGCTCGCNGAAGGCAACAGAACTTACGTAACGCATACGGTTTTTTTTATAGTTTTTCATTTCTCGATGCGTCCTTAATGTGTCGGAATATACCGCGTTTACCCTAATATTAAAAAAAAATAAAAATTAATTTTTATTAATACATGGAAATGAAATTTGAAATTCATTGTAGATGTGTAACATAGGAGACACTGTATTCTTTAGAAGTGTTAACTGTTAAATGCATATAATTTTTTATTTAGCTTTGAAATCAGCAAGTTTTTGTAAATTGCCCTGCAAGCTGTAATTACGGGACAACTGAAATAGTCCAGCATTGCCCAATACCAGCATAATTTTCATACTTCACCCTGTGCGCGAGCATGCTGCAGAGCAAATTAGCCAAGATGATTATATACTTGCTGAAAGCCACAGGGACTAAATCCCTTCATGGATGTAAAGTGTAAACCAGCAAGCCAATGAGCTGCAAGCCACCAAAACAATGGCCATAACCCATATGCTAAACCCCAAAATATTTATATTCCATGCACATGCAGCCTCGCTCCTTCACCACTTTTGATAAAGAATGCCCTGCACCACAGAGCTATCAGTGCACAGCTACCTCTCCAGCCTGTCCATTCTTCTAGAGGCTATTCCCTTGCCTGTCCATTCTTAAGGAGGCTAAACCTCGAGGCTCGATGCTTACAGCAGCTACCCCTTACCCCCTGGCCCTGCTCCCCCTCCTTTTGGTACCAGCTTGCAGAAGAATTCTAACCTAACCTAAGCTAACACTTTTGCAGAAAGGTGGAGAGAATGGGATAAGTGTGGAGGTCGGAGGAAGATGATGCTGGTGAACGTAAGGGCTGGGCTTATGCCTGCAAAGTGGGCAAGGTGATCATATGGTGATGTGACAGTCCGGGGCCGCGGGGCCGTTCCCATTTATGGCAGTCTGATGCACTCTGCGCCCTGCGGATCTAGTCTGGAAAAGTCCTATTTTTGTCTGAAATATCGCGGCTCTAATATCATATAATTTCAGTAGGTATGAAATCTCGCGGCTCGAATGTCTGTGCGCGAGCATGCTGCAGAGCAAATTAGCCAAGATGATTATATACTTGCTGAAAGCCACAGGGACTAAATCCCTTCATGGATGTAAAGTGTAAACCAGCAAGCCAATGAGCTGCAAGCCACCAAAACAATGGCCATAACCCACATGCTAAACCCCAAAATATTTCTATTCCATGCACATGCAGCCTCGCCCCTTCACCACTTTTGATAAAGAATGCCCTGCGCCACAGAGCTATCACCTATCAGTGCACAGCTACCTCTCCAGCCTGTCTGTTCTTCTAGAGGCTATTCCCTTGCCTGTCCATTATTCTGGAGGCTAAACCTTGATGCTTACAGCAGCTACCGCAGCAATGTACCGCTTCCCCCTGGCCCTGTTCCCCCTCCTTTCAGTACCAGCTTGCAGAAGAATTCTAACCTAACCTAACCCTTTTGCAGAAAGGTGGAGAGAATGGGATAAGTGTGGAGGAAGATGATGCTGGTGAACGTAAGGGCTGGGCTTACGCCTGCAAAGTGGGCAAGCGGCAAGGTGATGTGACAGTCTGGTGCAGCCGTGCAGGGGCCACGGGGCCGTTCCCATTTATGGCAGTCTGATGCACTCTGCGCCCTGAGGATCCTGAGGCTTACGCCTTACGGCATTTGTAAGAAGTGATGGTATGTGCTTAAATCATTGGTGTAGCCCGTGTAGGAGCTATTGGGCGTAATCCGTTTGGAGTATTAGCTTGTGGGCTGAGCCCGCTGAGGCATTGCTTGTTTCAAGCTGGTGTGGTGAGATGAGGCAAGTAAGAACAGCTGCATAGGTGTTTGGCTGACTATTTCTATTGCATGTAGAGGGTTGGCATTGGCTCTTGTCTTGGGCTGATTTAAGAGTCAAATTTTTGGGCTATAGCAGTGCTCCCGTAATTACATATTCCACATGTGCAACAGCAAGGAGCCATGGAATTTGATAGCAAAAACAGATTGGGCTTATTTGTGGTTTTAAATTCATTTATTAGGGTTTATTCTTGAAAGCCAACAAAGAACTGGACAGATTTATGTCTCATAGGATAGATAGAAAACTAGGGACAAGTTAGCCAAATGCCAAATGGTATCAATATCAATTTCTCTAGAGACTAGTCTGTCTTAGTTCAAAATTTCTTATAGACCTTTACAAACAGTTCTCTCAAGTCTCAAAGGTCTACAATCGCGCTTTCTATCACTATTTGCTGCGTAATTTTTCTACCTAAAATTTCAATTGCAGTGCAAAACTTGAATGCTGAAATGCTTATCTTGAGGCGAATAAGAAATTCACCGAACGCGGCGGATAATTGCAAGTCCGCAATGAAACTTTTTAGTGAATCAATTATATTATTCATCGCTGTTGCAGGTGATATTCATTGTGCGAGCATATTTTGACAAAGCTTCAATCTTTTAGGCAGAAAACTCGACAGTTCATTAGGACTTTGTTCCAAATCCAGCTTGAATATTATTTATGTAGTCCGTTTTGAGGCTGTCTTGAATATTATATTGTCATTGTCCGATGAAGCTGCATCTCCTTCAAACTCGTCTTATCTTCTTCTTCTTTTCAAGGTGTCCACGTTGGGTGGACTGAAAGCCACAGGACAGCCACAAGGATGATCGTTGGGCCTGAGAGCTTATGTTAACTCGTCTTATCGAAAGGCCGTTACCGAAAATGCCACAGTGTTCACCAATCAGCAGAAACAACGTAGACACTTCACGGGTCACCACTAAAAACCGTATAATGCTCGTCAGAGCAGTGATTTATAGGGCTCACTAACCCCACTATATAAACGGTAAAAATAATCAACACACTAGTACCATTTCATTTCAACCTTTTTTCTCCTTACTTTCAATCCTCTCAGTCGAGGGGGTAATTATTCCTTTTATTTCCATTCTAATAATTTTTCCATTGCATTCCATTTTCGTCTCCGGTGTACATTGACCAGTCACAGATCATTTTCATACGTATGAAGCCGAGTGACTGCCCAATTAGTCCCATTTATCTTACGAACATCACTAACGACATCTTTATTCCAGAGGGAGTAATTCTACAGCACTGTTCAAAACCATTAGGCATTACTCGCAAGCAACGCTTCCATAAATATATTGTATCGTCCCTTCCACAAGTGGTGAAACCGGCGCCTTGTCATGATCTGACAAGGCATCACGCTTTTTACGCTCACGCTTTATCCATCACGCTTTTTTGACGATTATTATTATTATATTATAGCGGTTTAAGCGTTTATTAGGCCGTAGGCCTGTTGCCGATTCTTAACATCGCAGAACATTCACAGCATTTTGAGGTCTCGAACTCGCAACTCACTGCTACAATTCTGCTGTGCTTAACCGCCCAACCTCCTTGCCGATTCTGACCAGAAACTGGCGCAGAGCTGTGATCGAACCCGCGCCTCTCTGCGCCAATCTTGATACTCTGAACTTAACCACTGGGCTGATTAGTTACATTCTAAATCCAAGCACTAAAGCTTTCCGTCTCGCGTATGTCGGAAATTTCTAATGAAATTCTTTATGGAATTTTGAGGCTTTCCGCAAATTCGAGGCCCCCAAATAGAACGTTAATGCCACTGCAACTAAATTTATAACTCCCTTTTCCGTCATTTAGCAAATCCTACGATTTCAACGGGAGATGAACCTTACGCCCAAGGCTAAAAGGGTTAAGAAATTAAAAAAAGGACAAATAATACGTCCAAGTTCCCGGCATGATTTATTCAATCTTACTCTCCGGCTTCTTCCTCCTCGTCCTTTCCGCCACCATCAGCCTTCTTCTTGAGGTTCATCCTCTTGACGCGGCCAGGACGGCCGCCTCCATATGGGCTACGCAGCGAGAAGTTGATGTGCTTGCGCGAGTCCAGGCGAACGATGAACGACGGGATGTTGACAAGCTGTTTCCGCACCCTGATGGCAGAATAAATGTGTGTTAGCTACTGGCGTGCTTCTCTGCTAAGTGCATATTTTAAGTCATTTGGCCTCATGACAGTATGAATGGCACACGTAACGCTATTTACCAATAGACGTTGCTGATACCCGGGCAATTGATATGCAGCCATTTTCGAGTATTGGACGTCAGGTCACCAATAGACTTAGCCGAGATATACTCGGTCAATTGGTCTACGGCACTGTTTAAATGAAGGACGTCAGGTCACCAATAGACTTTGCTGAGATATACTCAGTCAATTGGTCTACGGCACTGTTTGAATGAAGGACGTCAGGTCACCAATAGACTTTGCTGAGATATACTCAGTCAATTGGTCTATGGCACTGTTTGAATGGAGGACATCAACACCAATAGACTTTGCCGAGGATATACTCAGTCAATTGGTCTATGGCTTTTAATGAGCAAACCGCACCACGCCGTATCGTTTAGCTGCAAGATACGTTCAAATTTCAACTATGGAGTACACATGGATGGAACAACAGGATGCTCATGGAAAAACGGGATGCTCTATAACCTCCGATCAACAGGCGGACATACAAAATAAAAGCTACGTGAAATATCGAGATTAGTAATTAAAAAACATCTGCCCAGACAGCTGGCAACATCGTTATTCGCAAACGTATATAAATCTATACCCAGATTCAAAATTTCCGTTTCCAAGTGAAATTTAGTGCAAATCAGTGAATATCAGTTCCAAGAAATTACAAAATTTTTCTTCACTCGACTAATAAAGTAGTACTCATTCTTGTGCCTTCAGCATTTTACAGATCATTTCTCCAAGGCTTTGAGTGAATAGACTAGAGTCTTACCTGATGTGACCCTGGCGAATGAGCACTCGCGAGTGATGGATTGACTTGGCGAGTCCGAGTTTGAAGACCTGCGTCTGGAGGCGACGCTCCAAGAAGTCCTCGGGCTTCAGACCCAGCACATAATCTAACTTCATGCGGCTCTCCTCCAGGACACCCATACGGACCAGACGGCGCAGCAGCGCATTACCTAAAACGCGACGCATAAATTGAGGAATATTCCATACCTTTCTCAACTCTGAAAATTTCACAGTAGATAGATGGTACTGTACATTTATAGCAGAACAATCCCATAAATTCATTGCATATCATTATGCAACACAATTGTTTTATGCTCTATTTTTTATGATTGTCCAGAAAACTTTTAGTACCAGACACTGAAGAAAACTTACCCTGGAAAAGACGTCTCGAGTCTTTCTCATCTAGGGTGAGCAGTTCACGGGCAGATTTCCTGATTTTTGCGAGCAACATCTTGACTGTCCAGAGCTCACGCTTATTCCGCAGACCAAACTCTCCCACGAGCTGATTGCACAGAAACTCATTAATTTACATCTGCAAACCTAATTATAATCGGCAATTTTACGCTTGAACTCTCATAAGGAAAGGGTTGCTGGCTGCTAATAAATTCATCTGTCCCAGACCTAATTCATTGTTATCTATGGCAGAATGTAGTAGTTTACATAATTTATTGTACTCAAATCATAATATGTGGAACCAAGTTCCACAAGATCATTTTCAGAGAGCAGTTAATTTAGCCTTTCTGATTAGGTTCAGTATCTCATGAGCTGACCCTGCCCAGAAAGGCAGAAAAATATTCAACATCTTAAAAATAAAGTACTTCCAATTTGGCACTTAATATGTCATCATTTTGGCTAACTCCTTACAAGACGGCCCATATTTCTTGCACCGAAATAGCAGATACATTCACTAACATTAATAGTGAATTATGATAAGATATATTTACTACAGGATTCAGTCTAAAAAACATGACAAATTTTTCTTTTTGGCATGACGACACTTCGAGAGAAATTACCAAAAACTTTAGTACCGTTCATAAACTTGAATATTTGAATTCAAATGTAGACTGTATTACTGCAACTCCATCTATGAAATAAATGCTTGAACAATTGACTCCACGACTTTATTATGGACCTATACGATCGTATATCATCCTTAATTTCATTTCGTTATAAAATTGACAACCGTGGATACATAGAATAAAAAAATACATGCGCATGAAAGCCATGAAATATTGACAAATGAAAGAAAATGAATATCTGAACATAGAATACATGTATAAAATTGGCAGTACAATAAGCCAATAGATAGAAAAACTAGTGTATCCTAAGAACATACCCTGAGTTCCTGGTCAAGACGAGCCTTCTCAAAAGGACGTCTAGGAGTAGAGAATGTCTTGCTCTGATTGTGTTTGATCCTGTGGTTCACCATCTGTAATTTCAAGCAGGTTAGTATTTGAACATAAGAATAGAACAGCCAAACCACCGAGAATCGCATTTTTGTTTCAGAGGATATTCAAATTACTGCATTTAGTGTCAACTCCAATGAAGCACCTTGACCAAGATGCAACAAGCAAGTCATATTTGCCTACATACAAGAGAAAACTCAATTAACTACATGAATCAAAATATTGGCAGATTTTCTCCAAGAAAAAAGAAAATTTTACTCCAAGATTTACCCAAGTATTCACAAGACTATGAAGAATTTGCAATTTCAGGTCAATATCTTCATTGACACCAACTTTGTCTATGAGACAATGACTAAAAGGTTCACTACCTTTCCAACCTGTCAAATGCCAGTGGTAAATTAAACGTCAATTTCATCTACTAATTAAATATTTTCTTACAGCTATTGTAAACAACTAAGGGATTGGTTGCCTCACTTGCCGTTATCCAGGTTACACAGAGGGGAAAAAACATTACAAAACATACAGGATTTCAAGATTCATATTTTGGCATTAATAATTCAGTTTAGTACCGTAAAATACTTTGGGTTACTTTGACCGTCGGGGTAACTTTGACCACTTTTCGTTTTTTTAACAAAAACCCCAAAACTCCTAAACAATTTGACATGGAAAAATTTTGTCAATGGCTATCAAAGGCCTAAAATGCTGAGGCTATGTAACACAACAGAAAGATTTAAAAAGTTTGCATATCTAATAGGTTAAAAAATTAATAATGTGACCCACGAAAAAGAGCTATTATGTTTGATACACCTATTAATGTTTTTTTCTTTATGTTTCAGACTCTACAGTCTTATATATGGTAATTTTAACTTAATTTCCAAACCGGTCAATGGTACCCCATCACGGCTGCCATTAGGTGGTCACATTTCGCCCCATTGGGGGGTAGCGCCCCCCATTTGCAAACTATGACACTTTCCTAAAATCTGTCTTTTGCATATGTAACTAGAAGAGTTCTACTACAATGCACTACAACCTTGAGTTATTTGGAGTTATTTTACCAAAAAAAAATTATTTTACCACCCGGTCAAAGAAACCCCAAGAGCTGGGGTAACAAAGACCATCACTTTTTTTGAAATTAAATCAAAACTATGAGAGGCAGGAGCCAGCAATTTATGGTGAGTAAAGCTAAAGTATAGACCTGTATTTTGCACGTGTCAATTTAAGTTTAACTTATCTAGTAAAAAAACGGAATTGTTTCGAAATAAAAAAAAAAAGTGGTCAAAGTTACCCCATTTTACGGTAGTCAAATTAAGTTAACCCCAAATAAGCCACTCCTTGTACAACAATTAATATCAGGGTGCGTACCAGTACTTAGAAAATTAGGAATTCAGTTCTGCTGGTTCCAAATGGAACTGCTCAGCATCAATGGGTTAATACACGCAGCACAGAAAAATCGCTCCTTTTTTTTCTTCATTTATTTGCAAATTTCATGACTTCCATAACCAAAAATGAAATCCCATGACTTTCCAGGCCTGGTAAATAAAAAATTCAATTCCATGACTTTCCAGGTTTTCCGTGACCAGTATGCACCCTCAGCCTGTTAATATGCTGATGTTGGATATACCTAACAGTCGAAATATGGAATTATGGCTTGAAAATCATTTTTAGCACAATTTTTAAAAACTTCACTATTTCTTTAGATTAAATCATTCATCATAATTGTAATATCATTGAAAAATTAGATTATTTTACAAAATAATTTTTCTTACTGAAAGTAGGCAGTCCAGGTGCTGTCTCACTACCTAGCATACTGTGGCAACTCAATTACTCAAGTGACATCAATAATCAATTTACAACATTAAACATCTATGACAGCATAGAAGCAAACATTAATTTATAGATCCACTGCCACTAGGTAGGCACTGGCACCATCGTACCAACTAGCTACCAAAGTACCAAGCATTCTAATTTCCCACTACTAGGTAGTTGATAATTTTATCAAAGATTTATGGTTGGCTAGGTAGCCTAGGTAGGTATTGCACACATCACACAATCATGCTGGTGACCTTGATTAGGCTTGATAATTACTTACTACTCGACAAAACTCAAAAGTCAACTAAGAAAAATCAAGTCATTTGCATTTGTAGTTGATAATATCTTTATTTATCATCCATCTGCCTTTTCAACAAGTGCAATAGTATTATTGATAATTATATAGGTATATTGAAAACCAGCATGTCAACTTGTCAAGAACTAGGCTACCTATCTGGAGCAAAGTGCAAGTGGCAGCCTTTGTTTTAATAAATTAGTTCAAGAGGTCCAGTCCCATAAATGTATTAGCTATGTACTTGTCATTAACTCATTTATTCTCATTAGGTATCTGTGGTACGATGCACATTCAAATCTTAAAATTCTATCTTTCCCTGAATTAGTCCACTGATTTTCAAAAATTCAAGGGCAAAGTGATGCTAGAAGTTGCAAATGCTAATTAGGCTATTTGTCCATAAAAACTAAATTTGTTTGGATGATTTCTGCATTGAAATTTTTCAACAACATTATAAAACGTAGCTAAATGGCTATAAGCCTCATGCTCATGGACTGCAGTCTGCACCTAGAACTAGAAGTAAAGAATAAGTTGATAAATAGGTATTATGAATGGCACCACCGTCCCAAGACGGGGGCTGCCACGAAACAACACACTCATTTTTGAGCACTTTTATAATGAATACAGATCACATGAAAAATTTACTGGCGTATTAATAAAACCACTATTTTTATGCAGACCTGGGCACCGGCAGAAACTTTTCTAAAGTAATACGAAACGAATTATGAATTAACTTATTAAGCACAAGAAGTTTCGTGATGCAGGCAGCACGCAGCAGTGGACGAATGGACGTCATAGCTATAAACTTCTTAAACGAGAAAAAACTGCAGAATACTCATAAATACGAAATACTTAATTTTTTATTAATTAACAACGGTTGAAAACCCTAGAATTTGTTAACTACGTACCTTGAAGGGTTTCCACACGAAGTTGTAGCCAGATAAAGTACGGTGCACAATGCGGCAATCGAGAGAATTGGACGAACATCCGCTAAGAAGACTGTTCTTGAGCAGAGTCGCTTCTAAATACGAAATGGCAAAAAGAAATTTCAGACTCTTATAACATATTTAGTTTTAAAAGAAGTACGCGTTCATTGAGGTGAATTAGGAATTATAAAATGAGCTTCATTATTTTTTTCAGACAGAAAAACCTAAATTTGAATGTAGACCGCCAGAATTTTTTTATTTGGATCATGAAGTTTTCATATATGACTAATCAAACCACGGTGATCCAAACGAATTGACAGCATTCTTAGAATAAAAGCAACGTTTATATGTTTGACATTTGTATATTTCATTCCTTAATATAGGTACGAAATTTCTGCCGAGCGATTTAGGGTCATACGTGGAATAAGTAAATTGACAGTATTTCAACACAACTGGCACAAAGAAATTTCTTAGGATGAGCATCAGTGCATAGCTCCTGGGTTTTGTTATTGATAAATTTATTTATTTAAAAACTAATCCCGAGACGCACGCTCACACTTTTACTGGCCACTGCATTCGACAATTTGTCCAACACTCATGCGTGTAAGTTTGTGGAAGGCTCGTTGTTGCTGTTGGTTGGCTATAGGCGTTCATATGACTAACTTACACCACACTCGCCATGTCACAATTAGACATGGCGATAGAAATGGTCGCTGTTATTTACATGAATGTTTTCAATCGAATATAATATCTGGTATTAATCCCTTGAAATCTGAAAGAGGCAGTCATTCAACAGGGAAACTTTGTTATTTTCGTGATTATTGGTGTTTCAAAGACGTGTCTATGTAGCTCCAGGTCCCAACAGAGCCAGATTATTGTGATGTTTGAGTTGATGGGAAAATTGTCAGAAAACTTGAGGGGCTTCGGGTGCTTGAGTTAGGCTGGGTTTCAGGAACAGGCGCTAATCACGCCAAGGAGCTGACAACGCAAGGGTGGACACCACGCTAGGGTTGAGACTACGCCATGGTGGAAACCACACTAGGGTAGTAACCACACAAGAGTAGAGACCACTACATGAAGATGGCAACGCCAGGCAAGAGATCAAGACTTGAAGGAGTCCTTGCCAGGATGAATACCACACCAGAATACCAGACGAGTCCTGCGAACCCAACCTCGCCGGGGGGCATCAATCCCACCCGGAGTGCCAATTACTGCTGGGGGCAGCAGTCACTCCTGGGGGAGTCAACTACAGCTGGTAGCATAAACCACACCTACTGACACCTACTACGCCTGGGGCATCAACCACACTTGATAGCCGTCCATGCCTTGAAGGGCCAACCACGTCTGAAAGATAGCTAGAGGTTTATAAACATTAAAAGTGTTGACATGTGCTCAGGAAAATGGGACTTTATTCAGGAAAAAGTTCCGGCCTAACGTCGGCTCAACGCCTCGTGAAGGGACAAATTTTCCATTAGTTGCTAAATGTTCTATCGTGACTTGGAAGCCGGCTGCTTTCGCAGAAGTTTAACACAACGCACCTATCTCTCTACAGCGGCTAAATCTAGAGACTCAGCGCAGTAGTCACGATTAAAATTTTCATGCCGCCACTTGCGGCTTCGAATGCAATTCTGGAGCAGGTGCACTTTTTGAGAAGTGATATTAGAAATTCACAACGAAACCCATCCCTTCTAGTCTCTGACGACAGACAGCCGGTTATTCACAGGTTTATGTTATCGAATGTACCGAGAATTCGTACGGGTGCGTTTTTCATTTGCATTCCAATCGTGTGCGTTTTCGGATCGATATGGATGCAGTAAACGTGGTGTTGGAACTCGAAATATTAATTAAAAGTAGAGGTGCAAAATAATTGGAGAGAAGAAAGATAAATTATAATGGTAGAACAGTAAAGAGCGACTCTTCTCAAATAAAGCAACAGATTGCCCACCAACTGGAGCATTTTCGGAAAAAAACGATGACGCAATTCTGTAATCGGCTGCATTCACTTCGCGTTAGGAATTTGGCCACGCAAAACCCAATCGAATTGGATTTCCAGCAATAAATTGCACTACATTGCAATACATTGCACATTCCTGAGTCATGGTCATTTCTCAAGGACACGGTTATGTCTGCAGTTGATGCTTGTGTGCCTAAAATCAAGCTTGGTGGAGCCAAAAAAAACTCAGTGGATGAACAGTACAGTTCTAGCTAAGCTGAAAACATAGAAGGAAGCCTGCCAGCGTTAAGGTGCTTATACACGGGGCTATTAGTTGCGTATATTGGTTGCGTCTACTACAGTTTTGCAGGCTGAGAGCCTATACACGAGTATAGTGTTAGGGAAACTGCGCCCGCGTCAGTGCAACGATGAGATATGTCGAGTAAAGGTGTGCGCGGTGGAGGCATACGAGAGCACGACAGCAGTGCGCGCTACAGTGGGCGAAAGAGAGAGCGAAGCAACTACGCTAGGTATGACGGCCGGGCCGCTACTGAGACTGAGAGCAATGGACTGCTTCAAAACAACTCGAGGTGCTCTGCCTGCAATGAACCAGCTAGTTGCCTCTGAACACGTCAAGCATCACAAATTTTAGTTGCGTCGCCTAGTACACGCAACTAGTAGCCCCGTGTACCTTTACACGGGGCTACCTTTACTTCTTTAACCTTTATTTACAGACTCGTAGCGATGCTGACTATAACCTAAACGCAGGAGCTCGAAATCAAGCTCAAGAAAGCTGTCGCACCGCAGTAAAAACCTTCGAAAAAAATATTGCTAGAAATGAAAAAAAACGAAAGCCTTCTTGTTGTACGCTAGCTCGAAGTGCAAGATAAAGAGCGGTATTTCTGATTTGAAAGTAGATCAACGAAAGATGTCCTCTGATGTGGGCAAGGCTTACCGTTCTTAATCAGTTTTTCAGTAGCGTATTCACTGAAGAGGACTTGAACAGTATTCCAGCTATCGAGGAGCGCCCAGTCGGCTCTAATTAACAAATTTTGAAATACAAGAAGAAGTGGTTCTCAAGCGCCTGATCGCTGTAAATCCTAACAAGTCATGTGGACCGGATGGCTTCCACCCCAGATTACTCAAAGAGTTAGCAACTGTCATTGACGTCATTCTTTCAAAAAACTTCGAACGAAGGGATCTTGCCGGCTGACTGGAAAGAAGCTCAAGTGACACCATTGTTTAAAAAATGTGACAAAAGCTGCCAGGGCAACTATCGCCCTGTCAGTTTGACAAGTGTCGNTTAGAAAATTTCAGCTCCTTGTCGACATAAACTCCGAGATCTTTTTCCACACTAGACTTTTCAATCATTACTCTCTCGTTGCAACCATGTCTTCTCATACTGTAATCTTGCTGTTCATTGTTCTTCCCGAGGTGAACTACTTTACACTTGTCAGCATTAAACCGCAACTGCCACGTATCAGCACAGTTAACTTAACTGTCAAGATCATCTTGTAATTGCGCTTTATTTGACGCATCCTTCACTGCATTATAAACTTTTGTGTCGTCGGCATACATGGAGCACACGCTGGACACTGCTTCTGGCAAATCGTTTATATAAGCAACTAACAAAATAGGCCCAACAACGCTTCCTTGTGGCACGTCACTGCGCACTGATGCCCAGTCTGACACGGTTCCGTTAATACTGACACGTTGTCGTTTACCTACTAGAAAATCTCAAAACTATAAAAACTGCGTTGTAACACATCCATGCGACATTTTTTCTCGCTTCGAGTCACTGACATGTGGAACAACCTACCTGATAGCATCGTTGACATTCCGAGTATGAACGCCTTCAAGAATAGACTAAATGAAGCTATGCAGATGAATATGTTCAGCCTTAAAATGCCTAGCACCTTAAGGTCCAGGCAATAAGTCCAGCTGCTAGCTCAATCAATAGTCAGTTATGGAAAGATCGGGTTCCACAGGCCGGATCCCTTGTGAATAAAGTCACGAAAAGTACAAGAATCGGCAACAGGCCATGGGCCTATTTCTTCAGCACCGACACTTCTATTCTTAAGGGGGAGGTATACTTTTTTCGGATTTGGCTTTTCTGGTATTTAGTATCATCTTAAAGCTGACATTCTGCCCTATCCAACGATACCACTATGATACCACTGCGATCCCTGTACGTGAATTTATACGTACATGACGGCTCTTTAAAGGGGGGGGGGAGTTCCTTCACTAATTATATACAAGGTAATTAGCTGCTGAGCATTTTAAATATAGTGTCTGATTGAGTTGCGCTTTAGTTACTCGTTTAGCCTCATCTTAAAGCTGACATTCTGAGCTTTCCAATGATACCACTGCGATCCCTGTACGTGAATTTATACGTACACGGCTGCTCTTTAAGGGGGGGCGGGGGGAGTTCCTTCAGTAAATAGATGGGAGGTAATTCGCTCGCAAACACTTTCTGGCATCAAGGCTCAGTCACCCTCCTCGCTTCGTACGGAGAGGTGTACTGCAAGTCGCTTCTACCATCCTTGAGTGGAAGGAAGCTACAGAAGCCTGTAGTTTGGTATCTATGCTACATTGAGTGACTATTTCAAGGCGCCCGGGACTTTGTCGCGCTGTCCTGAAAAGTTTAACTTTTTGTCACGGAAAAGCCTACTCCTCCTAGAGTTTGGAAGCTACAACAATGAGATATATACCATTCGATTCGTAAAAACCATACCTATCGAGTAACGAAGCCCCTTTTTTAGATTTGTTCATAGTTTGGATTCAAAATGGGGGGAAGGGGGGAGGAATGAGAAAAATGAAAAAAAAAGAAAAATGCGCGTAAAAAAAACTAAGGCAAAAATAAAAAATCGGGCTTCGTTAGTCGATTTGTATGGTCTTTACGCATCGAATGATATGCGTCTCAATATTGTAGCTTGAAAACCCTAATAGGAGTAGGATTTCTACAGGACCCCCTTTTTGTCCGTTTTCTATGAATTTCACGTTTTCTATAAATTTTTCCGAAAAATTACACGAACAAAATGTGATTCTTTTGCGGTTTTACATATATGTGTGAAGTTTCAGAAAGATTCGTCCGTAAACAAAAAAGAGTTTCAAAAAGTATACCTCCCCCTTAACTCTCGTAACATTATAACG